CATTTCCCCTTAATTTTTGGAGGGGAAAAAGTGCGTCCTATAGAGCGAAAAATACGGTAAGTGCATAGCACTGTGTTTGTAGCACCACTTATGGCATACCTTGTTCAGTGGTGCTCTCTCAAGTCTGTAAAATAACAAAGGAAAACTGCCAACTACTATGAGATTGGTTTGTAATAAAGATTCCTTCTGAACATAGCAATTACTATTATTTATTTAGATTGCATTCTATTTATTGACTAATAGAGACTGTCCAGTCTGATACCTGTACATAGATTTAAGAAGTCTGCAAGCACACAGGAGCTTACCTAGGAGTTGGTTAGGTTGGCCTCCACCAAGGGCACAGGCCTCGGGGTGGGGCAAAAATCATGCCTCTCCACACCGATACATCTCCTTGCCAACGGTGCAAGGGACAGGGAGGGGGCGGCGCTGGTACAGCTCCTTGCCAAGGGCGCCCAGGTACGCTTCTGTAAGCACACAATGAAGTACATGTGGTACCCATGAGTAAACAGTCAAGGGCCAGTTTGAGCTGGACTATGTGCTGCTATGGTTCTTGGAAATGTTGTTTTTAAGAGAACTGGAACTTAACTAAAATTGTCCAGCTGGTTAACTTTGAGGAAACAGTTTCTGAAGCCTTGTGACATTCTCTTAAAAAACAAACCAACCAGGTGTGTTTTCATGTGTGTGTGTGTTCTGGAAAACAAGTTCAGGACTTTAACTTTCCCCCCATTTACCATTTCACCAACCTAAATCAAGTCCCTAAGTTCCTGGGGAAATATCACCACATTACTAAAATTATGTTGGTGGCTCGTTTTAGAATGTTGTTAGCTATTCACTGAAACTCCCTCCCCCACTCTAGCCCAGAGCTTTCCCAACTGTGCGTTGTGACACAATAGTGTGTTGGCTGCAATGTGTAGGTGTGTCACGCAGACACTCCCCGTGCTCCTGCTTGCTTTGCTATGTAACTGCAGTTCAACAGAAGCAGACATTTTATATGATTGAAAGTCAAGACAATTATTTCCACTCTCCAGCAAACAGAAAATAAAAAATAGTTGCCCCTGACAAAGGGCCCCAGTATTGCTTCATGAATGGCTCCCTACTGTGCGTTGATGAAGTCCTTTCTTGTTCTGGTTTGATAATAATTAAGTCCTACCTGGCTGGCCACTGTAGGAGAGAGTGTATGGGACAGCAAGGCAAAGTACGTCCTTTTATTTTCCTTAATTATATTTTTATTTCCATTCATAGAAAAACAGGATATACAACAGTAATACCAGGAAGAACAGGCAGGCAGGCAGGAAGAAGGCAGTAAGGAAGTGTGTAACCCATGCAGTTTCTTTCAGGTCAAGGTTGGAATATGTTCTCCTGCTCTACGCATCCCATACTTTGTTTATGGCTAAATATTATTATTATTATAATCCATCAGATTTCACTAAGCACTAAGTGTTCCTACAAATGGCAATCCATTAATGGAATTTCTAAGGTCAAACGAGCAAGGGTGGAGCTTTTAAAAAAAGTAGTATTCAACAGTTTCGCTCAGAGTAGACCCATTGAAATTAATAGACCTACCTTGGTAAAGCCCTTAATTTCAGTGTGTCTGAGTAAAACTAAGTTGCATACCACCCAGTATCTGTAGTTTAATGATAGTCATACCTCGGGTTACAGCCGCTTCAGGTTGCGTTTTTTTGGGTTGCAGACCGCCGAAACCCGGAAGTACCGGAACGGGTTACTTCCAGGTTTCGGCGGTCGTGCATGCGCAGAAGCACTAAATCACGCTTTGCGCATGCGCAGAAGCACTGAATCGCAACCCGCACATTTGCAGATGCGGGTTGTGAACACTGTGGGTTGCGAATGTGCATCCCGCACGGATCATGTTTGCAAACCGAGCATCCACTGTACTTTGCTTTTCTTTTTAAATAAAAAAAAATGATGAGAAACTTAAGCTGTAACTGGAAGCAGAATATAAACGGGAGAGAGAAAGAGGGGCATTATATAAAAGGTTGCTGGGAGGTAGATCTCTGGGTGATTTGAAAGGAATAATTAGGGAAGGGGGTCGACAACCAGGAGTGGATTTTTTTGTGGAAGGACGATTCACACCCCGGCCAGCACCTCTTTAATCTTCTACCCTCGGGCAGGAAATATAGAAGTATAATCAGTCGTACCAACAGGCTAAAAAACAGTTTCTATCCGTGGGCTGTTAGGCTGCTGAATGGAAAATAATATAGTGCAACTGACTTTTGGGGTTGGTGACTTGTGCGACAAGCACACAGAGTGCAATGGGATTGAGTGTTTGTGTGTGGGGGAGGGAAGGTTGTACATGGACAATAAAAGTATTATGATGATGATGATGAACTTGAATCTGGAATCAGTCCCAAATCCTGGGCTGCACATGTGCTCAGAGGCACCATGTTTCTCAGTTCTGAGTGTATGCTTGCCTACCTGATCCCAGTGGTGGACCTTGGGTCTCAAATTTCACCAGTGCCCTTTGCGATGCCAAAATTCCATGCCCCCCGCCTCTCTTGCTCCTTTCTGAATCATAGTTGCAGTGTCCCCTGTGGCATCCTTGAGTCTTCATAACCACTGTGACAGAACTGGTCGGTTGCGCTCCCCTAAATCCACCTCTGCTGATCCATTCTATGATTCTTTTTCACCTGGCTCTTGTTGATGGATCTCAGGAGTAGTAGATACTACAGGTCTGAAATCTGCCCACCCCCGTTTTATATCCCTTTCTCCTCATGCCATTCCCCTCCCTCATGACTGAAAGTGCCTCTATCAAGCTTCTTTTACTCTAAGACACAGATGGGGAAACTGTGGTCCTTAAGGTGTTGCTGGCTCTCATCTGCCACCTGGTCCAGCCAGCATCGCCAATAGGACATGAATGATTGGAGTTGTAGTCCAGCAGCATCTAGAGAACCATCAGTCCCTTGGCCTTGGCCCTGGGGTAAATGTGTGGGTACCTTTTGAAGCACGGCTGGTTGCTTGGTAAAAGAGTGGCAATTGTTTTGATCCCTATCCAAGGTTTCCCAGAGATTTGTCTTCTCAATTAACTTTTTCTAGCAGCCACTATCTTCTCAATGACATATTTAGCTGGGGGGGGAGAGATTTGTCAAAGGCTGCTAAGCAACTATGGAACCTCTGTGACAAAAGGTAGCACACCAGGGGCTAAGTGCAAACATTAAGCAAGGCCAACTCTGTTCAAGTGTTCCTAAAGGGCTTCCATCCAGCTGAATGCACTAGGACGGGTCAGCAAACTTTTTCAGCAGGGGGCCAGTCCACTGTCCCTCAGACCTTGTGGGGGGCCGGACTATTTTTTTGCGGGGGAAATGAACAAATTCCTATGCCCCACAAATAAACCAGAGATGCATATTAAATAAAATGACACATTCTACTCATGTAAAAACACGCCGATTCCTGGACCGTCCTCGGGCCAGATTTAGAAGGTGATTGGGCTGGATCCGGCCCCCAGGCCTGTTTGCCTACCCATGCACTAGGAGATAAGAGAGAACTGTAGATCTGTGGTCGGATCATTCTTACTAACTTCTCTGTTCATGGCCTATTTATCCATCTCTTCTAAGCCCTCTAAATAAATGCTAAACGGCAGCAGGGGCAGTACATGGAAATAAAAAACATTGGTATGTTTGGGGTTTGGTAACTGGTGCTGCTGTAAGTAGAACAGCTGTGCTACTTTGGTGGTTATGGAGTGTAGGCTGATGAGTATTAATTCAGAGACCAGCAATGAGCAACTTTGTATTGCTACTAGCCATGATAGCTATGCTTTGCCTCGAGTCGGCAGCAGTATGCTTCTGAATACCAGTTGCTGGAAACCACAGGAGGGGTGACGGCTTGGGTCCTGCTTGCAGGTCCCCCCCACCCCGGCATCCAGGTGGCCAATGTGAGAACAGGAGGCTGGATTAGGTGGGTTATTGTCTGTGGTCAGGGCTGTGGACAAGGACTTGGGCTCTTTATTCATGCACAGAGTCTACTTCACACCTATAAATTAAAGGGGGGGAGGGAGAGGAAAACACAAATGCTTACATGGAAGAGGCCATGGGAATTGTTTTCAAAATACTATATGAAAATAAAAGGCTCTAAATTGTTTGGCTACCTGCCAGGCTGTCTTGGCAACTGAAAATTATATTGCCGAGAACCTAGCAAAGAATCACTATGCCAGAATAACAACAAAACAGATCGTCTGGGTCATTATGAAAGTAAGCAAAAGAGCCCCACTACATTATTGTAATGTTAATTTATCCAGAAATGGTTAACAACATTGGCCTGTGCCATGATGAGAAATAGTGTTTGAAGGGCAATCTCCCCCATGCTTTTGTAAAACGAAATTGAAATATGTAGAGTATTTTATTAGCACATCTACTCTGAAAAGTGCTGGGCTGCATGGAAATGTGACATTTGCTTAATAAGTTTGCTCAGTGAAACCCACAGGTGACGATTTAATGAACTGTGGGAGAATGGCAGAAAAAGGGAATTCTGCACACCTCTGTGAGATAAGCTTGTAGATTGCTATGGTTACAGACGTCTAAATCTCCATTCCCTGACAGCAGCATATCCGTTTACAGCAGCCAGAGCCATTTTTCTTCCTGTTTCTGAAAGGCATCTAAAGTATTCATGGCCTATTGGTGAATCTCTGAAACCTCTGAAAAACAGGTTTGCTCATTTAGGGCAGGAAATAAAATGAAAAGATGGGGGAGGAGTGGGAGGAGGAAGGAAAACACTCCATTTTTATAGTGACAAAATAGAAAAGTACTAGATCAAATGCAGCTTTCCTGTTTTGATATTCTCACTTGGCTAAACGAAAATATTCATCCTTCTTCACAGAATGCAAACTGAACAATTGCTTATCTCAAAATGTCTGCTTGAAAGGCTTGCCTTAAAATAAAATTTTAAAACCCATGCTCCAAAGACTTTGGAACTTCATAGTACTATTTCGAATTTCCAAGGACCTCCATAGAATTGCAAAATGTTACACTTGGATGCAGCTCCTTGATTTTTTTTTTTTTTATATCTTAGGATATTTTATTCCTAAAGTCCAGACTTTCTGACAGATGCTAATGTTGCACATTTTATTTGTTATATTTTGTGTGCCTTTATTGTTGTATTCGTTGCATATGAATACATTTTTATTGGGTGGCATTTACATTCTGGCAAGCCATCCTGAATGTTGCATGGATGGAATAATTTCTGTGATGGTATGATTAACTACAGCTGACCCATGGTTAGTGAACCTTCACAAAATTACAGGGTGGTATTCACTAAGCCCTACTCAGAGTAGACTCTTCAGTGAATTAGGCACTTGATGGTCCTTATCTAATACTTCTGTGTTCTTAACCTTGTTAAATACTTTAGGCAGAGAGGCTAGTAAAGGCATAACACAATGTTGACATTTACCTAGAGTTAAGGAAGTGGCCCATACTACTTCCTCTCCCAATTTAACCTCTGTTGTTGTAGAGCAATTCCTCCTATTTTCTCCATGGTGGTATGGAATTACAGTTGAATGACTGCAACCCCACTCAACACAAACTGGGAGACTTTCTGAACTTGACTTTGGAAACCATAGTTCCCAGGTTTCAAAAATTGTTCAGAGTGCCTTTGTGTGGGTGTTAACAAGGTTTGTGTTAATATTGATCAGATTCAGAAGGGACAAATGGCTACATTAACGTATAGGAAGTCAGTTGGAAGATATAGTTCTGAGAGCAGCTTCCTTACCTGCTGAGTGTATTATGCTATGACCAGATTAGCCCATCTTCTCAAGAGCACCATACTAGTGAATTTCATGGTGGGCTGATCTGCTCATATTTAGCCAAATCTCTTTTTGGAATAATACAAGCATCAATAGCATTTAGGAGGCTGCACATCATACGTTGTGCTTAGGAAGCAACTACTGTGAACAAAATGTAATACAATGCTATCTTACAAAGCGTGCATGTGTAAATCATATCCTTTTCATATTGGTAATCCAGTTGCCAGTCAACCACTTGTGTATATTTTGTGGGTGAACGCCCTATTTACATGTTAGACAATTAATAAATTATTCCTGCCCTGTGCTTGAAAATTGGTTTTTCATTACAAAATGAAATACCTGAAAAGGCCCTCTGAGTTTATCTGTTTCCAGAGTTGAACTGACAACTAGTACAAAATGGGATGCTGTCTTTATGAAGACTGCTAGCTCAATAGGTAGATACGATAATGGGTTCATCATAATCTTTTATTCATGAACCAACCCAATAAACACTGTGTCTTGAGTTGGTTCACCTGCAGTTACTACATACAGCAGCAGCCTCCATACTTTCTGCAATAATCTTTCCCATCAACCATTCCCCCCCCCCAAAAAAATTGGGAGCCCACTCTTTGACTTTCATGCCAATCTGGAAGACATAAACTTTGCATGCAGTGATGCAGTGCTAGCTGGTTAGAAAGTTCTTGCACAGAACTGAATAGGGAGCATGTGGTTCTCTTTCCTACCAGGAGTTTTGCTGGTTTACAACAACAGTTTCAAAGAAAGGGGCAACTGTCTCTGCTGCAGTTGCGTCCCTGCCATAAAACTAAGTCACATGGAAGAGACAAAACTGATTCCATAAACAATTAACAGGATTCCTTATCAGGTATCAGGATTCCTATATCAGACTGGATAGCTGCAGATACTTCGTAAGAAAATTTCAGCCTGATCCTAATAATTTATACTTTGAAATAAATTTAACAGAAATCAATGGGATGTGCATCCACAGTGTTTGAGACTTGTGGCACAGAGAGATTGCTTTGTTCCATCTTTATTTGCTGAACTTCATAATTGGTGTTAACTCCTCTTCAGTAAGATGAAATTATGAAGACCTAGTTTTCCTTATTAATGGCTGGGCTTCGTATACACAGTTCTTACACTTATGTGACAGTACTACTCAGGGCGATTCATTTTCAGATGGGAAGCAAACACTATTTTATCACACTGTAATAACTTGTTTTGCCTTGAGTTTGATCAAGATTCCTAGAAGAAGAAACACATTTTTCAACATGCTAGTAATTTTATCACATTATTTTTGGCCAGAACTGAGCTTGGGCTAAATCAAATGGCAATTGGAAGCCGATTATAAACCAGGTCTATATTAAAAGCTTCTTCACAATCTTTTCCCCCACTGCATAGTTGAACCCATCATGAAAAAAATGCTGACTTCTCCTGGTGAGAGACAGTGTCAATATGATTCATCATCCCTTGTAGCTCTAAGACAGGGAACTGCACTTGCTTTTCAAACCATTTGGCAACTGTGAGAAGCTGTTCTTCGTGGAATGCGCGGCCAATAAACTGCAGCCCAATTGGTAAGCCTGTCTCTGAAAGTGCAGAAGGAACATTTACAGCCGGTAGCCCTGAAAGACAAAATAGATAATTATTTACATCATTTGATCAAATCACACACTAAGTAAAGGGTAAAGGGACCCCTGATCATTAGGTCCAGTCATGACCGACTCTAGGGTTGCGGCGCTCATCTCGCTTTATTGGCCAAGGGAGCCGGCGTACAGCTTCCGGGTCATGTGGCCAGCATGACGAAGCCGCTTCTGGTGAACCAGAGCAGCGCATGGAAACGCCTTTTTCCTTCCTGCCGGAGCGGTACCTATTTATCTACTTGCACTTTGACGTGCTTTTGAACTGCTAGGTTGGCAGGAGCAGGGACCGAGCAAAGGGAGCTCACCCCGTCTGGTAAAACAAAAACCAATACACAAGGCATTAATTTGGCATTATTGCTTCTCCTAGGAGCAATATTGCCAGAGGCAGTGGAAGACAGGAGTGCCTGGCGTGCTCTGGTCCATGGGGTCACGAAGAGTCGGACATGACTAAACGACTAAACAAGCAGCAATATGCTAAACATATTTCTTTCTCATCCACCCTCAATGGGGAGAATGCACAGCTATAAGAGGAGAAAGCATATTTTCACTGTCCCATGCTGTAACTAAGGACAAGGCATACACATCTTCCATTTCTAATAGGCTCTTTTTTCCAGACTACCTCCAAAAGCATCCAAGATAGACTTGGCCACATGGATTGGGCTTCTTGAGCAGTTATCCAGGCAGCAAGATTAATGAACCTTTTCGCCTCCACTTTAGGAGTGCAGTAGAATCATAGAATTGTAGAGCTGGAAGGGACCCCAAGGCTCATCTAGTCTGACCCCCCTGCAATGCAGGAATCTCAACACCCATTGCATATACCTACCCAACCTCTGCTTAAAAGCCTCCAATGAGTAGAATTGCCTCCCCTTTGTTTGCTATTTTTTTTTATTGGGGCATCCACACAATGCTGTCATTCAGTCATTGTCTTTTCCCTGTAGTCCTCCTGCCTTTTCCCAAACAATATAGTCTGACTTTTTTTTCAGAGCAGCACAATCTACACCTATGTAGGTAGCCTTAGAGCTATTCTTCTTCTTTTAAGAATGGCAAATTCAAAAAGCAAAAACTAAGATTAGAATAAGTATTTGAACCACTCAGATGTTCTCACCAGCCATGTTGGCAGCCTGAGTAAAAATATCATCCTGGGTGCTGCGGGTTCTGTTATCCTCTTTGATGAATTCCACATATGGTACAGTGTGGCTCATAGTTGTTGGAGTGAGCAAAATATCAACACCAGAATGGAAGACTTTTGCAAAATCAGTGGCAATGAGTCTTCTCACTTTCTGGGCTTTGATGAAGTAATTCTCATAGTTCCTAGAGGGGAAAACACATTTTGTGAGAACTAGCAACAGGACATTGAGTCTTTTAGCCAATTGCAGCATTTGGATGTGTGTGCAAAAATTGCAAACAAGATGTTATCTTTTCTCCCTGAGTCTACAGTTAAGAAAACCAATTAAGTCAAAGCATTGTGACACTTGCCTCAGTTGTTCAGATAAGAGGACTATCTGACTTCAGTGCTTAGCTACTCTTAGAAATGAAGAGTACAGCTGTACCTTGGTTAACGAACAACTTGCGAGTCAAATGTTTTGGCTCCCAAACGCCACAAACCCGGAAGTGAGTGTTCCAATTTGCGAATGTTCTTTGGAACCTGAATGTCTGGTGCAGCTTCCGATTGGCTGCAGGTACTTCCTACAGCCAATCGGAAGCCACGCCTTAGTTTCCGAACATTTTGGAAGTCGAACGGACTTCCGGAACGGATTCCATTTGACTTCTGAGGTACGATTGTATTGCTAATGTTTAAAATCTTGACAAATGAGAAAAGGGTAATTTAACCAAACAAACAGCTGCATAGTAACAGTTTAGTGAACGTGGGGTAGTGCAATACTGGACCTCAAATTCAAGTACTGGGTGTCTCTCAGCTGTCTTTTCAAATGTGCTATGCAGCTACTGCTTGTGGCTTTTTTCTCCCTCACCTTCTGGATTATCAGAAGGTTGGATTAAAGCCATCTGCCTCAACATACCTATCTTTACATAGCTAGAGAGAGCCATTCCTGTTGCTGATCCTAGTCTTATAGTAGGCCTTTTAGAATGCTTTTCTGCCCTCTTGCATTTCAACGAGACTAGGGTGGAAATGATGATCACAGTTTATTAAGCAAGAGAGTACATCCGATTTTACTGGCATATAAAAGGTAAAGGACCCCTGGACAATTAAGTCCAGTCAAAGGCGACTATGGGGTTGTGGCGCTCATCTTGCTTTCAGGCCGAGGAGCCAGCATTTGTCCACAGACAGCTTTCCGGGTCATGTGGCCAGCATGACTAAACCGCTTCTGGCTCAACGAAACACCATGACGGATATCATGGGCTAAAGAGTTGCATAATTACAATCTTAAGACATGTGAGACATGTTAACTCTCAGTCCATCAGGACTTGCTTCTAAGTATGCCTGCATAGTTAGGAACACTGCATCATTCATTTAGATCAGCAGCTCACACGATCCTAAACTGCATAATCTTAAGCACCTATCATTAACTCCAGCGTGTATGGCAGTAACAGTTGCCGAAGTGTTGTGATATTATACAGTAATAGCAGGTGGTGCACTCTAAGAGCAAGACACAAAAGGATGGAAGTGTTGAACTAGGGTTAAAATATTTGGCAAAATGCCCTTCTTTACTGCAAAGCAGTTTGGCAACAGGCTATCCAGAAAAGTTGTAATTTCTTTTTTTCTTGAAGGTTTTCAAAACAAGATTGGTATGGTGTGATGAGCTGACATGGGCCCCAATCTGAATAGCTTTCGCTATTGCTTTGAGTTTCTTCCTTCTGTCTAAGCACACATTGGGCATCTTAACTCAAATTGGGATTTCTCTTTGGTCATTCCTTCCACCTAACTCACACCTGCCTTTAATTCCACCTGGTTGCTCAGAGCTTGCACATTTTATTGTCACCACCAATCTCCTCCGAACATGTGCATAGGGTCATCTCACTTTATTCTTGTAAATGTCCTGTGGAGTAAGCTAAGCTGACAGACAGCCACTAGCCCAAAGCCATCCAGGGACCATCATGGCTGACCAGGTCTTGCCAATCTAGCCAGTGCATCACACTAGCACAGGGTAGCACAAATTGTGCTTATAAGGCCTGCTTTGCAAATGCCCCATGATCTTAATAAACATCTAGAACATTTACCCATCTGAAGGTATTAGACTTGACACTGTTTCCTCCTCTGGGCTTCTGGCCGCCCACTGTTCACATCTGCTTCTTTGGTCAGTTCTTTTACCTCAGTTGGCCAGGATACTGTTTTATAGTAAGAACAAAATAGCTTTCTTGGGAATTTAACTCAACTGTCTGGGTTGCTTCCATGAAGTCATTCAAATGGACCTGCAAGAGGGTGAGTCATCTATGATAGTTCCCGCCTTTGCTGACATTTGTACCCAGGTTTCTCTAATCCAAATAAAACACGAGACCAAGGGGGAAAAGGCTTTATAGTTAACACGTGCACAAAAAGTTGAGGTTTTCACTTCTGATTATTTAAAATAAGCTCCTGGTTAAGAGGGTACATAGGAGAGAATAGAAAACAAGAAAACGCTTAGTAGATTGCACATAATTTTAGGAAATAGTGTTTTGCTGTATATTACAGCTATAGCAGCATCAGCAATAATAATAATATCTTAACTGCATGGAAAAATCTGTCCACATGAGTAATTTCACCCTTAACTGAACCACAAATAAAACGCTAGCTTTGTAAATTTGAGCTTTCAAATGTGCTGAACTTACTGTTTTAGCAAGAAGTAGTTCCCTGATAGAATTCTTCCCCTTACAACATCATTAAAGCCTTCCCGGCGCGTGGCTGCATACAAGGCTTCGGTGGACTTGTCAGCGCTGCTGCGGTGCCCTAAAATTAAAAGTCATCAGTGATTTGGAAATGCATCTTAAACCATTCAAAGTCACCTCATGAATAAACAGTAGAAATCACTGTGCTGTACAAATATATCCGAGGTTTATTTGCTGCTGTTGCACACAGCTAAATGTCAGGTGCTGTTTATTCATGGGCCAGGAAGCTAAACAAATCACATGGGTTTCAGCAGCAGCAGCCACCACAAGTAGCTATTTGACTTGGGACAAGTTGAATGGTCTTGGTTAAACATTTTTAGCATGAAGAGGGATAACTGGGAGGCCTTAAATGCTCCCTCACCCCCCAAAAAAAACTTCCAGAATTTTACATTGTTTGTACCAATTTTCTTGCTGCTCACTGCCCCTCGGAGCAGCTGCTTTAGTGCCAGGTTTTTGTTCACTCCTCCCCGCACCTTTTCTTCCTCACAAGTTCCCTGAATATCAGGGATCGTGTTGCGAATACGACAGCATTATGCCACAAAACAGCCAGTTAGATTTGGCACTGTCTGATTAGATCCTCTGAGGGCCAATAAAGCCAATTTGGAATGAAAGCAAACTTTCCTTTATAAAATTGTCCTCATTCTGGAAGGGCGTGTGCAATGGGGCTGCGCTTGAGCACATGGCAGGAAAGCAAAGGGCGTGGAGCTGCTATTGCAGCCACCGCTTGCCCATCGCCTAAGTCAGGAATGTGGACCTTGAGGACTGCCAGATGTTGCTGGACTACAATTCCCATCATCCCTGCTCAGCAGTCATGCTAGCTTTGGCTGATAGGAACTGGAGTTCTACAACTTGGAAGGTTCTCCTTTCCTGACCTGGACCATACAGGTGCTTCTTTTCCTGCAGCTTCACCCTTAGAGCTCCTACTATTGTTAATCTGAGTGAGCAGTTTACTCCCTCTTTGGAACTTCCTTCAAAACTTCTGAAAGTGGAAGCCTCTTTTCAGATTGGTGAATGGGACTGTGAAGTTCTGTTTCAACCCAGCCCTAAGGCAGACACATTTTCAATCTAGCAAGAATAATACAGAGTACGTCAAGGGTACTTACGCCCTGTCAGGGGGTTCATCTGATAATATCCAATAATTCATATTGATTTAGAATATATTATCTAAGATTTGGAAAGGACACAATGAAGTGGCTGCAGATTTCAGCAGGCTTATATGTTTCGCAATATATTTTGACACAAACGTTTTGAAAAAGGGCCAGGACTTGTTCAGCTTTGTTATTCTTTTCCTGATAAAAATGCTGGGAACAGGCATTTGAGAGTCAATGTGTTGAAGTACAATATTTCAACTGACTTGGCACTTAAAAAGTACACTGGAAAGTACAGGGAGGGTGATACCGAACAGGAGCCATTGTCTTAGACCAGGAAGTGCAGAGGTATTTCAATAACATTGTATTCCCTCATCAGTTGACCCTGAGTGCAGAAGAACAATTGAGCTGAACAATGCATGTACTTTGTCCTGCAGAGCACTCTTCCAAGGACACAGCTGAGACAACACTTCTGTCATAATAAAAACATGCTCACAGAAATAATACAGAAAGTTTGGCCACCAGCAGACCTCACTGCAACTAATAAGAGACTTTCCTCAGTGCTAAAAAGGCTTTGGCAGAGACATAATCTTTCTGTAATTAAAAAGCACATCAGATATGCTGGTTCATATTGTGGCAGGTTGCACATTTCTCTAACATAATTAATGGATCTGCATTTAATCAACTAGGGACATGCTGTGAATTGAGACTCACAAGCAGGTGTACGTAAGCAGACAAATGCCTTAAAGATAATTTTTGTTTCAAGTTACTGTACTTGGCTCTGGTTTTTAATGCAGGACAGTCTGCCTTGCAGCTTACTATGGCTGAAACTTGTTGGGGGCAGGTTAGCAGGGCTCAACCAACTTCCTTTCAGATCATCACTCTTTGAACTGCTTCCCAGTTACAAATAAATTATCCCTGTGTTTACGCTGGAACAGGGCATTCGGTCCAAAAGCAGGTCGCCTCTGAGAACTGATCTGTTGCTTCCTTCCCTAACCTTGTTCTGTGGAGACATTGTTTGCCTGCCAAATCTAGAGACTAGTGATTTTCATATACTTTGCCACTCCGCAAACCAAATAATCAGCAAGCCTACAATCAGCTCCAGGGTTTGTGTATCAGTCCTCCTGCTGCTGTGCTTGCCTTTCTCCCAGAAGTAGCACACCATTCACGCACATCCACAGTAATCAGTCCACTTTTTAATTATTATTTTTGTTGGTATCTCAAACTTCAGGAGGAGGTATACTACGGTTGATGCTTGGTTGGGTGGAACATGCGCTATAGGCAGCTGCCTGACCTTGCTGGCCATGAGTCAGCCAACCCCTACCTTCAAAGGTGGAAGTTTCGCTACTCTGTTTGGGCAGAATGGACACAGAGAGGAGAGGAAGGCATTGGGGAAAGCAGAGGAAAGCATACGTGATTGTCCTAGGTAATGTTTTTGCAGAAAAAACCACTCCGCTTTTGAAAGGTGTGATTTTAACCACAGAAACACATTCCCATTCGAAATGCATTCGGATTGAACTTATTTTTAGTTTAGATTTATTAAATCAATGTGTAGTCATTAGTGGGTTATGGAAAATGTATAAAGTGGACCGGCATTGCTCAATCATACTGTGAGGAGGACTATTCCCACCCCCTCATCTCTCTCTCTCACACACAGACAAAACACCTCTCCACCACATTAAGAACTCCCACCTGATTTGCACACTGGATGTTTGTAGTAGCTGCTAGTGTTCCAGTTCTGTGCACTGTGCAATGATTCTACAAATGATGTAGATCATATAGAAAGATGCAGGCCAGCTCTGTGAAGGCTTGCAGCCACAGTAAGCAACAGTGAAAGGTGCAGGAGCAATAATGATTGGAAGAAGCGGACTAGAAACAGATCTGACAGCAGGTCTTGCACAGCTCATAGGCTGCCCATTAAAGAACAGGAATAATTTATAATATTATACCCTAATTGTTCTCGTTAGTAAGGCCTTTTTTGGCATAAGCTCTTGAGGGCAATGAATTTATCTAATTTACATGACACTTGTTGGAAAGAAGCCTTACCGTACTCCAGGCCATCAAATCGGGCCATGTTCGATGCTACTTCTGCTGCACACAGCACATGGTAGCAGACAATGGAGTAACAGGTGTGTGGGAGTCTGACCTCAATCACTTTGGCACCAGCTTTCTCAAAGAGGTCGGCTGCCTTGGACCACACGGCCAGAGTTTGACTAGACAATCCTGGTATGTTGTATTCCTAGAGAAGGGAGAGGGTGAAAAGCATAACCCTCTGCACCAACAACTTTATGTGCATCTTCTCAGTTCTCAGCTGAGCCAGAATTATCAAGTGGTTTGTAGCATGTTAAACTCCCAAGTGAAAATTTGTCCTTTTCAAAAAAATTATTATTGAATACTTCCTTTGGCAGGCAGCTAGGATGGCATGTGTTTGGTTTTAGTTGTAGATTCAGTGCCAAACTGCAGCTTGCTTCAGAGGCCAGCCTGTCTTTCTAAGGTAATTGGGAATGGCTGGAATGAGCTGAGTCATAAAGCCCAGGGAACCAAAATGATGAGCTAGGATAGAATGACTGATGGGGAGCTCATTGGCAAAAGGAGAACCAAGACCTGACAGGATTTTCCATAAGCCCCAATGCAGATGGAGGACTTTAGGCTAATAAAAATAATAGAGGTAGATTTTGAAACAACATGACATATTAAACTAAATGGTGGGCAATGATTGCAAATAAGGCCCAGTTCTGCATTCAGGGATGACCTGGTTCCAGCAGTTTCCATTAATGGCTATTGTGAAAATGTTCCTGCAGATCAGAACAAAATTCTTAGTGTTGTAACCATTTTAAATAACTGTGAAAAACATTAATACTAATTAACAGCTGGTATATAGCTTTCCCCCTTGATTTAGCCAAGCTCTTTTTCAACAGAAGGAGCTGTAAGTTTTCACTATTTCCTGGCAATGAGTTAACAAGCAGGCTGCACCATGGTGATTAAGGCTGCAGTCTTAACCCCCGTTACCTGAGAGGAAGCCTCTTTGAATTTTGCAGAACCTATTTCTGAACAGATATGGCAAAGATCACATTGTAATTCAACACTTCTTTCTTTCACAGTGTGCATAGTTGTTTCTCTCTTATTTTTAGTGCAGTCTTTTGCAGTAAGTCAGAATGGTCAACTATGAGTTTTGGTCTGGATGTTATGAATTTAGTTCTCTAAAAAAACCAATGGGTTTTCAATATCATTGTCCATCTCACTGGGGGGGGGGGAATCAAAGTATATCCACAAAAGGAAGGGTGGGGAATCGTGTGTATAACCCAAAATGAGGAACATGTGTAAATAACTTCAGAAGGCAAAAATCCCTCTTCACATTAATATTATTTTAAAGGTGGATACATAATTGCCTTGGGAGTGATGAGCTGCAATGGTGTGTCATTCCCTCCCTATTCCCAAGGGAGGCTGCCCCCATAAGAGCAGCTGCCTTTTTAAAAAATATAATCTTTCTGAAGGGGGTGGCATGTCAACTCCTATCATTGCTTTCAGGGGCACTTGCATATCCATTTACAACAAGTGTGACAGGAGCCATGCTTTCTAGCTGTTCCTGGTTGTCTGTGCCTATTTTTTCAACACTCGGCCTGCCCCATGAAACTGGGTGTCGATTCTGATGTTCCAGTCTTTACACTAGTCCTGGAGGGGCAGCTCAGGGGAGTCCACTTTTGGAATTCACATCCTCCGAATTCCTGAAGCATCCCGAAATGCGAGTGCACATGTCAACTTAGAAGAACACCTTGAAGACTTTGGTTGAATAATTAAATATAATGATTCTTTCAAAGTGTATGTGTGACAGGCATTCAGTGAGTACTTCTTGTTCCTGACAGTTCCGAGGAAGCCCAAACAGAGCGTTTCCTAAAGCAATATTCATTCTGATTAATGAATGTCAAATAAGTACCATTGTTCTTCAACACTGATTGTGTTCTGCAGATTGACTTATTATTATTATTTAAATTTTTATACTGCCTTTCATCTGAAAATTGCTGGGCGGTTCACAACATAAAAATAAAAAATGAGAACACAAAATACACAATGAAAACATTATGTTTCCCCCCTTTTCTCTTTTTGGTTTTGTTTTATATTTTTAATTAGATTAGTTCCAATAAAAAAATGATGCAAAAACAAAAACAAGATCCAAAACAAACCAGTAACCAACCCCGCTCCCACAAACACATTTAAGCGGAAAAAGAATGTTAACCAGCCAAAGGCCTGGTTAAAGAGAAATGTTTTAATGACCTAAGTCAGTCATAGGCAATAGGAATTCACTAATATTTAATTTTGGTGTTCATTTCCCCCCTCCAAGTGACTATTTACATACCAGTTACCTTTGGTATGCCTATGCAAAGATCCTTCACATCTGTCAAATTGGGCAGCTGAAATGGGTGGACAGGGTCCTGCACTGTGGTTGAATCTTTTGGATCATGGCCACTGAGTGCCCCTGAAACAAAGCAGAAAGACTCATGAGCTACAGGAAAGAAAAGAGAATCCTTGAACCAAACTAGTTTTGAGAGAATTCCCTAGGGAGACAGTTGTAATCATTATACCCAACACGGTGGCTGCATCGTCCACACATCTGGCAAAGATGCCTGGCACATCCATAGAGTTCACCAGCGGAATAAGACCATGACGGGAAACCAGGCCATACGTTGGCTTCAAGCCCACCACTCCACAATGAGAGGCTGGGTTTCTGGTGGATCCTCCTGTATCAGATCCCAGAGCCCTATGGTTGAAAATAAGAAGAAGAAGAATGGCAGTCAGGAGCAAACTCTGCATCGCATCCCAATTTGCTCTGCAAGAACATAAGAGCCTGGCTGCATCAGGCCAAAGTCCCATCCAGTCTACCATCCTGTTCTCACAGGAGCCAAGCAGATGCCTATGGGAATCCGGGAAGCCATTGCATGTCTTCCCCAGGCTGTCTTTGTTTTTAACAGAAACAAGGCATCATGACCAACCAATCACTTCTAACACTTTTCCAATGAAGAAATGCACATGCAATTGACCACAATACGTAAACTGCTTGGTCTAAGAGCAACATACAGATTACTATTACTGCTGTCAGCCTGTGAAGTGCCTAGTCTGAAAGGGTTCTGTTTTATCTGGAATATATGCTTGCCAGGAAGAAATTCAAAGGGTGCAGTTTTCGCATTGTGTTCCTTCATGGAGATTCAGCAGACTTTCCTCTCTCGTGCAGTTTAAGAACAGAGACCATTTCCAGATCAGGAGCAGACCAAAGTCATCTGAAGGTACATTATATGGCTCAAGGGCATTTAGTTCTCAGAAGCACCTTGATGGGAGATCACTTGGGAGTCTTATGGTGCTGACTTCCTTGGGAGAAGAGTGAACTATAGATATATAGCAGTGGTTCCCAACTTTTTTTTGGCCATGCCCCACCTAAGCATCTCTAAAATCCTGATGCCAACCCCCCCATGACATATAATTCTTATTATTCAAAAGTGAACTCCTAATCACTATTAATAACTCATTCTCGAATTGCCCCCCTTAAAAATCCAATTGCCCCAACGTGGGGCATGTGTCCCATGTTGGGAACCATGGATATATAGCAACAAGCCTTAGAAAGATGTTTTCCTGACTAAAAAGTATATTGTTGCATAAATTTCTGAATTAAATATTAAAATATTATTATTCAAATAAACACTCTACCTTTTAGAATAAACACACAGTGGCTCTATTCAGCGAAAAATAAGCAATCTGAAAAACTATTCTTTCACCCTAAGGGATAGCTTAGTCAGTAGAGCATGAGACTCTTGATCTCAGGGTCGTGGGTTTGAGCCCCACATTGGGAGAAAGATCCCTGCATTGCAGGGGGATGGACTAGATGATCTCATGGTCCCTTCAAAACGCTTCTATGAAAATTGGAGAGTTAAAAATGCACTTAGATTTTTCTCATGAAGACAAATAGGACTTCAAAGCTGGCTTGCGTTTTAAACTTTTTCAAAACTATATTTCTTCACAAAACAGAAAGAAACATAAAGCACTGGTATCAGCACAACTATGAAATGTAGAATAAACCGAGGATCTGAAGAATGTTAGTCTGAAAATCCCACTCTATCTGAATTATTAGCCCACAGTGATGTCAACACAAAAGCCTGGGATGAAAAGGTGTTTTATTGTAAGGGATGAGATGCTGTAGATTTCATTGAATCGAAATTCCTTCTCCTTTTTTTGTGTGCCTGAGTTGCTGGAAAGATCCCACAACGCTTGTCAAAGAGAGGAGGTTCAGAGGATATTGGCAACATCCTTCCTTCTTTATTGCCACAATAAATCCTTTCCAAGCAATACGAAATGCCCACACGGAGAGGATGGAAATTTGTTTAGAATGACATGGCTTTAGTCAACCTTTTGGACATAAAAGGGGGCTTTACACTGTCCTCAGTACTCCTCTACCAAGTCCTGCCTTATCTATATAGAATAGACAGTAAGGGATCTAATCAGGGACCATGTTGCTCCTAGGCCCTAGGGTATGAACAGCACTTAGGCCCTTGTTGGCACTCAGCAAATATTATGAAGTTGCATTATGATGCTTTTAATTAAACTGTTCTAAAAAAGCCTCTTACGTGAAGCATGTGAAAGACGACACGGCAGCAGCACTGCCTCCAGAGCTTCCTCCTGTTATCAACCAGCTGGTGTCTTCATTTTGAGCACTGGGTTTCTGCACACACTTTTCTCTGTACTGTCGTGAGTAACTCCAGGGGTTTCTAACCGGTCCAAATGCCCCATCTGTACTTCCAGAGCTAAGATGAGAAAATCATGGAGAAAGAATACATTTTGTGTAGTATTCAAGAGAAAGAGGAACATTGGGATGATCTTGGAGACAAAATAAGGCAGTACAATGGGCCATTTCCTTAACTAGGTAAAGGTCATATTGTATTATGCCAGGCATAGGCAACTTCGGCCCTCCAGAAGTTTTGGGACTACAACTCCCATCATACCTAGCTAACAGGACCAACGGTTAGGGATGATGGAAGTTGTAGTCCCAAAACATCTGGAGGGCCGAGTTTGCTTATGCCTGTATTATGCCTTCACTGGCTTCTCAGGCTAAATTACTAGTCAAGGTTAAGGACACAGAAAATTTAGATAAGGTCTATCAAGTGCTTAATTCACAGGAAAAGTGCTATGGAAATAATAATGGCTTTTGTTTACAAATAGACACTGCGATGAGTAGTCTACTAAGTTTTACTCAAAGTAGACTCACTGAAATTAATGAACATCATTATTATTATTTATTGAATTTATATACAGCTCTATACCTGGGGGTCTCAAGGTGGTTCACAGAATAAAATCAAGATATAAAATCACAAAATACATAATAAAAATAAAAACAACAACCCAGTACCCCCCCGAAAAGCTAGGTCCATTATTTTAATGGCTCTACTCTGAGTAAAACTTAGTTGAATGCCCCCTGAAGCTTATCAATTCAGCTACAGATTTAACAACTTTTTTGTCTCTCTTTCCAAGTACATATGAAATCCTTTGCTCTGAAACAGAACCAAAAAATAAACCAGTTGACACTCCTAAATTTGATTGGTTCACACAGTCAAGGGTGAGCAACCTGAAGCTTTCCTATAGACTCTGGAAAGTTTCACCCCATTGGGAAATCTCTGCTTGAAAAGTTGGAGAGCTGTTTTGGAACATCATCTCCCATCAGCCTCAGCCAGCATGACCAATGATCAGGAATGATGGGAGCTGTAGTCCAAAAAATCTAGAGGGTGCCTGTTAAGGGAAGACTGGTGTGAAAATATTGAGTTAGATGAACCAATGGTCTGACCTGGTATAGGCAATTTTCCATGTTCCTATGTATTTGCAGTGTGTAAGAAATTTCATTCCTGCAACATGTGACCCACCCAATTTGTATGGTTGCAAAGATAGGCTTGAAACCATGTGGCCAATGTCTGCTAAGATCTCAGAAGCAGGAGGAAAACTGAGCAGCCAGAGCTTTAGCACCACATGATGTTCCCAGCCCGGCATCAAGATAGGCAGTCTTGCATCTGTAGTTAAACAGAAGTGAAGCAACACATCAGGCACCCAACAGCATAAAAATATTTAACTTGGCTTACCCCATGGCAAATTCATCTAAGTTTGTTTTTCCAAGAAGCACAGCTCCTTGATCCAGCAATTTTTGAACTACAGTTGCATTGTAAGGGGGTATATAACCTGAAAAACAAAGACTGGATTGGCTGAATTGTTTTATATTAGTGAGTTGTTGTTGTTTTTTAATGAGCATGTCATATTACCATTAGTCCCCGTTCACATGGATTCCTACTGAGAATATGACTACCACAGGTATTTCATTGTTTTGTATTATGGGGGTGCAATTTTAACTTGTTTCAGGAAACTACCTCAATAAGATTAGATGTTTGCTATCATAGCTGCCTGAGAGAAGATTCTCTTCTCAAAACTGCAGTGTGTCTTGGCAACCTTGACATCTCCCCTCTTTATTACTTGTTCCACAAATACTGAGTTCAGCTGCCCAACTAATAATACAACAGGATTCTAGTACCCCTTTCAAAGCCTATACAATGATGTGCTCTACTAATAGTAGAAGAGTATAGGGTTTCATACATATTGGCAGTAATCCAGTAAGATAACCAGCAGGTAATAAGACATGTACTGTGCCAGCATTTTTCTGCCCGTTTTCAATTCATCATACCTCTTTACTAAACTGCAAACTTTCTGAGACTACCCCAAGTTTCAAAGTGAAGACGGAGAGGTACGAAGGCTCTAAAAATATTCAAGTGAATCAATGAAATCAGTGGAACTAGTCAGTGCCTGTGGACTTGAAGATTAGAGTCTTTGTTTTGGTGTCTGTTCAACATTGGTATCTGAAGAGGTTTATACCTGGTGGCTCAGAGACCAGGGGCAGTGGCGGCTGCTGCCTGCAGGACTCCCAAGGACAGGGGGGAAGAGAGGAGCCTGAGGGAACACTCCATAAGGAAGGGTGTTTGAAAAGGGGCGAGAGGCTGCCAGCTCTGCAGGCAAAGAGTGACATAACTGGGCTTCTGAGCCCCACAGGGGTGCCGCAGAAAGAATGTCGTTGGTCCAGGGAGCTGTGGACTCAAAAAGGTTGAAAACCTCTGATCCAATACATCTACTCATCAACATAGTTATCTACAAAAGAATGAATCCATTTAAGACAGAACCACAGTACTATCTATATCCTTAACAGATTGGGGAGCAGAGCTCAAAGTTGTTGGCTTATCTTAAAAATGCTACTTTACCTTTTAGCATCTTGGATGCACATGTTGTTTCGATTCCAGTTGTGCTGAAGTTGTCTTTCACTGCAAAAGGAATTCCATCCAAATCCCCCAGTATCTGACCTATATTACGGATGACAGTGTGAAGATTATTTCAATCAGTGCATCATGCACACAGCCTTATTTAAAGATTGAGGTTGTTCTAAATAATTTTTGACATGTTGTCTGAACTGCTAGACCTGCTGTGCCAGCAGATTTGGAGAAGGTGTGAAAAAAACCACACAGTTGTCTCTCAATCTCCTAAACCTTTTGTTCTTGCTACCCCTTTCCCCCTAGCACAACTGTGGATAGTGCTAGGTCAGTAGTGCTGCAGCTATGGTGTAGCACTTAGGAATGTGAGCAGCTTGGCCACAGAGCACAGAAGCAGCAGTGGGGCTGTCCTCACATGCCAATGCATTAGTGCCAATACCAGAGCAAAATAACATGCATTATAGGTCTTGTTTTTAGAAAAATGAACTGCTGCTATGGTCAATAGAGTGTAGGATTGGGTGCATTAATTCTCACTTTTTGGTTTATCATTAGAAATTTCCCACAGTTCTAATTTGCTCTACAACATTTTCAGCAACCTTCCCGTCACAACGAGAAAGGCATTTTGCAAATGAGTTAAGTTATGAGCTACTTTCTTTAACCATAATGGCTAGACTTTTTTTCTTTTTAACAACAGAGGATGCAGAAATCCAAATGCTGTACTAGGTTTCAGAGTCATAGGACCTACCAACATCATTTTTTCTGCTTGGGGCACTTTTAATGAAATGCCTGCTATTGTTTTGCCTACAAGTCTAAGTAGGACTCTGGCCTGAGTTGTGCTTTAATGGGCATTCCAAGGACAGATAGTGGGTGGGATTGAGCTGGCCCAAGAGCTGCTAGATCCAAACCTGGTCTGAAACAGCGCAAGCAGGGCCAGCCCAAGACATTCTGGCACCTGAGCACCTCTGTCTCCACCCGGGAAGAAGGGGTAAGTGGAAATCTATATCGGGAACAAGGGGGAAATAAAGATCTATATCAGGATCTGCCCCCCCCCCCCGTGGATCCACCCACCCGAGGTGGTCACCTCACTTTGCCTCATGGGTGGGGCAGCCCTGAGTGCTTGTTCATATTAAACCATAGCTTATTTTAACTATAGTTTAATGTAATGTGCGAATAAGGCCTATCTAATATCACAGAAATACAGTGAAGTTAGCTGTACTTTTCTTTTTTCTTTTTTACAATGAGTAAACAAATATTCTGGGCAGAAAGTGTTAGGATAGGATCACAGCCAACATACTTTAATGAAGAACAATTGTTCAGCAGAAATTACCTTGCCTGTATCTCTTCTCCGATGCCTCAGCCTGTTTTAATGCTGTGTCTTCTGCTACTGTGATATAAGCATTAAGAAATCTGGTAGCTTTTATTAAGGAGAGGCATTTCTGACACAGCTCTGTTGGACTCACTTGGCCTTCCTTTAGTGCTACAGATATCTGAAACATCAAAATTTTCTATTTTTAGCAGAATTTCAATAGTAAGCTTTAAAGAACTATGTCTACTTGGTTTTCAAACCAACTTCTCTACTTTGTCTGTACATACACTACCTTTGATTGAACAAGCAACATCATGAGAATATTATGTGAAATATAACTATTAAAATGTGCAATTGTATAAAATGGCCTCAAGATGTGAACTAAATGTGGAGTAATATTGGAGTTAGTTTACCAAACAGGTGAGTCATGAGGTCACAAATGATTTCTCAATACTATTATCTGTAGATGCTTTGTTAGGTAATCACTTCATATTTTACATTATAGCCACCCCAGCAGTTAGTCTACTTTATTTTTAATTTTCTTTTTGCCATCACCAAAATTGGTCCCAGATCTTGAGGGGCCAAAACAATTGCTTGCAAGGGGCAAATCAGATGCCTGAACAAAGGGTTAGTCACCCTGCCCAATAGTGGGTCTACATCTACCACAGCACCCCCAGCTATGCCCATGGAAAGACCTACCACTGGTTGTATTTCCTCTGGCAGTGATTCCAAATGATTTCTGTTCCTTTGCAAGTCGCCAAGTTTAGGCTCATCACCTATACCAGCCTGGAGGTGTCATGCATAATCTCCTCAATTAGGGTTCTTCCACATTGCCAGCAGTTTTGGGTGGGATTCAGTTATAGACAGGCAAATTCTGGTTTTGTGATTACAGTTGATTAGAAGGTCTTGCATGGCAACCCACATAGCAGCCAAACAGGCTAGCATATGGGGTATCTTGTTGTTACTAAGGTAAAGGTACCCCTGCCCGTACGGGCCAGTCGTGTCCGACTCTGGGGTTGCGCGCCCATCTCGCTTAAGAGGCCGGGGGCCAGCGCTGTCCGGAGACACTTCCGGGTCACGTGGCCAGTGTGACAAAGCTGCTCTGGCGAGCCTGCACCAGTGCAGCACACGGAAACGCCGTTTACCTTCCCGCTATAAAGCGGTACCTATTTATCTACTTGCACTTAAGAGTGCTTTCGAACTGCTAGGTGGACAGGAGCTGGGACCGAACGACGGGAGCTCACCCCGCCGCGGGGATTCGAACCACCGACCATACGATCGGCAAGTCCTAGGCGCTGAGGTTTTACCCATGTTGTTACTAGTTACCTCTATATTTCCTGAGGATGGTGCACTATCAATACAGTGATGGTTAGTTCACTAATTAAAGAAAGAAAGAAATGATGTATACTTGAACAGTGCAATCCTATGCATGTTTACTGAGAAGTGTCCCACTGTGTGGCCTTATTTCTTCTAAGCATGCATCAGATTGCACTGATCGTAAATAGGTAACCAATGTGTGCTGTTACTGTTTTGACATGCTTGGAATTTAAAAAATATAATTGTATTTTAAAAATACAATTATGAACATGTATATTTACCAGCAGCTAAAAAAAAAAAAATTAAAGAAAGGGGAAAGATGCTTAATAGACTGTACAGTCAGTAAATAAAAGTTCTTTATTGTCAAATTAAGATTTTTGAAAGCCTGAAATGCAAATGATTGAGTTTTGTTGGGGAGAAAATTCATGCTCTCTGTAGAGATTTCTCAGGGAAATTTTGCTAGAGTGCCCCTGCCCCATCACTGCCATAGGACTGGAGGTGGTAGAATGTAGGATTCACTTATGGAAAGCTGGAGAAAATAGCTCTCTTTTAGCAGGCATTATTAACTGTTTCAGGGCTGGAAATATCTGTCACTTGTATTTCCACCTGCGAACTGACCTTGGTATATAAACAAAATCACATTCATGATTGCCTTGCTTTTAATCACGTTTTGCTGATGTTTCATGTACGCAGCAGGCAGAAATCCGACAGGTGAAGCTTTCCACAGCATAAAAATGAAATAAATAGAAGCGCTTCGTGGGTTGACTGTCTTTCCTGCAGCTGTTAACAGGAACTGAATTGCTGTCGGAAAGCAAGCAATGCCCACCCACTAAGAGGGAACTCTGTCTGCCTAAAGAGAGAACCCAGGAGGAAAATGAAGCCTGGGAAGAGAGGGGCGAATAGCTTGCTCCGTCCACGGCAGCGGTGTGGGGGGTGGGGGAAAGCAGCCAGTCCCAGCGTCGCCTCACCTGTTGGAGCGAAGCTCGCAGCATTTTCTCTACCGATCCGGAATAGAAATAATCTAGTGAACTCGCGAAGCTTCACCCGTATTAGTAGTCCCTGTTACCGGTAGTTTGCGAACGAGTTCATGGGCGCTGCCATCTTGAATAACGCGTTCTAACATCGGCGCCTCTGATTGGCTCAGACTTTCGGGGTTGAAATGATGTGTTCCTATTGGTTGGGGGGCGGTCAGGCCGCGGGAAGCTGTGTCAATTGGGTGACCGGGAACACAGGGCGCCCGCCTGAAGGAGACGCTGGGCAGGCAGGGCAGCCTTGTTTTGCTCACGCGGCCAGGTCTTTTTGGAGGAAAGGCGAGAGAGGCGGGTGGGAGGGAGAGATTCTGGAAGTTAGGACATTAAGGACTGCTTATATCTAGGGGGAGGGGGTCGCCAGCCTCAGGACTTGATAGTCTCACTAGGGGCTGGCGCATAATTGATAGTTCAAAACGAAAAAACCCTGCTGTGTTTTACTTCCTGTATACCTCAGATTCTTGCGAAACCCAGTGAGGAATGAAGGTGTAACAGGAAAAGTGAGGTTTTTCCACTCTCTCTGTATCTCCCTGTCTTTTCTTTTTGGGAAGAAAAGAGAAACATCAGAATTGTCTTTTAAAAAAAGAAAAAGAAAATACAAAGTTTATAAATGTGCATTTCAGATCAGAATTGACTGGCCTGCTTTGTAAGAAAGTGTGTGTTCGAGGCATATCCATTAAAGAGCACAGCATTAAAGCCATATATATTCCTTTTGCTGTCATGTTGCTAAAAGTACACACGTTTAGTAGGAAAGTGTTTAGTAGCTTGTTGCACTGCCCTGGCTTGGGTGTTACCTGCCTTGGGATGGGAAAAAGTTTAATCCAGCAGCTTCCGTGTAGAAACTTCCATGTCTCCTGCCAAAGATGTACGACGATGCCGTCCTGGGTGATTGACCGTTACGGAAAGAATGATGTGCTGCGATTCACAAATAACATGATGTTCCCTTTAATCAACTTCCCTAATGAAGTGATTATTAAAGTCCATGCTGCAAGCTTAAATCCCATAGATGTTAACATGCGAAGTAAGTGCCTATATACATTGCATGTCAGTTAATACCATTAATATTTACCTACTCCACAGGTTGGTAGTAAGGATTGATGATTTGGTTTAAACTGTAAACTGATTTGAACTCATGAAAAGAGCTGTATGAATATTATTTATAATTACTTATGTTTTCATACCTTGGTGTTTGGTGAGTGATGTTAAATATTATATGGTCTTTGTAAAGTCTGCATTAGTTGTGTGAAATACTGCATTTCATATTCAGTGCTCCTAATAGCCTTTTTAGCCTTATGCAGTTTGATTTCATTGGCCCTATTCTGGTTGGGTATGACTGTAGAAAAAACAGGCCAAAAAACAAAACAAAAACCACCCAAATAAATCTAATTAAAATGGCACCATAAAGATTAACGCATATATTGAGGCATGATTTCTTTTAGGCCTACAAATGTTTCTACCATATGCAGAATTAATTGTGCTTAAATCCACTGAAATCAGTAGGCTTAGATGTGTCTTACTCTGGTCTGTATCCACCTAAGGTTTACTCAGAGCAGACCCATTGAAATTACGGGGCATAGATTAGTCCTGCTCATTAATGTCAATGGGTCTCCTGTGAGTTTGACTACCATTAGATAAAATGCTTTGTATTCAATCATGTTTCAGTTTGTTACTCTGCTGCAACAAAAATGAAGACCGACATAGCAATCCAGCACTTCTCTCCCCTGTATGCTGGGCTGGAGGGAGAGGGTTGGATTAGGTTAAGGAGTCCCTGTATCAAGCTCACCTGGCTGAACTGGCCTCCCGGCAGGAAGGCCATTAGTGAGTAGCCAGCAAGAAGGCTGCAAAATGGGGTGTTCAAACCCTACCTTTCCTCCAAGGAGCGTAAGGATTGTGTACGCTGTTCTCCCCCCTCCACCTTTTCCTCACAAAAACCCTGTGAGGTAGGTTAGGCCGAGAGATCGCAACCGGCCCAATGTCATCCAGTGAGCTTCCTGACCGAGTGGGAATTTGAACACTGGTCTCCTAAGTCCTAGTCCAACACTGCTGTTTAATGCAGAGAAGGCTTCTTTGAGCATAGGAAATTGAACTGTGTGTAAACCAGCGACAACTGTTCTCTGTTTGCTTGGCAGGTGGTTATGGAGCTGCTGCTATAAGGATGAAGCGGGATCCGTTGCACATCACAAGCACAGGCAGTGAATTCCCTCTCACACTTGGTCGGGATGTTTCTGGAGTTGTGATGGAGTGTGGACTAGACGTGAAATATTTCAGACCTGGAGATGAGGTAAGGATGAGCAAGGAAGGAATGGGAGTTACTCTAAGTGGATTTATAAATCCTCAGTCTCAGCAGAAACAAATTACCTCAGTGTGCATTTTCTGCTTCAGTTGTGCACTGCCAAACCAGAAGTTACAAATGGTGCCTCTTTCTTTGACTCGTCGTTTTGCTGCTTCTGCAGTTCTAAGGGTTATGAGAGCCAGCACAAAAAGAAGGTGTTAGGAGTTCCAGTAAGGGAAAAGTTGGATAATCCTGTACATAAGCTTCATACAGAGGTGCCAACTCAAGCAATACCATGTTGGAAGTTATGTTGCAATTCCACTGTTTTGCTGGCATCCATCTTTCTCAGGAGACGATGGAGTGCGCCTCTGGGGGTGAAGTTAAACCTCTGGAGAATCATATCAGCTGCGGTGGTGGCTGCAGAGACCAGTAACTTGTAACTGCTGCCTCCTGTGTTAGCAGCACCAAAGTGACCTCTCTAGGGCGGAAGCCTGGGCAGTGTGTATGGAGATCCGGGCTGCCCAGACGACAAAACCCCCCTCTCAGCCTCACCAATGTGGTCCAAAGGAAAGCAGAGCAATATGTTTCGCACCAGCTTGGCTGCAGGAGTTGCTGAAAAGAGGCCATCCAACCATTTTAGGACTTCACTCCGGATTTGTGTATGGTTTAGTCCTTAGCCTTTTATTCTCCCAACATGTCCTGCACAGTAGTATGCCTCTGAATACATGTTGCTTGGGATTACAGGTGTGATTGTACTCTGGCCTTCTTTCAGGCTTCCCATAGGCATCTGGTTGGTTGCTGTGAGAACAGGAAGCTGGACTAGATGGGCAATTTTCCTGATCCAGCAGGCTCTTATTATGTTCTTAATTTGATACATAATATTTTTTAAGAATTAGAAATTCTGCTAAACCATGAAAAGCTTTGGACTATGTTTGAGTTTTGGACTTCTTTTCCCCCCAGGTATGGGCAGCAGTTCCTCCCTGGAAACAAGGCACTTTGTCAGAGTTTGTTCTGGCAAGTGGAAATGAGGTAATGAAGCAAAGTATTTATCGTATTTTTCGCTCTATAACACGCACCCGACCATAACACGCACGTAGTTTTTAGAGGAGGAAAATCCGTAGGCATGCCACCCGTAGGCATTCCCTCCATAACACGCACAGACATTTCCCCTTACTTTTTAGGAGGAAAAAAGTGAGTGTTATGGTGCAAAAAATACGGTAATTTGAGATGAAATGTTTCTGTGCAGCTTCTAAAATGGGTGAGGTTGTTTTTGCATTTTGTCTTAGAGTATTTTTTTCCTGTTAAAGGAAGAGTCAGAAATTTCCACTGCGATCTGAACTATGCTGTAGCAGATCTCTGTCTCTTCCCTAAATTTAACACTGAACGGGAGGTAAGGTGACAGGGAGGAAGGCAGATGAGTGATGGCTACAATTGCACAGTGCTTTATTTTCCTTCCTTGAAAAACAAAGCACTGAACCATAATCTCAACCCTTTGTCAGTGAGTAGGAGGACAGTGAGCTTGAGCTTGCAGCTGCTGTATGGCAGCAATGAGTTTTCAGGGTCCGATTTCTGAATATATAGTTCAGTGTGTTGCTGCAGTGTGAAGACAGAAAGGACCCATTGTGTGTGGGTAATGCTTACTTGCTACAGTCAACCAGGTGACCTCTTATTCAAAAGGCTGGAGCTACCCTGTCGGAATAGTATTCCAGTCTTTATGAATTTTGATTATCCATATGCAGAAGCAGCACTTCAGATATGGCATGTTTCTCACATGTGTACACATCTGTAGGGGGAAAAGGATGCATGGTACTGTGTATGAAAAATGTGTGATTGCCTGTTTTTCACTGCATTTCAGCTACCAGCATGTGGCAAAATAGACACATGTATACAGTTCTGTTTTGTTTGTTCTTTAAATTATACAAGTATTTCCTTTTCTTACATTTTTATATGTTTATGTAGGGGCAAATGATGTGTTTGTAGGGGCAAATGATGCGAAATGTATGTAGGGGCAAATGATGCGAAATGTATGTAGGGGCAAATGATGCGAAACTGTCCCTCAGCACCTGAAATTTGTATTGAATTTTTAATAATAACAATAATCATCATCATCTGGGCTGCAGAACCTTGGCAATCCTTTCTTTTTTACAATGTTAAATAGCAAAATATTTCTGGTTCTTGGATACATGTCTGTTTTCCTCCCTTTCTGCAGATCTCTAGAAAGCCCAGATGTCTCAGCCACACTCAAGCAGCTTCCTTACCTTATGCTGGTCTAACAGCATGGTCTGCCATTCGCCTTGCTGGGGGGCTAAATCAGGATAATTGCAGCAATAAGAGGTAAGTTACCAGTTGTTCTGTAAGCAGGAGTTACATGTAGCGCAAAGGTGGGAAGCCAGTGGCTCTTCAAATGCTGTTGGGCTCCCAGCTCCAACAGCCCCAGCCCTCAGGACCAATGGGCAGGGCTTATGTGTTGTCCAACAACAGTGTGAGGGCCACAGTCACTTAATGAGTGAGATAGGTTTCTACATTATATAAACTTCTGCAAGCGGTTCCTTGATTATCATGCATGTTGAAGTGTGTTGGACTTAACACGTTGTGGTTTGGGTGAAGGAGCTCTTGGGCTGGGGTTTTGCCCAGAGTGGGAAAAGGCAAGGAGCCACTAGGCACTTTGGGGGAAGGTCTGGGGTTAGTAACATCACTAGTGAGTCTAGAGGAGAGTGACAGCAGAACTGGTGTAGCTCTTATGATAAGAGAACACACCTGAAAGTAAGGTGTCTTCAGGTGGTCTCAGAAGTTAAGGGGTTCTAAAGAGCCTTGGGACCAAGAGGGAAGGGGGAAATCCCATTATGTCATACACAAGAAAATGTCATAGTTAAATGAAAAGTTCCTCCTTTGGCTTTAGTATGATTTTTTAAAACTAACTTAGGAGCTATTTATTATCTATCGCCCTCCAGTTTACCTTTCTTTTCCTTTGGCTTTGCCCTATATAGACAGAACTATTTAGAAATAAATTTTCACAACAAATACCATCAATTTAACACCTTTGAATTGCTGGGGTATAGAAATGCCTCATTACCTGGAATTCTTTTCACTTCACAGAGTATTGATCTTTGGTGCAGCAGGTGGAGTAGGTACCTTTGCTATACAGGTAAATATGTTACAACTAACTACCTTGGCTGATATTTTGGGAAAGCTTAGACTCAAATCCTCTGCAATGAGTGACTAAGAACACCTTCCCCCACCCCCACCCCTCATAATCTTGGAATGGTGAGATAACAGTACTGATTAGTTGAGTTCTTTTTGCCTATCTACAATGTGTTTTTGAACTGTGACAATGCTTCTTGCTTGCGTAGATGAAGGGTAGAGATGGATTTGTGAGTAAATTAGCATTTGTTGCTGCACCCATTTTTGCTCCTGGTCCATCACTTGCATGTATAAAAAAGTTACAGATTTTTCATTATTAAGAAAGAAAGAAGAATCAAATGTTAAAGGTACCGAGAGCAGAAATCTCCCAGGACCTATTTGCAGGCTCAATGTACTCTTGTTGGATACTATGCCTAAAAGACCCATCCATTTCTCTCAAAATGGGGGAAAAATATCGTCATGTTTAATTTCCCAAGAGTGAATGGAAGGGGAAACAAACCCTTGCTCTGTCTCAGCTGGACTTGGCAAGGCTGACGCTTTCATGAAGCACCAAATTGGGATCTGAACTTAATTTTGTGACTGGCGCACACCCAAGATAAAACAGATCAGACCTAGTTAAAAGGCCCTAGAAAGTGGAAATGCCATGATGAGACCGGAGTACAGTTAGAGTGCTTCCACTAAGCAGGCTACCTGCCATCTCTCGGATGGTTAAGGAAGCCAGATAAGGACCTCTGATGAAAATTTTACTGTATCACATGCACATATGGGGACAGGCAGCCCTGTTCCCAAACCACCAAGGTTTTGAATTCAGCTTGAAATCTGTTGTATATATTGGTCCTTTCTAGTGCCTAAAGATCTCTTGAAAATCCAGTGGTAGATTTTGCCCTTTGCTGATCTACTCCGTGTTGTCTTGGAGGGGCCCCATTCCACTCTTTGGAAATCACAGAAAAGCAGTCTTTTATGCAATATTGAATTACATCTAACTAAAATATCAAATAGAATCTCCTTCCAGAGCTGACATTTTTAAAAATGTGATTTAAAAGTATCCAGGTATAAAATATGAGTACTATCTGACTGTATATTGTAACGAAACTAAATTCTGAAAGTCAAACTGAGCTTTTTATTTGGGTAGGAAAAATGAGGGTCTGGGGGACAGTAACCCTCCAGAGGAAATTTGGTGAGTTCCAGGGAGTTCCATTGTGCAAGTGGGACGCATTTGTTGGATACCAGCCCTAGTTCTTAAGAACAAACTGGGGAGGGCAGTTACTGTTACAACCTGCTTTGTGGTCTTTTGTTGGAAACGTTTAAACTTAGATGGATTTGCTGGTCTGATCCAAGAAAGCGCTTTCTTTGTTCTTAATGTAAAAACGCCTCAGGTGAAACCAGGTGAGCCTTCTCACTTGAAACGCATCATGTGACTATGGACCCAGCTCCCTCAGAACAGACTCTGACGGTTCCTGACTCTCAAGTTTGGCCATCTTACTACCAGATGGAAGTACAGTGGTACCTCTGGTGAAGAACTTAATTCGTTCCAGAGGTCTGCTCTTAACCTGAAACTGTTCTTAACCTGAGGTACCACTTTAGCTAATGGGGCCTCCCACTGCCGCCGTGCAATTTCTGTTCTCATCCTGAGGTAAAGTTCTTAACCCAAGGTACTACTTCCAGGTTAGCGGAGTCTGTAACCCAAAGTGTTTGTAACCCGAGGTGTTTGTAACCCGAAGTGTTTGTAACCCAAGGTGTTTGTACAGAGGTACCACTGTAACCGGATTCAGGGGCGGGGGGCAGGCAGAGGACACAAGATAGCCCCGGCAGTGGCTGGTTGGGTGTCTTTTTCCTCGAATTGTAGAGTTGGAAGTGACCCCAAGGGTTACCTAGTCCCACCCCCTGCAGTGCAGGAATCTCATCTAAAGTATCCAAGTCAGATAGCCATTCAATCTGTGCTTAAAAACTTCCAATGAAGGAGAGTTTAACACCTCCTGAGGGAGTCTGCTCTACTCTCAAATAGATCTTACTGCCAGAAAGTTCCTCCTTTCTTGCACAGAGCAGCTTGCCATTGATAAGCAGTGCCAGATTTAGGGGTGTGTAGGCAGTTCTCCTCCATGGGGTGCTGAGTAGGGGGCGGCGATGCAAATGATGATGATGGTGGTGATAATAATAATAATAATAATTATTATTATTATTATTATTATTATTATTATTATTAATTCATAGGGGGTTGGATTAGATGACCCTTGGGATCTCCTTCCAACTCTACAATTCTATGATTCTATTATGATTAATAATACTAATAATACTAATCATCTTATAATTTATACAGGTGCCTACTGAGAAGATCCATACAAACCCAGCTGTACCAAAATGAATTACTGTGAAAATAAATATAAGGGGTGGGGGAATTTTGCCCTTGCTTAAGGTGCCATAAGTCTGGCCCTGTTGAGAAGAAATACAGATTTGAGTTAGAGAAGGGCGGTAGTTGTGTGCAGTCTGCTGAAAGCAAGTCTAGTCAGCTGCTGTGTTCTTTTTGTTCTGTGTCTTCTCATTCAGCTAATGAAAGCCTGGGGTGCTCATGTGACAGCAGTTTGTTCCCAAGATGCCAGTGAACTCGTGAAACGTCTCGGAGCAGATGATGTGATCGACTACAAATCTGGAAGTGTGGAAGAACAGCTGAAAACGTTACCGCTGTATGTATGGGCTAAATCATGGATGCGCACGGTGAATGTGCACAACCCCAAGTTGGCTGTTCAATTTTTGGGTGGGTTTGAGCAGGTCGCCTGCACCTGAGTCTTCTGCGCTGGTAACTTAGTGAGCAACCCGTACAGGGAGCAACTGGGTCGAATCCAGAGGTGGCGCCATCACTGTATCTGAAGCCTTGCTGCTCACACCAGCCAGGACAGAAGGTGGTATTTGCTTTGCCGGTTCAGGATCCAGCCCCTCTCTGACTTCTGGACTCACTTAGGATCTAGTGGATCTGTGGCCAACATTGTTATTATTATTATCTTTATTAATTAAATTTGTATATTGCCCTTCATCCGAAGATCACAGGGCGGTTCACAACATAAAAATACAACATAAGAACACAAAGTACGTAATGAAAAAAGAACCAAAACAAACCAATAATTCCCCTCCCGCAAACACATAGCTCTGCCCTCTCCTATTCCACCCTGTTTGGGGGTTTTCTACCAGCAGGAAGATCACCAGCAGGAGCCTGTCAGAAATCCACACTGTGAGCACAGCAGGATCTTACGGTGGGAGAACCTCCCTGCAGGTGGAGACATACAGGGAACCCACCACATCCTAACACTGGGGGCTCGAATTGTCCTGCCCAGACTATGAATGACGTACATATAAAGTGGTTGCGAGATATGGGTTTGTAATGTAAAGCATTTGCACATGAAACCTTTTGAACTTCTTTCTGAGTAAACATGCTTAGATAGCTTTCCTCAAGTTGTTATGTAATTGATTGATACCATCATGGCCGGGACATGGTGTGTTCTTTGGGAGAGAAAGGAAAATGTTCCAATTCATTTTCTTCCTGTTTTATCTCCCTAGGTTTGATTTTATCTTAGATAATGTTGGTGGATCCACTGAAAAATGGGCTCCTGATTTCCTCAAAAAATGGTCAGGAGCCACCTATGTCTCCTTGATAACACCCTTCTTGGTCAACATGGACAGGCTTGGTGTAGCGGATGGCATGTTACGGACTGGAATGACGTTCAGTTCAAAAACTTTCAAGGTCTGTTAACTAAATCAAATGCTTTATCTTCCTACCCATTTCCTGTATGTGAGCAATTCATTTCCAGTGTGCTGTTTTTTCACCTGCTCTTTAATGTCAGTCATGATCTAAACTTGTGCTTGCTGTCTGTTACAGCATCTTTGTAAAGGGGTTCATTACCGGTGGGCATTTTTTGCACCAAGCGGCCCTTATCTGGACGAAATAGCTGATCTCGTTGATGCAGGAAAGGTACGTCTGAATTGCTAGTTTTACTTCCCATTATCTGCTATAAACCATGTGCCGTTTGGGTTCAAATGCTTCTTTTGTAACTAAGGAAGAAAATTTTAGCAAGTTCAATGATTTGGCTGTGGAGCTGCCATGTTGAGAGTCCTAATAGGGGCTTCTGTGTTGTTGTTGTTTATCTATATAGCGTATCAGCTTACAAAAAAAGAAGACGTGTGCTTGGAGGTTAGGACTGCCTTCCAGTCTGCTGGAGCATAATCATTTAAATCTGTGAAGATGGATGCTTACAATACATGCAGCACATAACATGCTGTAGCCTTAACTGTCTAGGCAACTGGCTGGTGCACCTGAACACTGCAAAATAACTCCAGTGTTATTTGACTGCAGATCCCATTAGCGACTGCAGGTTGTGGAAGGCTGCTGTAAGGTAATCTGGCATCATTATCCCTTGTATTTTGGAAGGGAGGCTGAGAGATAGTGGCTGGCCTAATTGTTTCAAAATTTGAACCAGGGACTTCTTAAGCTCAGTTTCTTAGCTACTGGGCTACCCCAGCTTACAGCATTATGCATATTGACTCAGTTTTGTTTGCTGCATACATGGAGTAAATGTGACCTTTTTGCTCTGTTCATATCACTTGCTCTTTCACATTCCAGCCTTCTCTCCTGCAGCAAATAAGAAAAAGCTGACGCAGGGATGCTTCTCATATTAGCAAGATTCAGTGGCCTCTTTCAGGTGGCGATAGCAAAGACGTCTTTAGCCAAGACAGAACTGACAAGCACTTCTACGTAGCCACATGATGTATTGGGGATGGCCCATTCCTCTCGAGTCGCCCCTTGCTTCATGCTTGGGAAGAACTCTTCGTATGGAGGAGAGGAAGGGCATAGCACTAAGTTGTCTGCATAAGTCTCTGAGCAGGTGAAGGCTAATGCTATTGAAAATGCCCATTGTGTGTTTGTGGATGGCTTGGGGCTTCTTTTGTCATACGGTTTACAAAGGAGGAGAAATGTTTGCTTACCCTCTCATTCTCTCTGTTCAGAGAGAAATCCTTAATGCCAAAGTTTTCCTTCTCAGGGCTTTTATGCTTTCCTCATTTGCTTTAGCTTCCTGTAGATCCCTGTAAACAATGCTGAGCCGATATTTTTGATGTACATACATTTATTCCATTGTTCTGGTTTTGTCTGTATACATCGGTAAAGCTGTACTTACAGGAATCTGTAAACTTAATAGGGCAGGGCAAAGAATGAGATAAGCGAAGCATTTTCCAAATTCTAACTTACAAGCTTACTGGCAATTGCTTGCAAAGGCTTGTGCTAAGCATTACTTCTGGGTTTCACATTCTGTTTAAAAACCCGCCCAGTAAAGTCAGTGGAGCTAAATTGGCAGATTATTAAAGCATGTAAGGGATCTAGAACAAGACTGATTAAAACTGGGGTTCTGTCCATTACCTTCTCACAAAAGTTCAGAGAACGTTTCCAAATGTTGCATTGTGAATAATGATTTCTTTCTGGAATTGGGGCATCTCTTGTTGTGTATTCTTATGAATGCACACTTTCATAAGCTGTGGTTTTATTTAGTGGTGGAAACAGATGTACGCTCAGTATGTTTTCTGCCGTAGTCAGCTTGTCCCAACAACAGCTCAGTGAGAATTTGGTGCTGACTTTAGGGATCTGGGAAAGGGGCAGACATTGCATTTTGCATCCCAGAGGAGTAATAATTATGAAGTAGATAAAGTGAGGCAGGAAGGGATGTCCTGCATAAAAAGCAAGATTCTTTGGGAGTAGTGAAGACAGAAAAATGAGATACATCTGAGAGGTCTGCTCTCACACTTTGTTCATCTCTAAGGCGAAAGTGGGGAGCCTTTTTATAACTGTATCCTTTTGCACACTGGCAGTGGGTGGGGCTGGAGCACCCCCTTTTATCTCTCCCTCTGCCAGCCCCTTTCTCCCTTCTTGTTACTCACATAAAATTAGGCTGAGGACTGCATGTGACTCACCACTGATCTAAATCTGGTCAAATACAGCTAATGAAGCAAATGGTGAAGAGCCTGGAAAGTATCTCTACTGCCTTCCTGCTTCCCTGGAAAGTAGGCCTTTCCCATTGGGGAGGGGCAAGGTGCCAGTTTGAATGCCTTTCCATGCCATGGAAAAAATACTGGGAGTGGTGGTGGTGGGGTATTAGAAAGAATAGACTTCTGCTTCTTGGGTTGCTCATTGACTTCAGAAAGTAGTGATTTAACCTGTGAATGAGGTATTTGCCTGGATGGGTAGGAATATAGGCGTATTTTTTAAACACCAGAATAAACTATATGCCACTGAGTTGCATTCAGCTAAGTCCTGCTTGGAGCAGTTGCCTTGAAATTAATGAACCTATGTTAGTTCTGGCCATTATCTTCTTCTGTGTAGGACTAGCATTGAATGCCACTGCTTGTATCCAACTTCATAATGATTTTCTGGGCCATGCTTGTGTCATCTGATCCATTGCGTTATTGAGTTGGACCTCCTGCCAGCTTCTCACAGCATACTTGCCAATGTTGAGCTACATCCTTCTTTCAGCAGGCCTCGGGGCCTGCCTTCGCAAGTGCAAGAGAGCTTTGAAAACGCCCACCTTGCTTGCTGCAGAGCCTATGTGCATTTCCGCCCCCTTTCCTACCACACTTGGATGGGGTTGCCTCCTTTGACAAGCGTTAATTTAAAGTCAGTAGTCTGGGCAGGCTCCCATGCTAATAATAATAATAAAATCAATGAATATGTAGCCTTGTTCTGTTCTGAGGACACTTGGGCCTTCACGTTGCCAACTGTGAGTCATCTTGCTTTTATGCCTCTTGTCATCATGTGAAATCTGGGGGTAGATCTCAACTGCATCTTACCTTACTGAATAGCTAGGGGTGTCACCTGCGAAGTCTGTGGTTGAAATATACCCTCAGGCATGAACTCAGTAGGTAGCCATAGACAAGCGCTCTCTCTAACCCTACATGCACCCCTTAGCCCCACTGGTTTGGATTAAGGGCCTTATTCGGTTTCTGATTTACGTTGCAAATATATGAAACTGCAACACTTTTCTGGCAAAGAAGGGGAAGTGGGCTCTCTCATTGTTTTTTACCCAACATAGGTATTGAAGAGGGAAGCCTCTTCCTCTGCAGAAACATCCTAGCTAGCTCTTGGTTTAGTTTTGTTTGCAGCTTAGTTTATTTTGTGGGGTTACTTCCAAGACTTGAGAACTGCCTTTTCCCACTTCCATTTTCTGAATCCTCCATTGGATCCAAGCCATCTTCTGCTAATGGAATGACTCCTTTGGCTCTTTCCCTTGGTAGTGTTGTAGTCCTAGCTAGTTGAGTTAAATTTCAGGGAGCTGGCCAGCCAGCTATGCCCCTTCTGAGACTCCAGTCCATTCCCCCTCTCCAACAGCCAGTCAGCATTCCATGCCCACCAAGTATGGACAGTCCTCACTATTTGGATTTCTTGTTTGGATTTCTTTCCTACCCACACCTCTTCCCCTCATGTTTTGTATTCAGATTTGTCTTTTGGCCTTCTGCAAAGCTTTGGGATCCTGCAAAGCCTGCCATTTCCCTCTCTCTTGTGCACGAATGGTGCCATGTTAGCTGTATAAAGATTCACACTCTGCAGATCGAGTGCACTGTTAGTACATGGGAGAATACTTCGCAGGTCACTGTTATCATGAATTGACAACCGAAAGATACGTGTAACTGGAAATCAGGCTCAATAATTTCACTTCTTTTTTTCAGGCTGGCAGTTCTGTATTGGTGTATGTAATCCCTTCCCTCCCCAGACTTCATGATTTTAATCTCTCTCCTTTGAACAAACAAGTGTTCTGTGGCCAGGGGGCTGATGCGTAGTTGTAAACAGATAGTGTTTTCATTGCTTAGTTAATCTCCACTTACTATCACGTCATCACTTGCTGAATGCATTTGTCTGACTTGCCCGCCTGTGCACAGGAAGAAATATTTGTCTTAGTCAGGTTGATTGCAGTAAACACTGAATGACATATTGTGCTGGGTACATGGTCAGCCCTTTTCAGGTTTATTGAAACAATGGGTCGGGATCAGCTGGCCAGATAAAGTGTTTAATGCGCCAGATTGCTGTGATCATCAGTTGTAGTGTTCATGTCGCTTTTTTGCATTGCTGTGGGTCAACAAGCCCGTCAGACCAGATGTCTGCAACAATGTAGTGTATGAGTTTTCAGCCTTTTGCAGCAGCCTTCAAAAATGATCTTAGTTTAAATTCAAGGGTCTTTCCAACTACACTACTTCACTTGCCTTGTTTTTAAAGAGTTCTGTAGACTTCATGGAATAGTAAGATTGTGCCCCCTAGAGATTAGTCCTGTGAACCACAAGCTATTTTTCCAAAATGGTGTGTGTGATAGATATTCATGCATAGACCTGCAGAGTTGGAAGAGACCACAGGACCATCAAGCCCAATCCCCTGCAATGCAGAAATCTTTTGCCCGATGTGGGACATTAACCCACAACCCTGAGATTGAGAGTCTCATGTTCTACTGATTTGAGCAATTGTGTGTGGAATTACTGTATGTTCCTCATTATCCTATTTCACTTTTTTCTGAGCTGCGAGGCTGGTTTTAATGGAAGAACTCATTAGCTTCAATTGTGAAGATTACTTGCAGATTTGATTTGTTTGTAGTCTGCATTAAGGCAGTGGCAGCTGGGAGACTGAAGACTTGCAGTGGGTTTTGTATTGCTAATCCTGAGCATACATGGCAGCCACCCATTTGGTAAAGAGTGTGATGGAGCCCTCTATGTGCACCAGCTTACATGTTTAGAGCTTCTCCACATGAGGGAGAATCCTGACTAGCCCATGCGCCTGTTGGGCTCATCCACTCTGCCACTGAATCTGTGGATGCCAGGGTCAGTTGTGATCAGTGCACATTTTATTGCCTTCCAGTGGTGGTGGTGGTGCAGTTCATTAGGACATTTATTTGAATCGCTCCCCCCAAAATATACTCTTAAAGTATTTTTTTTAAGTGCCAATGCTTATTAAAAGTCCACCTATAGAAGGGAAGGGTTGTAGCTCGTTGTGGAGCATCTGCTGTGTCTGCAGAAGAATCCAGACTCATTTCCCAGCATCTCTAGGTAGGGCTGGGGAAACTTGTTTCTGAACTCCAGGAGAGCTGATGCTAGCCACTGTGGACAATACTGAGCTAGATAGACCAATGGAATGACTCTGTATAAAGGTCATATGGTCCACCTGTAGGAGAGAAATGAACTACTGGGGTGCTGACACAAAAGTTTTCTGTTGTTTTTTAAAGCCTTGTAGTTATGTGTGTAATTAGATGGTGCCAGGATGCGCTTTTTAACCAAATGGAGATAATACACTTATGGAGGGGGGGGATTACTGTTCTAAATGTTGGGTCCTTCCTTCTTGCTCCCCTCCCATTTTCTTCTTCCTAAATATTGGAAGAAAGAGCAGATAAACCTGGAATCAAAGTGCTGTTTATATTGTGCATGTGTTTTACAAAGTGTTTGGCTTCATCTACTCCAGATAAATAACTGCTTGAAGTGTGTGGGGCATCACTAAAAATATCTGCAGCTTTTGTTTTTCATTAAGTTAAAGTGATACACCTGATCATGTGTTTTGCCCTTTCCTAGATCTTCATGATCTTCCCCTATAATTGATTGCTTTTGTACCAATAAGGGTACAATATTGAAAGGAAAACCTGCATTCTCTTTCTTGAGAAATGATGCTTTATTTCTGCAGAGGTATAATATTTAGTCCTCTTGAGATGCATAGCTACAGTGGTGCACAATCTGTAGGGGAAGCAGGCTAGTTTCAAGCAAACTGAAAATGTTTGCTACTATCTTTTAATGCTATATGCTAATATGTTTGTTGTGGGGTTGTGCTGTATAAAAACCATTAGAATGACAATGTATTTCCATCCCCCTGCAGATACATCCAGTTATTGATCAAGTTTTCTCCTTTTCTGATGTTCCCAAGGCCTTCCAGAAGATGGAAGAAGGGCATGCACGTGGAAAAACGGTGATTAATGTAACAGATAAATAAATATTTTCTGTCTAGGTACTTTGATTTCTGTGAAATTTCTTTAGTTCCTATGTGAGTTTTCTTACATGGGACTTTGGTAAGCTACTAATATCTAGAGGTTAATGCTCTGTTACTGCAGCAGCAATAGAATTCTTATTTTAAAATGATTTTGTTATGACACCATGAAACATGGTCATTAAATGCACAGTCTTTGGGAAGCAAAAATGTAACATTTTCATAAAACTTATTGAAGACATGCTGGAAAACCCTTAAGGTGTATGCAAAGGGATATTTAAAAAGCTTTTTGTTTTGGATAAGGAGTCACATTAATGCTTTGCTTCTGTAGATACCACCACTTGTGTATGTGCAGAATCACTGTGAGAAAAGTGTAATAGGTCTGTCCTCTTTCCCCCCACACTGGAGGCAAGTCTTTTCAGTTTTTATAGCCGTATCTCATGAAGCTAATACTGACTGCTTCATGAAAGCTGAAAGACTTTTGCTAATCCTGCACCCATAATTATCCCTCTATGCTCCATTTTGTGCCACACAGACTCAGAATAATTTATTGGCCCTGTAGAGAACGGCTGTAATATGCTATTTTTATCAGCAGTCTATTATTCCTGCTCTATGCTCCCTGCACCTTTTGCCAGAACTTGGAGCTGTTTGTAAACATACACAATAGAATTCATCAGAATAATATTTATTTGTAAAATATGTTTATACAATAGTTTGGGGCACAGAAAAATGTTTATTTTTAAGTAACGCACCTTAAAACCAAGTTTCAAAGAAATAAGCAGCAGGTTCTTATCAAGAACACTAGAAATATTTTAACCAAAAGCAATAATTTGTACAGCAGATTGAAGTGGAAGTGTGCTAATTTCCTAATAAACAAATTAACAAAATAGTGTTGTCTAACCAAGTCAGTGCAGAATTGGAAAATCCTAACAGCTTTTCAGGACACTTGACAGAGCATCCCAGGTGTGCAAGTAGCAATAGTATTAAGTGGTTTGCATCAGAACATTCAAGATCAAAGTAATAGAAATAACAGAATAATCTTCACACTAGGAAAGAGTAGTAATAGAAATAACAGAATAATCTTCACACTAGGAAAGAGTAGTAATAGAAATAGAAATAACAGAATAATCTTCACACTAGGAAAGAGTAGTAATAGAAATAACAGAATAATCTTCACACTAGGAAAGAGTAGTAATAGAAATAACAGAATAATCTTCACACTAGGAAAGAGTAGTACTTTAAGAGCTATCTTAAGTTTCTATATATAAAACCTATTTCTGTTTTCTCTTGGAAAATTGCTTTGGTTTGCTAGAGATGCCGAAGTACCAAGCATCTATTATATTTGTCATGAGAATGCAAGCTTCTCCATTACTGCCTCTAACATGCGAGTTTTCCTGTAGCTGAATACTCAAGGAATTCAAAATGTTCCCACCTTAGCATATAGGTAGTCAATTTGCTGGGACTACTTTATAGAATGGTTGCAACTCCTCTAGACTGTTTTTCACCTGAACAGTATGGTGCTAGTGTTTTTCAGGGGACAATTTGGATTATTGTGGAATTCAGATAAAATTTGTACTTAATCACACAAGCTATTGCTGTGGGTTTTCAAATGCAGCAATGTCTGCCCACTACATGCTAAGATGGGGAACAAACAGGATGGGTTGTAAAGCAGGGTACAGAAGTAAAGAGCTTAACACTGAAATAACTCTGAATACATTATCAGTAGTATAAAACTAACATGAAAATTTAGGCAACAATTTTCATCCAAGAAATTTTAGGGCACAGAAGTTGGGAAGCAAACAGTTGTTGGTGGTGCAGCTGCTTGAAAAGAGAGAATTACTATGCTAGCAAAGCCAGTTTTTATGGAATAGTATTTCCTCTTGCATTTCAAAAGTGGTACATTTTGACCTTTAACAAAGAGTTACTAAGGGCTCATTCACACTTCTGCTTGTCCCATACTTTGATGGGTTTTCTGTTTGCCCCACTGCCCTCCCTGGGAAAACCCACACTTTAGCACTGAATCAGAAAATATGACTGACATTTACTCCAATTCAGTGGTAAATTATTGGCTAGGGGAAAGTGGTGAGACAAGCAGAAGTCTGGATGAGTCCCACGTTGTATAAAGTAAGGCAGACATGCAGATTTTAAAGGAACTGAGCAGCTTATTTGGCAACCTATTCTATCTGGCAGCAAATGTTTATGGAATATGCATTTGTCTTTGATACAAAAGTACAACCACAGGCTTAAGAGTATACTTTAATACATTTGACTGTAATGCTGTAACTCCATTTTAAAAATTGCCTGATTTGATTGGGTTCATTTTATGAGTAAACGGTTCATTATATTTGGTCCAAACAGAAAAAATTTCAGTAAAAAAAATTCCAGTGCAAAAATGTAAATTCTGTTTCAGCATGAAGTCAAGGAGAATAAAACAAGTCTTTGTAAATAATTTAAAATACCAGATTAAAATGTATTCTGAATGAGTAACTTATCAATGATGTATAATAACTGCTTGCAATATGTTTTAACCTTTGAATAACAAATAGGAAAGGGGGTAGGTCTCTCGGTCTTAATCCAAGGGTACAAACAGCATTCACTCACTCATTCACTCAAATTCTGTTCATTGTTTTTAAAAATTACTGTGAAGACTGCTCCAATGTCCTGTTTTCTGCCAGTCTTCTTAAGTTGATGGAACTGATTCTTAGCCTGTGCCATTTATACGACCAGCGGTTCCCAGCACTGTGTTGGCCTGTCTTCGCTGGCTGAACTGAGAACGAGGTGGTTTTGATCATAGTGCTTCCCACCTAAAATTAAACAATAGTTTCAGTATAGCATTTGTGAGCGAAAACAAATATTTGATGCATCAACTGAATCCCCCCAATTCCTCTACTTGTTGTCTTCCTGCAGGATGGCATTCTTGTTTCTGTGCAGTCTCCTCTCAAGACAACATTTGCTTCCCTGCACCCTAGCTGCCATGCAAATTTATCTTGCAACCTGCAAGTATACATGACTTACTGGTTATCAGAAATTCTAATCCTCAGTCTAAGATGTGCCCAATCTATGAAGTATAATGCTATGCGTTTACTTATCTAGCAGATATTCCCTACTGTAAGAGGCTTACACATAAATCCATTTCTTTAATAACCAGGAACTATGAGCTTAGTCTTGAGATAGCTATGATCAAAGTCCTAACTTGTTGCATAGAAGGTGAGTCATGATTTTGGTTTGACTGGGTCCACTGGGGTAAATCTCAAGGAATTCAATGTCACACTTTGATGGATGTTGCATCTGTGAAAACATTTCAACATGCCAGATGGAATGATCCCCCCTCCTCTCCGTTCCGGGCGTTTTCCCAACCCCACTGAGCCAGTTTGAGGGGGCAACAGTGAGGGGGGAAACCCTATTGTTCAAGGCTTCCATTGATGGTGCTTTTAAGTGGATCCTGCTGTTTTTTTTTTTTAAAAAAAGCATTCTTGCTCTATTATTCCACAGAAAAAGGTTTTATGGGGAAATGTAGGGTGGTTGTTTTTTGCTACATTTACATCCTACCTGTCTTCCAAGACAGAACTTCAAGGTGCATAGACAGGCTTTTCAGGCCATTCCCCATGGTTTTCAACCAAACCATACCTATTGTCATTATTTATTAAATTTATATACTGCCTTTCATCCAAAGTTCACAGGGCAGCTTACAACATAAAACACAATAAAAACAAAAAATGCATAACATAACAACCAAAAAAATCCCAGGCACATTTAAAAGGCCATAGATTGTTCTATCAGCCAAAGACTGAATATTTTCACTTGGTGCCTAAAGATTTGTAATGAAGGTGCTGGGCAAGCCTCCCTGAGAAGAGCATTCTGCAAAGGATGAGCCACTGCAGAAAAGGTCCATTCTAGTGTTATAATGTTGCATCTGTTTAGAATGTTGCATTGCCTTAACGTGAGACCATGCCCTGAAAACGTGGCTGATCATACTAGAGTTTAGACTGTGTATATATCATATGATAATTTGTGTTATTAAATTTTAAACAGGCATTTGCCTATGTTGATAATCATTAATGCTTGTATATCTTTTGAGTATCTACTCTGAAATCCTTGCATCTCACCTCTATGGACTCAAAATTATATATCATGTTCACAACTGATCAAGGGGACTTTTACGAGAGGATGCTTACTACTCAAAATGACTAGCTCTGTTACCCGCAAAGGAATGCTATTTAACTAACAAAATGTAAATTGGCATTCTCAAAGTAGACTGCAGGACATCATCCGACTCTTCGTGACCCCATGGACACGACTAAACGACAACAAATTTGGCATTTAATTTACACATCAATAATAAAAACAATACTGCTTTCTCCAAATGTTGTATTGTAGATTTCCATTGGCAAGAAACTTGTCTGGAAAAGTATGAGCTGTGGAACATCATGTGGTAGAAACTATGGGAACAGTTTTGGTTATTTTATAAATTACTCAAGATGTTTTTTTGCAGTAGCTAGTAGTGAACAAGTGGATCAAGTTTTGTTTGTTAAAGAAAAAGTCCATCTATCTTTCAGTGTCAGTTCTAACTGCAGCCTCAAGAGGGCAACATAACACACACTTAGAAAGTACAAGCTTAGTATCAGCTCACAAACTGGAATAGGCATTAATATCCTGACAAATGCTATTCTTTTCCTCTTTGAGTTGCCACTGGCCCCTTGTTTTTCTATTAAACTAAAGATCCTGACATTAGTATGACTGGAACTCAGTAAATATTAACTTTACTAACAGAGTATTAACACTAAACTGCTCTGATGCAAATAACAAAGCTTGCTGAACTTATGTCTGTCCAGAATGATTTTGTACTTTGATATTAAGCCTATGCAGTTTTTCAGAGAAAAAGCAGATTTACTACATGGCTTATGATAAAACAGTAAATCCTCAACTCTCTACAAAAATTGACACTATACCTATGCCATCTACAGATTAAACTGCTCAAGTGTTCAGAAAAGACAATAATCTGAATCCAGTTATTAAAACTAATAATAAAAACTTTATTATTAAACTGAAGTCTATATAGATTCTTTGAAAAGCATTACAAATCGATGCAAGGTGGTTTGGTTTTCAGCAGTTGTTTAATGCAAACAGTGCTCTTGACTCTTTACAGTAACTGGCCCAGGCAAAAGTGTGATTTCTGTCTACCAATTCACATTAGCTAAAAGGGCTCAAAAGGTGTGTCCTTCCAACCCCAACCCAGTATGGAAAGCATGCCTTTAAAAAATATTGCTCTGCATTAACCAGATCATACGGATTTCCGAAGATAATGGGCTATTGCTGAAAAACGTGGAATTTAGATTGCACACTCAATACAAACAACACGAAGCCATGTCTTTCTTTCCACTTATCTTACCGAAATTCATTTTCACTAAATACCAATTCAGAGTTGTTTATAACTTACAGCCGGGAAGTTCTTACCTTTAATATCTAATACTAAGTTTGGTTTCATCTTTCTGTAAATCCTCCCATCTGGATTAATACTCCATTTTTGTTTTTCTTCGTTCTGCTGAAGTGCCAGGCCCAGTTTGGCACCAGGTGTAATCAGGTTACCCACAATTGTCAAGCAAAGTTCTTCTGCCAGCTGTGCAGTTAAATAGAAAAGTATGAGTCAAAAAATCTTGGTCTTACTTCCAAAACTAGTATATTTGTGCATATGCATGGATAGGATTGTGGGTATTTTCATGTCTCTCTTGATACTTTCCTCTGAACAAACTGATTTTCAGCATTCAGAGATTCTAGTAGTATTCCCACAATATAGCGGCTGTTACTGCAACATTATTTAACATTTGTTCATTCATTCTCTAAAAAAAACTATCTTACTGTACAGTACATATTATTAGAGGTACATTAACTGTTTAGTTGCAGTTTTGTCGTGGCTTTTTGCCATACAGAATATGAAGTAGTAGCAGAATGCCATATTTTTAGAGATGAAAAATAAAAGCCTACTAATTATTTGGCATTCAAGGTACCTTGAACAACAGCTTTATTATTTGTACCCCACCTATCAGACTGGGTTGCCCCAGCCACTCTGGGTGGCTTCCAACAAAATATTAAAAATACAAAACCACAGTGAAACAGAGCATAAAAAATTTCCCAATACAGGGCGGCCTTCAGGTGTCGTGTAATTATTTATTTTCTTGACATCTGATGGGAGAGTGTTCCACAGGGTAGGTACCACTACTAGAAGGCCCTCTGCCTGTGAACTATTTATTTGTTACATTTTTATGGAAAAGCAGGATTTAAAAGTGCCCAAGGTGGCTAGCAATTAGTCCCAATGTATAATAATTAAGCAGTATCACAAATATCACAACAAATATCACAACTCATTATCATTGTATACGTTCACCAAAGCAGCTTGCTAATAACACTCTACTTCCACATAAACTTGTCTGAATTAAAGATAATTTATCCCTGCTATGTTGAATGGATGACTGATGCCATGAGAGACAGAACAAGCTAGATGTAATGCAATTCCCAGCTGGAGATCATACAAAGTGTAATGGCTAAGTAATAGTTCTACTGTTCTAGGTTGTTAGGCTGCTGAACGGAAAATAATATAGTGCAACTGACTTTCGGGGTTGGTGTGTTGTGCGACAAGCACACGGAGTGCAAGGAGATTGAGTGTTTGGGGGGGAGAGGCTCAGTTAATTTCACTGTATACAGGTTGTACATTGACAATAAAGGTATTATTCTTATCTACTTCAGACTGGGTTGCAAGAATTCAACTGAGTGCTGAAATGAAAACATATGAAAAGTAATGGTTTAATATCACTTTAATGTTTCCAATGTGTTCAAGATGAGGCATTACAATCAACCCGTTCAGTGTTGCAGCCTGTTGTAAGTGCACAGCTTCTATTTGCTCCATGTTGAGACATGCTCTTGGTTTATTGCAAGAAAGAAACCCATTCCACTGTGAGTTGAGAAATCTATTCCTTTGGCAGAATGTTTTAGGTCAAGTTATACAACTTAAAAAAAAAAAGAAAAAGACACATGGCTTGTCATTCAAGCTCTGTTCACTTTGTTTTGATGTTACGGCCTGAATATTTCTTTTTACTTTGATCATCAAAGTATGTAACTCAGTAGGATTTACTTCCAAGCAATTTTTTTTTTAGGTCTAGCTGCTAGGCTAGTGTTAGCAGGCACCACTGTTGCAAGCCTTGATGTAGAAGTTCACAATTTGATTTTGAAACAACACATATTTCCACTATAAAGCAGGAACCAAACAACAATAGAATTATTAATAAATTGTCTAAAAGACTGCTTTCAAAACTCAACATTTCCTCCTATATTTGTCAAGGTTCCAGGTCAGTAATAATAATTATATAGACTCATTGCTTTCAAAGGGCTCAAAAAAGTCAGCAAGAGAGACTATAAAAACCCTGAAAAATCCAGTATCTTCCTCCTGTAAAGCAGCTATTATTTCAGCTTGTTTATTTATTTCCATGTCTTTAGTAATCTTGTTATTTTTTTAATATAAAGCAGCATAAAAAAGTTGCATTGAACACAAGGTACAGCTACTTAGTGCAGCAAATAGTAAGGGGGGGGGCAAGAGGAATATAGCCTCTGGTCAAAGTCCTTTTTGCTTTCCCCTTAAGAATCACTGTGGGGCTGCACTCATAGGAAATCCAACATGGGCAGCTGTTGGGGCTCAGTGCATCCTGGCAGTCTCACCAGGGCTGACATCAGAGCCTCCCCACCCAGGTGCTTCTTTAAACTGTTACTCTCCTTATATGTTTTACCCAGTGGGCAGCCTTTTGGATGGCAGCCATGTCATCCCCAATCCTTCATGAGTGTGCTCCATTTCCCAGGCTTCAATGCTGCTTCAACCACGTAAATACATCCGAGGGGGAGTTAAATGACTGGCAGTAGTAGCAATGTCAGGGGGCAGCAACAGAGCCAGGCAGCAGTGGCAGATGGGGAAAGCCACTGGTGTGAAAAAGCCAAGGACCCGCTAAGCCTGGCACCAGCCCTTTTACGAAGCTGCCGACGCAAAATAGAACCATGCTTTTCATCAAACTGCTGAAGAGCTCATGTTCCCTATTCACTTATCACAGTATAGAAAAGTTATTTCCTATTTTTCCTATAGGATGGGTGCTGTTAGCAAGTAATTATTAAGGCAGAACCTTACCCTACATTTGATGTATCCATCTTGATAAATCCAGACTTGTTCATCAGATTTAGCATCTTCCACAACCTGTATCCTAAGAAGATTCAAGTCATCTACATTTCCATCAGTTGACATGAACTTCTTTGTTACTTTGTTTCTCAGTCTGAAATATGCTTTTTTCTGTAAATAAATAAATCATGGCTTTTAACACTACAGTACCGGCAAACATTATGAGCCCTGTCTGGCTAACCTTGACCTAATAATGTAACTTCATTATTCAGCACTTCAAGATGCTTCCCCCTTTTTACAGACAATAGTGTCGCAACCCTGGATTAGGGAAATACATAAAATATGACGTTATTAACTTGGTACTCTTGTGCAATACTAGGATAAAGGGATTGAATCGGAGGAGAGCTGATCAGTCCCATAGTACTAGTAAAAAGATACAAGATTCACAGACGCTTCTGACATCCCAGAGTAAATTGTAGTGTCTTACCTGTAGTAAAGGCCGTAGAGAACCTATTTTGTGGTAGCCACTTGACTCATACCAGTTTGGTATTTTCTGAGGTGATAATAAAATCTGACGACCTTTATAGTTACTGTATTCATAAATAATCCATCTGAAACAAACAGTATTTTACTAACTAGGTACATTAAAAAGTGCTGAGGAGAAACAACCTTTTAAAAATATTTACTGCGGTAGTATTGCATACTAGTGTCTCTTCTCAACCTGTTCGCCACTTCTACCCCCCTTCCCCTTTTTTTACACCCTGTTGCCAGCTGTGGGGAGGAAACCAAAGGAGAAAGTCCTTTCCCCCTTTGTTGTCATCCTCTCTGCTGCTGTGAGGAGTATGCTATGTGAATAGGAGAGAAAATGTTAGAAAGCAGACTTCCATCTTCCTCTTGCATGGAATATGGGGTGGGGATGAAAGCTGCTTTCTCCTTCTCTCCAGAGGAATAAGCAGGACAGGCCCGAGCCTCCTGCTCTGCTGCCATCTCTCCCCGCACCCCCCAATCTTGGCCTCCTACCTAGCTGACACTGAAACAGCATCATTGATTTGAGGTGTACAGCAACAGCAGAGCAGGACAGTTGCTGGGAAGCTGTTCTAGTCTGACCTGGCTATTCTCCTGTGGCTCATCTGGGCCTCCCAACCCCCATGCATATTGCCAGGGCTGCCTGCTCATTAGCCTGCCTATTCTGTTGTCACACTGCACTTTGCATGGCTGCCCAACACAGCATGGTGACATTTTTACAATTACATATAACAGTATATATATCTTGCTTAAGCAGCAGATCTACTATTATTATGCCTCATGAAAACCAGTGAGAGTTGCCTCTAAGTGAATACGTTTAGGTGGGTGGCTTTATGACTGTATTGCACAGAACAGTGGTGTATGTTTGAGCCCAATAAAACCATCATAATAGCCAATATCTTTGAAAAGGCCTAATAAAAAGCAGGAAATGTCACTGTGAAAGCTGAGATGGGTTCAAGTCTGTCCTTTGCTCAAGCCACCCGAAGCTTGTAAAGTAACAAACTGATCCACAGACATTAATTTACAGGGGTTTTTTTTTAATCAAAAAATTATGCAGTAACCCTTGACTAATCCATGATTAATGATCCAATGCTAACTGGAATATGAAGCCAGGGTATGAAGTAGGCTTAAAATTCACAGTGTGTAGTAAGAATTATATTTGAACTGAGCACCCTATCCCACCCCTTTTTCCATTTTTCTAGCCTCTGCTTGCAAGGTATACAGCAGACCTTGCCAACATCTCCCTACCCTACAGTCTTGGAGTAGGCCTTAGCTTGGAAAGGGAAACCACGGAAACTTGGCTTTGTTTCACTGTCTGGGATCTTTACAAAGTATGGATAAATGTTATGTCACCACTAGGCCCAAGGCAACTAACCATTTTTTTAAAAAAATGTGAGGGACATGCAGGTACCTGAATTTTCACCTGGAATGAGTTTTCTGGCAATTCTGTTAAACATGGCGTATTTAGATAATGTCCTGCTACATAAACCACTACTGACAACTTGACAGAGTAACAAGCCTGAGTTCATCCTTGCTTCAGTTAAGACAGCCTAAAATACCCAGGATCAAAGTCTTACAGCAGGGGTGAGGACAGTATTCGAAACTTCCATTGTTCTAGGTGCATTTTGCAACTGAGAAATCCATAAGCGTGAGCAATTTCTGAGCTCTGGGCGCAGTACTGCGCCTACGATTTCAGATTAAAACTGCAGTGGAAGGAAAAGAGGACTTTTTTCTGCCTCCCCATTTCCAGCTACTCTGAGAAGAATGGAGAAGAGACCCTTTAAAAAATATTAGGGGGTGGGCAGGGGAAGGACTAGATCATGCGAAAAATGAACATTGAATTTTAGCTGCGGTTCATTCATTTTCAGTTTTGTATTCTTGTTATAAAAAAGTGTGCCTAGACATTCTGTTGTTGCGCCCATAACCTCGGTTTCAGGTGCCATTTAGCTCCTAGCCATCATATCTCAGTTTCTAACACTGGGTGAGGAGCATCAGGCCCAGGACCCAAATGTGAACCCCAGGCCTTTCTGTCTTGTCCTTAGTATTCGTCAGAGGCCACACCTCTCACTAGCCACACTTTGCACTGTCCTTGTGTTTTTGTCTGGCTGGAATGCATCCTTGAACTGTATGATGCCTCTTGATTGCACAAAGAGTGCACCAACGCCCGACTTTGGTGTGTAGCCCAGTATACAAAGGTAAGAGTCAGAGTCATTGCTCTTCTTACTTATGCCTTTGGTCCCCTTGCTGCTGAGATCTGGTCTCTGGAAGGTTCCATAGAAGGGAATGTAGTCCTTGGACTGAAAAATAGTCCCTATCCCTGCCTTAGAGACAGGAACATCTTTTTAAAAGACAGTGTACTGTATCTACAAAATTCCATTTAACAGTGCAACCCTGTACATGTACTTAAAAGTAAGCCTCACTTAGTTCATTCTACAAATAACAAATCCCTCACTTCAGAAAGTGAACTTACATGCCACCATGGACATCTACTGAAGCCACATGACGGTTGTAGCCAAGGAACTGGAGATTTAAGACCTCGGTAGTAAATTCCATTTTCTTTCCGTTGAAGTCTTCCTTTTCAAAAAGGGCTATGGTTGGCTCAGAAAGTTCCTGTTTTAAAAGAGAAGGTTGTTTATTTCTTGTACATCTGATGTTTACTAATGTGCTGGACAGTTGCGAGGTGTTCATCAAGCACTATACACGACTTAAATCTGGGTCATCCCCTACCTCAGTGCTGCATTACACTGCTATTACCTTAGCTAAAACTGTAATGTTACAGCAACTTGAATTTGAACAATTCTCCAACAGAGGAATGGTTGGGGAGGTTAGTCCAGTAATACTGTACTGTAAACCATGGCACCTGGAAAGGCTTCAAGTCCTCAGTTCAAGCTAAATAACTTATCTAACACAGCTATCTTTTCAGAGAAATGAAAAACAAGTCCTCTGGTCTGGAACTGACAAGGTGGCATGTCTGTATAAAAGGCATTACTCATGAAAAAGTTATTCCAAGTGTGGGATGAAAACTGGAAAGAGAAGCAAGGTGATGACTTACAGCCACACCTTCCATTCTTGGCTGGCATTTTCATGAGTCAGCAACAGCTAAAATTGCAGAACTTTTCCTACAGCTATATGGACAAACAGATGTGCTGCAAATCTGTAATTCTTTACAAAGTAAGAACTCTAAACTTTGCTACTCAGGATTTTATACATAACACTTATTTTATGCACTTATTCCATGCACAAGAGTTACTAATTTATAATTCTAGACAAGGTATAGATAAAGTCAAGGTGTATTAAAGGTAAAGGGACCCCTGACCATTAGGTCCAGTCGTGACTGACTCTGGGGTTGCGGTGCTCATCTCATTTTATTGGCCAAGGGAGCCGGCGTACAGCTTCCGGGTCATGTGGCCAGCAGGACTAAGCTTCTGGCAAAGCTTTGCTTCTGGCAAAGCAGAGCAGCACACGGAAATGCCGTTTACCTTCCCGCTGGAGCAGTACCTATTTATCTACTTGCACATTACATGCTTTCGAACTGCTAGGTTGGCAGGAGCAGGGACCGAGCAACGGGAGCTCACTGTCATACAAAATGTTTCAAATGTACTCATGGCATTTCTGCTAAGGCTTAGATTGGTGAGGACCATATAGTTTGTAGGGAAGGATTTGGAGTTGGTACAAAAATCCTTTTGCAGCATTAAAATTATTGAATGAGAGAAATAATACTGTATTTACTCGAATGTAATGCACACCTTTTTTGGCCAAATTACTTCGCAAAAATTAGGGTACACATGGTTTTGAAAATTGAGGTACGTATTAGATTCAATGGCACATTAGATTCAAATAAATACGGTATATGCTTTAAGAAAAAATTCTAGTGAAATGACAGGGGTGTGGCAAAAATACTCAAACTTAGTCTCAAACTGAGTAGGAGAACTTGGGCACCAATTCTTAGAATTACAATTCTTGTATAAACCAGCTGAGATAGAACAATTCAGCTGGCCTGATGAAGAGGCCTTCAGCAGCTGACATATGAGAAAAATGAAGAGCCAAAGGCAGTTGATTTCTTAGCAGAGCCAATGAAATGGTCCTGCTTTCCTTCTGTGTCTCTGGTGCAGCTTGATGGAATGGGCGCTACTAGGTGACAGTTGAGGAAAAGCCAAAGGCAGCTGGCTTCTCAGCAGAGCCAATGAACATCTGAGTAAAACAGCCTTCCAAGTCTGTGGAATTATCTTGTTTATATATAAGCAAGATATAAATTAGATTCCAGGCATGCTGTTTAGTGATACTTCTTTAGTATGTTAGCACAACCTGCAAATCTTCAAGGTGTTTATTGATGTGAAAAGGCAGGTGCCTTGCCATTTGTTTGTTTTGTTAACAGAACTTTCAAAGAAAACATTTACTTAGCACCAACAGCTTCTTTCAGTGCAAATTAACAACTACCAAATTGCTAAATACAAAGCTTTGCTTTGCGGTTGAATCTGTTGTGCCTAAAATTGACGACTACTACTAGACAAATGTAGAGCAGGTAATTTATGTGCTTTGGGCCTTCATGGTCAATTAAATGAATACTGTGTATTTATTAAGAAGTAAGCACTTCTAGTACATTTTTTTCTAGTGCTGCTATGAATTTTTATCTTGAGAAAAACAAGCGTGGAGTTTGAAATACTCATTGAAACTTTCCCAAATACTTTGTCTTATTCATTTCATGTCACTTTACACCTACTCCCTGTGTGATTCTAGCCAATCAGGGATTATAAACTAACAATATGACATCATGGTATTATGTAGCCAATCAGATTTGATTATGTACCATTAGCAATAAGGGCAAATAACGCAGCATTGACCACCCTGGGAAGCTGGGACAATTGAGCATTCCTGTCTTCTTGTGCTGCATAGTACAGCAAGAAAGCAGGAATCAGCCAACTCAATTGGCAATATTGTCCTACTGCATCCTCTGTGAACATTTTGCTCACTAATTTCCTCCTTCAAGAATTTTATTTCATGAAAATTACCTCCCTCCTCCCCCCAGAAACTCATCCTCTACTTTATATCAACAGATGTATGTGAAGGGGAGGGGCCAGCAAGACAGCTGACCTGATTGTAAATGTAGGCAGACTGAAAGGGAAATGTTGAGGAGAGGGGAGGTTGAGGAAGACATTCTGGTGTACAATGGCTGTGTAAAAGGCAGCCATCAGAAGGCAAAAAAGCATTAATGCTGGCTGGAAGTGAGAAAGGACTAAGGATTTAAGGACAGATAAAGGAGTGCAAGTATAAAGGAAGGTGGGAGGGAATATAATTTAGAGAATATTAAAGGATCGAGAAAAGGTCAGGGGAAGCAGAAAGGACTCAAGTTATACAAAGGGGAGGAGGGCTGGGCACAAAATGCTCTATGTTGCTTAGGATTAATTTGGATGCTTTTAAAAAGAGCCAGCAAGAAAAACTTTGTGATGGGTAGAATCCTGATATCTCTCGAAAGTGAGGGATTCACCATGTACCATCTGAAGTAAGAATATGTTCTGGGAATCTAAGGGTTCTCATTATAAGGGAAAACTTTACAAGGTAAATAAAATTTTAAGCAGAGGCATCTCTCATGTATGATTTAGCTGAGATTTCTGCATTGCAAGGGTTGGAGTAGATGACCCTTGCAAGACCCTCCAACTATATGATTCTATAGCTCTATGATTCTATGAAATACATGTAGCTGCCCTTTCATATTTACTCTGGCCCTCAATTAATGGAGGGAATTTTTGGTTTAGTTGATTAATCTTCTAATTGAATTAATTCATGTTTGCAGCCTGATCTTTCTGAAGTCACAGAATCAACCCTGAAAAATAGTTTAGCAAAGATTTAACTGCTGGATTATTCTTTGAACTGCTTTTTTACTAATCATGAGCTCCCCTAGGAATATGTACTGAAGGGTGGGATACAAAATTTGTTACATAAACCAACAATTAATGGTAGGATTTTGCAATATCTAAAAATACGGATAACCATGCAGGTTGTTCCATGCTAATTTGCTGTCAACTCCATAAAGCTACAATATATGCTTCCTTTCCCCCAAATAAACTATTTAGCAGCATATTTTTAGGTCAATTTTTGTTTCTATTAGTCATAAGAACTTAGTTCAGTAATGAAGCAATTTCAGCTTGCAATGGCTATCCAACTCTTTGTAAAACTTACAATATTTACAACTTTTAAGGACTTCAAGCATGTTTTGGGTAGGCAACCCATTGCAGACAGATTAGGATAGGCTCCTTCTTCTAACACATACTGATTTCCAGAGAAATTTTCTTCATCATATGCAATCCAACTGCAAAAAAGAAGAAAATGGCAATGTTAAATTCTTGCTTTGTTGTTAATTGCCAGTTTTCTTAATTGTTAGTTTTGTTAATTGCCATTTCAACCCAAGCTCTGTGTAGCTTGAAAGCCTGCTGCCCGAGTGCTCAGTCAGATGTAGCATTATTCTTCATCAATAAAGAATAAGAATATTCCATTAATGGGCTTTTAAAAATACATGTCTCCTTCCTGATATGTTTAAGAGACTTTGCATCATGCAATGCAGTATCAACATGTTCTTGTGCGAAGTTATTCAGAATGAGCAGAGACATGCATTCTAAAGGGTGGGGAAATAATCATTATCAAGCCAAGAAGTGTGCATTCAAATCCCTTCCACTACACTTTTGAATACACAAAATGCTTGTCATTATCCTTAGTTGCTCCCTTACATTTTTAGACAGATTTTACTATTAAGAACAAAAACCTTGATTCCACTAATCCCAAATGGGAAGATGCATCCACCCTGAGCCTATTCAGTGTTACTCAGATGGTTTGTATCTGTTGCAAACTCAGAAACTTGCTTGCTTGGGAGTTCAATGATGCAATTTCGTACTCACCTGCCAGATAATACTTTTGAAGACATAGCAAGGAATGTCTCCTCGATCTCTGAAGTATCTTTCTCAAATATTTGACAGTTACCCTGGAACTCTGGTTCCGAAAATAGCTGGACCTTTAAAGACAAAGCAGGTCACGTTAAACACTAAACATTGTGCTCAGGACAATTCCAACATAGTGAGTGTCAGAAAAGACCTGCAGAAATAAATGAATTTAACTAATGCACTTAGTTGGGTATCACCCCATGTTGTTAAACAGATAATTCTGATAACATTTTAATTATCTATGAATACAAGCAAAACTTCTTTTAAACTAAAATAAAAATGTATGTAATGTACATTTATGTAAGACGTATTTCCAAACTATTTTACAAAGATGACTTTGTAGTAGAATTTGACAGTCAATTCTTGATTCCATTTGCTGACCTGGAAGTGAAACTTTATTCTAAGATAGACAAACTGTCTTTTCCCTTATTGTTATGGCTCCACTGGCAACAGTATCTTTTGATCTGATGTGTTCTTGCCACAGTGAAGAATGAAAAGACAGGCTAGAGCTTGAACAGACTGAATGTTGGTTCAACTTGAAAGCAGTGAGATTTTTCAATCTTGATGAGATCCCATTCCTGAGCTTGGTACTTCAGACAAAGGTGGGAACTCACTCCTATAGTCATATTGAGCTTCTGAAGCAGAGCGCTCCCATGCTTCCAAGTGCCTTGGAACTCAGCCAACATCAGGCAAGATCCCTCTCAAGAGTCAGGGGATGAGCAGGGCTGATGGTGACTGCACATTTTGGCCAGTAGCTAAGGCTCACCAAAATTTGTGGGCTCTTCCCCATTGCCAAAACCAATATTATCCTTCCATGTGTTGGCCAGGTCTGCATGATACCATGTAGAGAAGCACCCTGGGAAGATTGAAAAGTCCTTTCGCAAAAAAGCCTGAGTATTTTAGGAAACCCTGAGCATCATCTGCAAATACATTTGTTCTTGCATTAAAAGGACCAGGACATTTGCATTAGATTTTCTCTCAAGCATCTGGCAAAACTTGACAAGGACTCAGTCTGCCTCCTCCCAGGGTACTGATTCCACTTTGTGAATCTCTCTGCCTACAGCCTCTCTACTTGTCTTTTTTTATGTTATCTCAATTCAGCTTGCTATATTTGCTATGTAAAAGCTTGGAAGCTTTACCTTAAATTTCCCCGTATGATCACTCATGTTGTCCTAAAATAAATGGAGGGGAAAAGAGACAAATATGACGCCAGAAATATACATTATACAGAAAGAATATTGATTAATGAAATACGGAGCAAACTAGCTTGGTAGGAAATAAAATAAAACCCAGCAGAACAAACAAACAAACCTTACCAAAATTATGGGTTGAACTGAAGAGATCTTACAACTTTTAGCTCCCCATGTACCATAGTTGGGGTATAGTCCTTTATCAAGGATATACTGCTCTCCTGTAAAGTCAGGATTTTCATACGCCACCCACCTGCGGGGGAAAAAATCATGATTTATGCTCTAATTAATTGATGCATTGTATTTTTTAAAAACAATTAAATCAAACATTTAATTATGAATCTTGTAGGAAATGACTGACATTAAGTAAGCTGTACTCAATGTACTTAGCTTCATATAAAAATAATATATTTGCAAACACAGCAAGGATTTTATAAAGTCATCAGAATGAAACGTTATATTGTTTGCCTCTAATAATACAGCTCAAAACACCCAAATTACAGTTCAAAACACCCAAAATATATTAAGCAACATTATGATGGGGAAAGGTAAAAATGGTAAAGCATGACATCATTACTCTGAAAGTAAGGCAATTTTCTTAAGTCCGGTTCAGGTAGTTATATTTAGCATAGCCCAATGAATAAATCTAGTTTGCTAACAACTTAAGAGATATATGTACCATTGTCTAATTTCACACTGGGCTAGTAATGTGAGCGAGCAAGGTTTGTTATTGGTATGAGCTTTCGTGTGCATGCACACTTCTTCAGATACACTGAAATAGAAGTCACCAGACCCTTATATATAGTGAGAGGGTGGGGAGAGGTATTACTCAGAAGGGTGGTGGGAATGGGTGATTGGCTGATAGGTGTGGTAAACCTGTTGACGACTGTACGACTGACGACTGCAATTGGTCTTTTTCCTGTTGGTCTCTAAGGTGCTACTGGAAGGATTTATTTATTTTTATTCACTATTCATAGTTCGTTTCTGTCCGAAGAAGCAAGATTTTAGGTTTCTTAGTTCAAGACATGGATAATAAGCTCTAGTAAAGCAAAGTTGCATTTCAGTAAAATTATACCAGGCATATGAAGCATGCCTAGCATGAAAGCACTGTATGTTTTGCCCATTGAAGTGTCACATTTTAAAAGTTTACCATTTCCTTTTATTCTGACTCATGTTTAACAGATCCATCAACACACTGTTGATTAATCATTTGAGGCATATGCCTTAAGCACACACCCAACATGCTCTGTAAACTGCTTAGTCAAAGTGACGGAGGGATGAACAGTATGTTAACCATGAAGATCAAACTGAAATAAGACATGTTTATACTTGAACATCACATGCAATAGAAATTTTGAAAATAAAGCAGGCTTGGCCAGTCTCTTGGACAAATAAATGTATCAGGCTTCTAGTGCTGCAAACACTAAGGCTATGCTGCAAATGTTCAGGTCTGAAAATCCACACAAATTATGTTTGTTTACTCATTCTCTATGGGATCTCCATGAAAATGAGTTGAGTGATTGGTGCTACCCATGTGCCAATTATTCCAGAAAAGGAAGATGCAGAACTAGGTTTTGCCTTCCTGTTAGTGCTGATATGCAACTACCCTGGTTGGTACACCCAAAGGAATCCTGTATATATATTCATTAAAACTGCTGTGGGAAGCAGGAAAAAACATGTTGCGCAAAGAAGCCATAAACTGAGAAAAAATACCAGATCTCACTTGAGACATAACTCCCAGAACTATATGGCAGCCAAAGATAAAAATGTAATGGAAGAAAGGAACTCAAATTCCTCTTCAAGGAAGGCTAGCTGGATTCAATTATTTATCCCTCAGGAATGTGCATCATGACAGTTCACTCGTGCCCTCTCTTCTAAAACTGGATTATTACCCTGCTTTGTTAACTGACATTAAACGAGTTCCATGGTATAGACATAGTAAGTAACTGTTGCTCAATACAAACCAGGATCCCTGCACCAAAGCTGGTATGTGAAAGGATGGGTGTCACACACCCTCAACTTCATAAACCATGGTTTGCCAAGGCTGTCTTGAACTAGTACACTCTCAGTGCATGTTCTGATGAAAATATCTGTTTAGTAGTACTCAATTACTCAATTAGGAGCAACAGACACACGACCATAGGTGCTGGATGAAGATTGCTATGTTGCTCTCATTTCATACACCTAATCTAGAATACTAATCTGCATGGTAGGAACAGTACAGATTATCCTTTCTGCAACACAACGCTATAACAGCTATAACAACAGGAAACACATACAAAGACAACAAAGAAGTAATACCAAGTTACTGATTCAGGCCTCTTTTCCTTGTACTTATCTCTTTACAGCAAATTAACCATTTAAAATGAAAATTAAGCTACACATCTGACTTACACTCCACTTAAAACATTTATGGATTGAGTCCTTAGTCCGTAGCCAGTATCCTTTAAATGGGAAACAATTCCTGAAACGCTTATATTGGAACCTTTAGTCCCAAAGTCTTTTTCAGCATACATTATCATGTGAGGTTGCATAAAACTCTGTTGAAAGAAAGAAAACAACAGAAAGCCATCAAGGCAAAAGAAATACAGTCTCTGTGAGAGAAGACTATAACTCTAAGCAGGTGTTTTGGGTGCAGATGTTGGGTGCATTAAGGTTTCCCACCCCTGCCCTACACTGTAAAAGACATACTTCCTCTGAAGTCTACTCCAAAACTCAAAAGATTTATTTAAATTGGAAGGAGAAAAGATGCCTTACATAGTTAAAACAATATGCAGTGACAGGGGAAAGAAGTGGCCTTGCAGAATTGGTGCTCCACATCTTTAAATTGCAAGGGCAGATGCCAGCTTAAACTTTAAAGCACTTTAAATATGGGTATACACTGAAGTGTGTATCAAAGCACTGATGCAGTTTCTTGTAAGCATTGCACTGCTTCTGTCTTCAACCTGCTGGTTCCATTTAACAACAGACAACACTAGGCTGGAACTGTTGTCCTGTGTTCAGAGTTATGTTGATGAATACAGGTCAGCTTTAATGTGAGAACAGAAATAAAGGAAGTCCAAATGAAAGCACTCTGTACTGGTCAAGCTGAGCCAAGCAAGGCCACAAAACCATGCTGCTCTTTCCCAGATTCCTTCCTGGCCTTCAGATTAGAGGCTGACTTGCTCTTGTTCCTCCCCTTAGCCACCAGGATGGGTGCCTGCCTGCTTTTCTCCTCCTCCAGAGAAAACAAGAGAGGTTGAAATCCCTGGCACTCCTCCCTCTTCTCTGATCCACCCTGTCTTCCTCCTTTCTCTGGCATCTGCTGCTGTAGCTATATAGCTGTTTCCTGGCATTGGGCAGGCTGACAATGTTTGCCCAAACTTGCACATTATCAGGCAGCAGCCCCAGGAAAGCTTCCGTCTACTATACAGTCTAGTCAAGAAGCAGTTCTTTCAATGGAATACATACTCAAAAACACATTCAAACCAACATCTCCTTTGTATGCATGCCTGTACATTCCATATTTGGATGCACGTCCAAATTAGGCCTGCTGTTTGTGATCCACCAGGTTTCTGTTTCCCTCCCTCTTTCACACCCACCCACCCCACATACTGGATATGGGGGAGCATGGAGGGGGATTGAATGGAATTTTATGAGAAGGGCAAAATGTCTTCCCTCTCTCAATTCCCACCCCCCATGCAAACAAAGACAGTGGGATGAAGCAAAACAGAGTGAACCACAAACGTTATTACGTGTTTTCCTAAGACTACACTTGTTTTCATCATTTTTAAACTTACCCCTAGAACAGGCCTCAGCGACTGCACCTGCTCATCATAACCACCCCAGTCCATCCATTCCTGGTATTCTCCTTCTTCCAGCAAATACTGATGCCCTGCAAACTCTGGCTTCTCATAAGCAACCCAACTAAAAAGGGTAAACAAATTTTTTGAAAAAATAGTAGTAGAACATGTAAACAAAATAATGTATGTACAAAACATGTGATCTTATTGCATTAACAGCAAAAAATAAAATAATGAGATGAACAGCAAAAATGATAATTAAAATAAATTGTTATAAAAACTGCAAATGAAATAAGGGACATGACCCACAATTTCAGTGGGAGATCTTTAAACACATGACCAATTTAGCCACATTTAATCCGATTTAATACCTCACATTTTAACAAAAGAATGTGGAAAAGAACTATGTGGACCAACAGTGCAATCTTATACATGCCTATTCAGAAATAAGCCATTTTGTGTTAAGGGGGCTTACTCCCAGGATAAGCAGGTATGCTGTTACAGCAGTAACAAATTAAAGTCAGATACATTTTCCAGAAGTCAAGCAACATCTCTAAAATTAAGCACCATGTGGCATTTATATTTACATATGCTGCAATCCTTACCTACTGATCTCAGAAGGATTGCATTATACATCACAGTATCAACACAGCATTAAGAAAGTTTGCTAGCTAATGTTTCAACACTTTTCAAGAGTAAATTAATGGGGACAAAAGAACATCTTATCACAAACATGCATATCACATAAGTATTATGGCTGCTTCATACACTCTGGAAATTAGCAGGTATCATATATGAAGTGACCATTGTGTTTCCTGTAATGTAATAGAACCACAACCCTCCTTCCTCTGTCTGTCTGTCTCATTGTGCATACATGCTGCAGGACCCTAGACTCATTCATTATGATCCTTCATAGGAGGTATATGCTGTGGACATGGACAGTCCAGTCAACTTCTTGTTACACAATACAGTCTCTACACTATAGATTTAGATAAATTTATTGTCATTGTCCGTATATACACAGTATACACAACAACGAAAATCAAACACCCACTCGAAGTAGCTGCCTGCTGAAAAGTCACCTGCTCCAGGCAATACTTACATTCCTCCCTTCACTTTTATGGATCCTATTGATGTGAGTGTTCCTGTTTCCAGCTCTGCTGGTTCTTCTTTTTCATTTCCTTCCACAGCAAGAGCTGCTAATTCTGAATCAAGCTCTATATGTATTCCTTCAAAGAATGGCTTTTCATAAATAATGACCTTTAGCAAAAGGAGGGAGATGGTAAATAATATTTAATATTGTGCCTTTTCCAAGACCTCAATATGCTTTCACATGTATTATCTAACATCACAATCCTAGTCATTGCCTATTCAGAAGTTAACCTTACTGAATACAACAAGGCTTACCTCCAAGTAAGTAGGATTTCAGCCTTAGTATTCTTTATACATTATTTAAATTAGGGCTTTAAAAAAAAATCAATACCATTGCCACATAAAATAGACGTTTCTCATCGCCCACTCCTAGGCTCAGGCAAATCCCCTTCCCTAAGAGATTCAACTGATAACCCCATTTAAGCAGCAGTCAGATCCAGATTTAGGATGCAACACAAACCCCCTTATGCTGGGCTGTGTGGGTTTGTACTGAGCAGAAGTGTCATTTGACCTGTGCCTGCTGGCTGCCAAATATGCAGTAGAACGCTCACAGGTTTCCTTCAGATGGGAGGAGGCAGAGCTGAGAGGATTGGGATCTGCTGGAATCTGAGCCAGTCTTATAGATGGCAACATTGGGTCCAGCCTAGAACTGGCACTGGGATCAGGCCTGGTGCCTGACCACCACCGCCACCTTCCACTATTGACATGAGTGACCAGGATGTGGCGGAGGCTTCATTGCTCCACAGCATCCTGGCAGCAACTGTAAGGAGTTGGACTGACCTGCCAAGTCATGTGTACAAGAGAGAAAACCAACTGAAATCAATCTGACCAAAGTTACTTGTGACTTAAATACCATTGATTTTAATAAATGTACTCTAAACATAACTGAATCCAGAAAGCTTTTTTAAGGGGAGAATGACTGATAAAGCAGTAAGCTTGTTACTTACACCAGAAAGAGAGTACAACAACATTAGTACACAGTGGTACCTTGTTTTGAGTCGGCCTCGTCGAGCGTCCATTTTGTCAAACGTCCGCAGCAAACCCAGACGTATCAGAACGGGTTACTTCTGGGTTTGCCGCTCACGCATGCACAGAAGCGCTAAATCACGCATGCGCAGAAGCGCAAACTGCTCTGCTTGTGTGTGCAGAGTGGCACTTTGTCATGCGTCCTTTTCATCTAGAGTCTGGGGCTCCAGAACGGATCCCGGTCGCAAAACAAGGTACAACTGTATATAGCTCAATGGATACACTTTTATCATCACACTTTATTATATAGGAAATTCATATTACAATATTTTTACCTTTGGGCTTTCAGGAAATTCAACTTTGCGTCCACCCTGCAAATATTGAAGGGGCAGGGAAGAAAGGTAATTGAAATGTCATTGAATTTAAATTTTGTTAAAGAAGTTAAAAGCATGATTCAACGGCTATTATTCATTTTCTAAAGTCTGAAAGTTAAATGTGCCATCTGTTGGAATAAAAATAAAAATGCTCCTTTTAAATTCAGCCAAATTAGATTTAAAAACAACAAAAAAACCCATTAAATACGAGGCAGCTATTAAAAGATTTCAATTACTAGAAACAGTTCAAAATGGAAGCAGCCTGCCTTGCTCACAGGCTTCCTATAGGCATCTAGTTGGCCACTATGACCACAAAATGCTGGGCTAGATGGGCCATTGGCCTGATGCAGCAGGCCGCCTCTTACACTCTGAAGTATGCAAAAATGTAACAAAGGTTTCTTTCCTCCAATGGAAGAAGCCCTTTTATGGGACACTATAAAGTTACTGCTGTTCTACCATCCCTGTAGTCTTCATATCATTATCTTACCATTTTCAAGAGCCTCATGGACCTAATATATGCTTCTTTCTTGTCCCAAAAGGATAGATTAGGATATTCTCCAGGTTCCAGCATTAAAGGGATTCCCTGGAAACCAGGTTCTTCATAAAGTAGCCATCTACAAATTGAAAACGACAAGGGAAAAAAGGTCCAGACAATGCTGCGATAAAACATGATGCTATTACATTATTAAAGCTAAAGACACCTCATCCTAGCTATTTCCCAGAAGGGAGATGACAAAGAGCCCCTTTTAAACCACTGTTAAGACAACAGGGTAGAATAAACAGTAAAATAAAATATTTTTTGTATTACTGATCAGGGTAAAATATAACTCTGAAGGATAAATATATAGTGGCTATAAGCATTCACTAAATTTCAGGTATTCACTGTGGCATATACATACAAACATAGCGAACTTTTAACTTCTGTTCACCATCATTTGCATTCTGCAGCAATTAATCATCATTACTGAAAGACAGCATTGACTTCAAAGCTCATAAATAATCTCCTAAAATGACTGTAAGTGTACTTATTTTTCTTAATACAACTTCTAATTTAGACATGTTGACAGATGTATAACAGTGTATGCCACCACAGTTGACAATGCTTGTGATTCATTCTCAGTGTTTATAATGATGCTATGATACAACGCTTAATGAAATCAGTACTACTGGCTCCATTAATTATCAAGATAAAGCAACTTACACAGTTGTATGACACTTACAAACCAACTCCCAAGGTTCACTATTACAGTCTACCAAAATGCCACATGGTAGGGTGGGGGTAAATAATCAAACTATAATAGATACTGATTCTCAATTGAAATCCTTTCATTTAATCTCCCCCCTTCTTTTAGTATGACCTTTGTATCATTCTCACCCATTCTGAAAAGTACCTTGGCAGTTTCATCACTGACATTTAGTCAGCACCTATATCTCAGTTTAACAATTTAATACAATCCTGGGATATGTACTAATGATTTATTTTGAATCACCAATGCACTTAACAGACAGCAATCTTTTCCATTATTCAACAAAAATGAGTAAAAATAATTTAGATGACAGTCATATTTGTTGCAGCCCAGAATCCCTGGTTTAATTGAACGTCTTCCTGCCCTCAGGTAGAACTAATGATGCATTACAAGATGACAAGGGTATAAATATGTAGATATGTTAAGTATTTGTACATTAATTTTTATATTATATTTGCTTCAATAAATGTTTATCAGTGAATCATACCTTTTATCAGAGGTTTCCAACCTTTTTGAGTCCACGACTCCCTTGACCAACTACATTCTTTCTGTGGCACCCCTGTGGGGCTCAGGAGCTCAGTTATATCCCCCCTTGCCTGCAGAGCTAGTAGCCTCTCACCCTTTTTCAAATGCCCTCCCTTGGGAAGTGTTCTGTCAGCCTCCTCTCCTCTCTTCACCTCCTTGGGAGTTCTCCGGGCAGCCGCTGCCACCAGCCCTGGTCCCTGAGCTGCCCCCCCACCCCAAAGAGAGGTTCCTCTTCACACTGCCCCACAGGGGCCTGGGAAGCACCCCCTGGCCAGGCCCAGAGGCACCATTCGACTAGGGAGCTTGTAGCCAGGGTTGCTGCAACAAACGGCTGTGCAAGCCTCTGGAAGGCAGAGATGCAAGAGGGCATTAGAGGAGGGAGGGAAGGAAAGAGGGACAGAGGCCAGTGTTGCCCACAGCACCCCTGACTCATTCAAGGCACCTCAAGGTGCTATGGCACACTGGTTGAAAACCAATGCCTTATATGATCATCACTCACTACACAACAGAACAAAAAAAAATATGTATAACCTCATGCATAAATGTATCATTTCCAAATCTGGGCATTTGATATCTACTATAAACTAGTACCTTTTTTTAAGGATGCATGTCTATATACTTACATGCCCCGATGCACTTGGATAGAACACGTTTTCTGTGCAGAACCAAATCGAGTTTCTTCTGTGTCGTCAAAGTATGAATTTACAAGACCCAGCCCGTCTGGTTCTGTAAACAGGTCAATTCGGCAAATGCTATAATCCTGGCAAAATTATGAAGACAGAATGGTAAATTATAAAATTAGGACTGAGTCTATTCTGTGCAGCAAAGGGAAAGACAAAACATACTTGTGGTGCCCCTTTAGCATTTACAGGAGAGCACCCTTGTAGCAAGTTGCTAATCTATACTGCTGCCATGTTGAAACTGGGAGGGGCCAGTCATAGAGGCATCCTGACTGCTTGGAATGGGCCTATGCAATTGGCACCACCCAAAAGAACCAGGAAGGAGTAAAGTGGCTGCAAGCTCCTCTCCTCTCCTCTCCTCTCCGCCCACATATTTGTACAGACTTGGTAAGCCATAGTTTGGTCTACCATGTCAGACAAATCACCCACAGCCTACAAAGTTTAAGCCATAATCTATAGTCTACTCATATCCATACTTGCCTTTACTACATGCCTCATTGAACCAATCACTGCAGGCTCGGGACATTTGCATTCATCTTTGTTATCAAGTGGTTCTTCACCCCAAAGGTTTGTAAATTCAATTTCTCCTTCCTCCAGAGGAATAGAGGGCCCTTCAAAGTTTGGCTTCTCATATAGAATCCAACTATAAATTAAAACACCAAAACAAACATTGAATCATTCGTTTTCTTTTATGCAAATTAGTTTATTTACAAATTTATTTTGAGTTAAAGCATTTAGTTTACCATTACTCTCACATTAACAAAAACTGCAAAGAGAATGGTTTAAGGTCAATATAAACTGGGGTACTCATAGTAGAGCATTTAGAGGTGACAAATACAAGTACAGTGGTACCTCGGGTTAAGTACTTAATTCATTCTGGAGGTCTGTTCTTAACCTGAAACTGTTCTTAACTTGAAGCACCGTTTAGCTAATGGGGCCTCCTGCTGCCGCTGCACTGCCAGAGCACGATTTCTGTTCTCATCCATACAAAGTTCTTAACCCGAGGTAATTATTTCTGGGTTAGCGGAGTCTGTAACCTGAAGCATATGTAACCTGAAACGTATGTAACCCTAGGTACCATTGTAATGGATTGGCCATACCGAGAAATGCTAGTATATAATGTTATCACAGTAGGGGTTTAACTATACAACTATATAGCAGAAAACTAGATGCAATAAATAGCAATGTCTTACTTATAATCAAGAATGTTAGTGCAACACAGAAAGATGATTAAGATGCAATGAAAGAAATAATCATAGGGAAAGAGCAATGTCTTCAAATACTAGGGCAACAATGGTGAAATAATGGTCTGTTGTAACAAGACATCTACTTTCCTGTGAGCAAGATGAGTGAGAAGATCAGAAGAAAGAAGACAGAGATATATAACCCAGTATTTCCATAATAAGAGTATAAACATACTTCACCTGGAGCACCTGTCGCTAAGTGGAGAGATGTTGTCAAGACTTTGGAGAGGGTGGTGTCTACCTCAAAAGATCAAAGTCAGAATGGACATCAAGAAAATAGCCAAGTGGGAAACCAGGAAACAGAGGTCCAAAGATAATTTAGCATAGAGCTAGAAGTCAGACCAAACCAGATATCAGGTGTTGAAAGTACAGAGCTTCAGCCAAATCCAAATGGCAGGTCAAAACAGTAGAGTCAAGACTCGAAGTTATTTCAAAAGCTGAACAGCTAATAAAGAAAGTCAAAGACAGGAAACATTGAGGAGGTGAAAGAAAGTAAGGAGCTGGAAAGAATTACAAGTCAAGGAGGAGGATGAAGAAGAAAGGCAGGAACTTTAAAAGGCATGAGAAAAGAAGACATTGATTCATCTTTAATGTTAGGCTCTCCCATACAGCTATCCAATAGCCTGCTTTTCTCCAAACATCTAAGCATGCATGGTAATCCCATAAAAAGCATGAGAATGATGTATGCTGGGACTCTGGAAAGAAATGGACAGGTGGATAACGGTATGTGTGAAGCCTCTGCATGTAGGATAGGGGAAAGTGTGTGCCATGTAACTGTATTAAGATGACTAAGACATACCAACAATTTGCAATTAACATCAATTTAAGTTGGAAATCTGAACAACATAAAATTAATTCTGGTTTTGCAAGTTTCGCACCGGATGAATCAAACAAAATGGCTGAACAAAGCAGATGAAGCAGCCTACCACAATGGAACAAAGCAAGTAACTAAACAGTGCTGGACTATCAAACTAATTGATTAATACTAGGGTGTTGAGTCACAGGCTCTATGCCACAACTCTCCACAAACCAAATCACAACAAATAAATAAAATACAAGCTTTTTAGACAGCTAAACTGAAAAATAATATTTTTATTTTGACATTTCCATCTTGTTATATATCTGCTTGGGCACATTGTAAAAAAAAAAAGGCATATAATAAATGTATTTTTTAAAACAATTGTAGATATAGCTAATGGGTGCAAAGAACTATGTTTCTTTTATTGCATAGAGCGTGGTATTTGTTTGCTGTTTGATAAAAGACTAGTATTAAACGACAACTGGATAGTTACAGACATGCGTTCCTGCATTGAAACCAACTTCTTTTGCTTTGACTAGCAAACTCTGATGACCCCATGAAATCCCTAAACTTTTATCAGTTTCATTCTTTATGCCTTTGGTTTCAGCAGCATACTGGAAGCTGCAGGAATTCTGCCAAGTGAAACAGTTTCTCACTTGATAATCCAGCAATGTAAATTTGTTTGATGTTTTTAATCAAAGCTTCAGGAAGTGGTTTTAAAAGATCCCTAACAGTAATCTAGTTTTCCTGTTGGTCTTTTCAAAGCCAAAAAGCAGTAATCTTTCAAGAGAATTAAGGCAATGTAGTATAACATTAGAAGTTACTTAAGGTCACAGGAAAAGCTTTTTAGAACATCAAAGAAGGAAAATAGGAACACATGAGCAAATTTAACAATAAGCTTCTACATGCATCAGATCAAGAATCAGACATGCTGGAACAGTTCAAAACATGCCTCAACACACATGAGAATAAACTAGTGAAAACTAGTTTACTCAAGCTAGGCTAAGGAAAAAGGCATGAGACCAAACTGAGTTTAGAAGCAGACAGTCAAGGAGTGAATAAAGTATGTTAAAGCAGAATGGGAACGTGCAGACTGAATTTAGAACTAGCTGTAGGACGAGCCTTTTATTCTTACCATCCTCTGATGACTTTAACTAGAATTACAGGTGACAGTACCCAAGCGGTGCAGTCCACCATATCATGAAAAACTTCAATAGCATTTTCCAAAGGGTCTGATTTACTGCAGATAACGATCTGTATTTATAGAGGGAAAAACTTCAGTTTTTTTAAATCCAACAAGGAAAAATAAAGGAAAACAGTAATCAATGGGATGGGGATCACCTCACCTTTCCAGGTCTAGGATTAATTTTATTTTGGTTGTTTCCTGAAAATGCCTGTTAAAGCAGAGGGAGCAAACAATAAGAAATTAATTTGTAAAAGAGATATATCTTACCTAATCTTGGGAAATGCTGAAATACATTTAGTGTATTTAGCTTCAAAAAATACATCCATTAAAACAGTTTACAAGTCACACTTTAGTATTATGAAAATGGGGTCAGGTTAAGGCTATACGGCCTGCAAGTGCTTGGCATGCTTTCAGATCTGACTGACACATTACCACACATTCAAGTTGCCCATGCAAACCATTAAGCCACTTAAAGCTGCCCCTTAGGTTTGCACAGATATATTATGCAGAACATGCTGACGCTGCAACCACAAATCACTGTCATTTTACAGCACACTAAAACGAACAGGGGCTTTGTATGGAAGGAGTGCCTGTTGAACTACACCTTTAGCCAATAAAGGCATGAGTATGCATTTTATTACTGTAGCCCAGCCCTGCAAATAGCTCATACCACCCAATGCACCATGTGGTACAGCCAATTATTCTGAAGAAGTTATATATCTTTATAGCTGGTAGGAAGAAACTTTTTGAATCAAGTCTTGATTTGTTTTGTAAATCATCAAGATGGTTGCTTTCTAGGAGTTTTCAGTCAATATTGCTGCCCCTATTCCATTGTTGCACTGTTAATTTTAGCATAAAACTTGGTCTATGAAAAATGTATGTCAGAAGTATATTTCAAAAGCATAACAATTTCCTGCCTCTCATGATATACAGCAGGGGCCACCATTTTTTTTTGCACCCATGAACACAGTTGCAAACAAGAAAAACTGTCATGGGATGACACATATACCGCAACCAGGCTCACCCCAACAACAGAATGGTTTTGAAGACTAATTTCGGGGGGGGGCACCAGAAATTGTATCTGTGCAACCATGTGCCCCACTCACACACACGTAACCTGCAATATATATGAATCCATAGATTCCCAATATGCCTTTTATTATTCAGAATAGAATTTCTAAAGGAACATACAGTAAGCCTGCAACTTACACGGGCGTTACATTGGCCAAAATCATGTTGTGTTCAATGGCAGGTGTGATCGCCAGTGTTTTTCCCCAGAACACTGTTCCCTTTCATTTTGTTTAATTTTTTGCCATGCACGTAAAGCTGGCTGAATGCACGCAAGTTAAATGGGATGTGGGAACACAGTCTAAAATTGTTTTGATGAGTCGGTTTGTCAAATGATTGCTGAATCTATTACTATTACATTTCATTTTTGTCTAGTAAATCTTAAACCTATCTTAAATTACCATTCTTAACAGCTGCAGACAGTGATTCTAGAAGGCTTTTCAACCAACACGTATGCTGGTTCAGCACAACTGACTGCTGAACAATCTGTAGATGTGAGGACTGGTGGGGTCAGCAGCAGAATCCAAACAACAACTGACATACTGCAGTATGATTGTATATTTTTTCTTCTACTGTCTCTTGCCTTTATGCTAAATTGGGCAATCAGTAGTGCCTAGATGCAGCCATGATCTTCTCATTTCAGATTCATTTTGACCATTTGGTTAGAGAAATGCAGCATGCTAATGAAATCTCACTTTATTGAAAAGATAATCTTTTTTCTGGAAAATAGTCACTTCCAATTCAAGCTATTATTTGTTCTAACAACAATATGTATGTATGTATGTATGTATATAAATCAAACCAATATCAAACAAAAGAAATAAAAGCAAAAATCAATTTGACTTTCTAGTTACACAAAGCATGCAGATAGACTTCTAAAAGTAGGTAAACAACATTAAACACACCTCAATGTCTGGTAAGAAGCTATTTGGTTCATACTGCCCAGGTTTCAACCAGGTTGAAAAACTGGTGTCAGGGTTTCCAAAGTTAGACATCTGTAAAATTCTCTCTTTTTTTGGATCTTCACTTTGCAAATATTTCTCCATAAATTGTGGATTTTTGAAATCTGAAAGAGACTGAACAGCACAATAAAATATAACAGTGGTTGTTTACTGCTAAGGTATAATACAACATACATAGCATGTGAGTTTATATGTAGTTATATGATGTTTGTCCTATTACCTCAGATTTCTGAGCCACATCAAATATTAGAGGAGGGACTCCTGGGCAATTAACACTCTTCTGAGAGGCAAAAGTTGTTGTGATAGTGTTTATAGATGTTACAGATGGAGTAAACACATTTTCTTTAGTTGCAGGTAATAGAAGGCTTGAGAATATGGCACTCTTTTCAAGTCGAGATCTCTTAATGTCGCCATCGGTACCATCCTTGCTCTCTTTCCCACTTACTTCCTGGGTAAGTGCAAGGTCTGGTCTGTTGGATAATTTCAGAGACTGGAGAAGAAGGCTGTTCTCAGCTGAGGCACGTTTGGGTCTGACTCTAGCCTCTGTTTCTAGACTATGCAATTTCAGCTGCAGAGATGGGGCTAAATCTCGTGGTTTGTCTCTCTTGATCCCTAAACCAACTGTAAATATATTGGGGTCAAATATTTTCTCTAAATTGTCCTCATGAATTGGAGGCATAGCAAAGGGAGGTGCTGGAGATTTTGGAACTTTGGGTTTTTTCTTTTTTTGAGGTACACAAATAGAGCTGTCTAGATTTTTAATAGTTTCAGTAAACTTCGTCATGTCTGGGGAATCACAAATGGTATCCTCATTGCCAGCTTTAGGGACATTACAATCACTGTTTGAATCAGGTTGTCCACTGAAATTCTGCTCGAATATCTGTTTGTTTTCCAAAAACGTATTTGTCATCTTTGTGTCTTCATTTTCAGTCTGAGAAGTCATGTTGTGTTCTACTTTGGGGGGCACTGGGTCAGGCTGCAGGAGACACTGGTCTTCTTTACTTAGAGAATGCATGTCTATTTTCAGGAAAAGTTCCTCTCCACTTTCAGGAGATATGGATCTGACATTTGTATTCCTGTTATCATTTTGGATTGTTTCAATTTCTTCAGTTTGTAGTACAGATGGCGTTTTAGGCAAACAATTATCGTTGGCTAATTCTGTATCCACTTTTTTAGAAATAAAAACACTCACATGGTTATCATCTACTTTTCCATTCTGACTAAACTGAGATTCAGCAGCATTTCCAATTTCTTCATTAGTTATAATATTTGACTGAATCCCTTCTTCAGACTTGCTTTTTATATCTAAAGATACATCCTTCACCTTTGCACCATTCTGCAATGCTTTCTGTCGATTGTTTGGCTTATTTGTTATTCTTTTGGTCTGCTCACTTTCAGGGTGCTGTTTCCCAAATTTCAGCTTTGCTCTGCCAACAAATGTATTTGATACAGAACCTTTTTTTAAAGAAGAGATCTCAGCAGATTGGTTCTGATTAGTTTGTTTGCTTTCAAACATGGATATTTTATTGGCAATACTGAAGTTAATTTTAACAGCTTTGTCCATAGAATCTTGCTCAGTTTGCACATCTTCTAGAGTTCTGGACGCCTTAAGGTTTAATTCTACATTCTTTGGTTTAGCTGGACTGTAAAAACAAAATAATACAACAATTACTTTACAGTCCTAGTCAACAATACTTTAAAGATGTATTTTATTTCTAGCACAATCCTATGCGCCTGCCTCCTTAAAATAAGGCTGCAATTCTAAATACACCTGCTAGGGAGTAAGCCACATTCAATATAAGGGGACTTACTGCTATTAATTATCATTATTACTATTACAATTTAGTCACTTTTTCCAAAAAATATAAATTCAGAGTGACATAACCATTAAAAACCAGAGTAAAAGTAACCTAAAAGACAATAATATGCATAAAAGAGCAAATCCAACCCAACCCCACTCAACTAAAAATATTCAGTTACGCTTTGAAGGGCTGGCTAAAGAAAAATGTTTTTACCTGGTGCCTAAAATAGATAGTGATGGCACTAGGCGTGCCCCCCTGTAAATATGTATAAGTTTGTGCTGTATGTCTCATTGACTTCCATGAGACTTACTCCCAGGAAAGTGTTATATGAGTATAGTTATTATTCTCTAAGTGCAAATGCACTCAGGTTCTGCTTGTGGACTTTACATGGACATCTAGTTGACCACTCTGAGGACAGAGTGTTGAAATAAACAGGACTTTGTCTGATCCAGCACAGTTCTTCTTATGTACTAATTAAATATGCATGGGTGGTTCCAGACTTGTCAAACTGCTGACAGAAGGCCTCCTTCCATTCATGGAACACACTCCAATCTGCCAATTCCCCATTCTTTTGCATCCCCACATACATACACACACACTGATCTAGAGGGGCTCCCAACTCTCAGAAGCAGATTTTGTGGAGGTGAAAATTGACACACACCCCTTCAATCAGTGGAATGATTTTTCACTCGGGGAAAATCTGAATTGAACCCACAACATTCTAGCAAAATTTCTGCTAAAGAAACATCCTTATAGGTCTAACTCTGAGGTTTTCAACATCTTTGAGTCCACAGCTCCCTTGACCAACTACATTCTTTCTGTGGCACCCCTGTGGGGCTCAGGAGCCCAGTTATGTCACCCCTTGCCTGAAGATGACAGCCTCTCATCCTTTTTTGAACACTTTCCCTTGTGGAGTGTTCCCTCAGCTTCCTTTCCTCTCCCCTGTCCTTGGGAGTCCTCCAGGCATCCGCTGATGCTGCTCCCCCTGATCTCTGAGCTTCCTCCACTGCCCCAGAGAGATGTGCCTCCTCACATTGCCCCCCAGGGGCCTGGGAAGAAGATGCCCCCAGCCTCAGTGGAACAACCGAGACTGGCCAAAGGTGAATGTGAGGCCAGCACTGCCGGGCCTGCACGGTGGAAAGACTCCCCTTCAGCACACAGCAAGCACAAGAAAGGCCAGTTCAGCGCCTGCCTGCCTGGCCTCCCACTTGTCTGTCCATTCCCAACAGTAAGGGCTGGTGGACTGGCTGGCTGGGCTCCCTCACTGGCTTGCTTGCTTACTCCGAGGCTGTCTCAGTTCCTGGCAAACAGCACTCCCTGGCCAGCCCCAGACGCACCATTCATCTGGGGAGCTCATAGGCAGGGCTGCTGCAACAAACAGCTGTGGAAGCCTTTGGGAGGCAGAGAAATGAGAAGGCATCCAAGGAAGGATGGAAGGAAAGAGGGACAGAGTCCAGTGTTGCCCGTGGCACCCCTGACCATCATTCAAGGCACCCCAGGGTGCCAAGGCACACTGGTTGAAAACCACTGGTCTAACTCGACATAAAAAAGGCAAATGAATTTTATAATGCTGCGTAAAGTCTGTGGTCCTAAGAAAACATATTTAGAGTTAGTTTCCTTGAAATGAAATAAAAATATATACGGTTAGGACAGTGGGTTGTGTGGAGTTTTTTAAGAATAGCCTTACCGAAAACCTAACAGAAAACATATCATTCCTTAGAATGTGGGTTTACTGAAAATACATTAATACAATTATTTCCTTTTACCTTTGTTAAGTTGCAAGTTAACTTAAAGTGTTTCTTGCAATCTATTTTATTATGTGAACCATCCTGAGACCCCCCGGGCATAGGGTGGTATATAAATCCAACAAACAACAACAACAACATATCAGAACAATTTATAAGCATTATTTACTCTCACAAGAGCTCACTTTATTTCTTTCAGAAATTATAGACTGCAAATCACTTGCAATTCTCTCTCACACACACAAACACTATTCACACTTCCTATTTACTCAAACATACACCATGGATGCACTCCATTAACATACTTTCATATGTAATTAAAAGTTGATTGCTGCTGTGATGTATTATGCCATCTTTTTAGCATCAACAGTGCACAGTCCTGTAGACACATGCAGACACTGACTTTACCTGTTTAGCAAGAAAAATGTTCATATGTGCTCATGAAGACTGAGCCAATAGAATGGGAGGATCTAAGATGCCGGACTATTGCTTGAAGGCAGGAATGGAGTGGAGGCAGTATTATTATTATTTATTCAATACCTATCCTGTCCTTCATCCAAAGATCACAGGGCGGTTTACAATATAAAAACAGTGATGGAATGGTGAATATTTCTAACCCAGCCTGTTCCAGATGGGTTTTACTCTCCCTAAAGAAACTTGCATAATTTGGGGAAACTCTTTGATTTGGCATTGTAATTTGAGGCCCAGATGGTTTCAGTTGTGTGGAGTACTTTTGCTCAGTTCCAGCTGGTTCATCAACGATGGCCATTCCTGGATGAAGATGGCCTGACCACAGTGATGCATGCTTTGGTAACTTCCTGACTGGATAAATGTGCTCTATGTGGATCTTCCCTTGAAGAGGCTACAGTTTGTGCTGAATATTGTGCTGAAAAATTGACTGTTAATGGACAGAATTAGGTGGAATCATGTACTCAGTAGCAGTCAGCAGAGCAATCCTGCTTACCTGGCTTTCCAACATTGAACATTGCTGCCAGTTACCAAGAAGGACAGGTGTAAGGGGGAGGGGAGCTTAGTGTGGGGGAAGCAGTGGGAGTGTTGGGTTGGCTCTGCTGCTGCATCTTTACTGGCATAGTAACCAGTAACAATGTTTGGTGTTAGGAAGTCTGAGCAATGCCACACCACCCATGCCAACAAACCAACTGCTACTGCATACAGCACTGATTCTGAAAAATTAAGTTCAGCTGTCTACATGCTTCTGGGTGGAATGCAAGGGGCTAGTGTCCCCATGACTCCCCATGTACGTGGTACCTCGGGTTACATACGCTTCAGGTTACATACGCTTCAGGTTACACACTCCGCTAACCCAGAAATAGTGCTTCAGGTTAAGAACTTTGCTTCAGGATAAGAACAGAAATCGGGCTCCGGTGGTGCAGCGGCAGAGGGGCCCCATTAGCTAAAGTGGTGCTTCAGATGAAGAACAGTTTCAAGTTAAGTACGGACCTCCGGAACGAATTAAGTACTTAACCTGAGGTACCACTGTACTTGTAAACTTAACACTGAAGAAGACTGCCTGAAGAGGGCCATCATACTTTCATTAAAAAAATTGTAAAAGCTAAAGTAAATATTTGAGTTATAGTCTAGTCGGATAATTGTAGTGTATGTTTCTGTTTCTCTTTTGAAGACTTGAAGAGAATGCAAACTCAAATGGTAAAGAAAAAGATCTATATCTTCCTAAAAGACTGACCCATACCCTTGACAGATGTTGAAGCTATGATCCATTCTATTAAAATGAAACAAGGGAAAACAACATCTACTTATAAATGATTTATAGTTCCCATAATACAACGCCTACAGTTATAAGTCATAGTCTCCACTGGAAACTATGCTAACAGATGTGTCAGTACAGGAAAAGCAATGTAAATCAAGGGAAGGTGCTAGTGAATTATTAATTTGAATATCATGGAAAATGACACTAACACCCTACTGCTAAGCATATTTATCTGCAAGTATATTCTGTTTATTTCAATTGAATTTATTCAAAGAAAGGCTATAGTCTTGCAGCCCAATGCTTCCTCAGATATTAGTGGTTTTGATTTTAATGTATATGTACAAACTGCAAGTATTTCCACCCAAGCAAATCTGTATTTCTGTGCATATTTACTTAGATGTTTGTCCCACTGTGTTCAAGGCTTAAATCTAGGTAAGCATGCATACAATTTTGGCTTTACAGAACAATCCTATTGCATATTTACCCAGAAGAAAGAACCACTGTATTATGAATCTTAGTTTGGATAAATTGCATTTAGGATTGAAGCTCAATATATTAAATTAAGGTTTCAGCCCTAAACACACATAAAATCAATTACAGAGTTGGCAGGGACCTTGGAGGTCATCATGTCCAATATTGTTGCTCAGTGCAGAATCTGCAGTGCATAATGCAACTTCATCTCCCTAATAAATAGCCATTAAGCTTCTGTTTAAATAGCTTCAGCAAAGGAAAGAACACCACCTTCTGAGATGTATGTTTCACTGTCAAACAAAACTTACAGCTCTTTTTGGTAGGATGTTTCTCCTCATATTTACCCAAAATATTCTCCACTGAAATTTCCACCTCTGTTGCCCTCCGGAGAAAGAGATAATAAGTCTGTTCTATCTTCTGCATGACAGTCCTTTAGACATTTGAAAACTGTTATGTCTGCCTCTCTCATCCTTTTATTTTTTATTTTATACCTACACACAAGACTTTTCTGTTGAATTTAATTTTGTTGGTTTTAGCCAATGTCCCAGCTATTTAAAAACCATCCAACTCTACAATTCTACGATTTTGATATATTATACGGTGTTAGATATTCCTCCCAATTTTGGATCATCTGCAGATCAGATAAGCATCCCCTTCACACTCTGATCCAAGTCATTTATAAAAACAAGAAAAGGAATTGGCCTAGGGTATCTCTGTGGCTCTCTGTTCAATAGTTCACTCTATGATGAAGAGCCATTAATGAACAATTGTTGAGTACGATTGTTCAAGCAGCTCTACTTAACACTAGTGTAATCCACCCCACATTTTTATGATATTGTAAGTGAACTTAATTCTGTGTAAACAGACAAGCAGTGGCTCACAAAGCATCACTGTGAACCAACCTATCATAGTCAGATAATATATGAAAATCAATTAATAACAGTATACAATGTAAAGGCAGAGCAACTGAATTTTCATTTCTGAATAGACACAGATGCTCTGCTTTCTAAGTTTCTGTATAACATGCTGTTATATTACAACTTACACAAAAAAACTACTTAAATGAGTAACATGGTGAATGTGTCATCTTCTTGAGAACATAGTTTTATTCCCACCCATAATTATAAATGTTTGGCAGCTTAGGTCTCAACTAAGACTTTCACTGCTTTATTACCTTACAGCTGTATCTTTTCTGTTGCATTTACAAATAAGATGCATGTAAAATCAAAGCTAAAAATTCAAAGTAATTCTCACTGAATTTGGTGGGATTTATTTCTGAGCATATTTTTATAGGATTGTGCTGCAAGATGTTAGAGAGTTCAACAGGTATTTTAAAAGCCTCAGGAATCAGGAGTGGTTAATGACTCAGTTCCTTACAGGCATCATATCAAGTGATTGAGAAACTGTTATTACCCTATGGTGGGAGAAAAGCTTGTTTAACTATTCAGCACCCTTAAAAAATACAAAATTGAAGAGTCCCCGTTCCCCCACCCGGTATTTAGACAATCAGACCCAAAGATTATATAAATCAGTCCAAATCACATAAATTAATGAGTGACAAGTTCATTCAAAAACTATTTAAAAAACCTGATTCAATGTCCAATATAAGCTTTATCAGTGCACAGGTGAAGAAAAGTACAAAGGATATTCAACTATCCCCACCCCAGGATTAAATTGCACAATATATTCTACTCCTCAGTGTCTTTAGTAGACGGGATCTAAATGAAATATAACTTTTGATTCCAAAATTTTGTTTCAAATGATTGTTTAATGATGAGGGTGCAGTGCTGTGTTATAATACACGCAATTATCTTACCAGGTTTTCTCATTAAGATAATTCAAGGTGTGGCAAGTCTCACATTTCTTGACACAGCTGTAAAAGTGCACTCATGCCTTTAAATAAGTGCTGAAGGCCACATATTTCAGTCTTCTTTAAAAATAATACTTTGCCCCACAGCACTACACATCAAGCCCCCTAAGTCACTTATTCTAGTGATTATGGCACAAAGAAGAGGTAAGAGCAACATATACAAAACTAAGATAATTCCTGTTCCTAAAAGTGCTGCAGGGTGGCCTCTTGAAATACAGTTGGACACAGCTCTAAGAGGCAATGAATTGCCCCCCCCCCATACTTTGTGTTTCTTTTTGGAATAGTTAAACCTGCCATAACTGCAGAGGGAGCCACTTGCCATAAACACCTTAACACATGGGTATGCCCTGCACGTCTATGAACTGGGCTCAGTGTTTCAGATATAAAAGCTGGGAGCCAAATGGCGCCTTAAACCTAGTTTTCAGTTGCCACAACAGTATGTCTAGGGACATTTTTTTTACACGATTACAAAGCAAATGAAGACAAGATGGGCGATTTAGCTGAAAATGGAATAAATGCTGTGTGCAAAAGACAAGTTTTTTTAAACCAAAATAGCAATCAAGCAGAAAAGCAGCCTGTAAGAGACGTGGCTGCAGTTTCATTCTAGCAAAAGTAAAAACCAAACCTCTTTTACTCGCAAAAAGCGGCTGCCAACCAGTTGATTTCAAATGCTGTCTGGGCCTATGATTCCACAGCACAGATCCTTCTAAATGACTCAAGCAAGTAAAACAAGAAAAAAATCACAGCCACTGAGCTAGAGACAAATTTGTTCCTGTTCTTGAAAAGGCACTGATTTATCAACTATAGCTTAGGAACTATACAGCAATGCTCAACATAACAGCGATACTCAGTCCAACCCTAGCTAAAAGACCTTCAATAGCAGTATGAGGACAGTCTGAAACTAGAAAACCTCTGCCAGACAAGATGGTTACAAAGGCCAGTAGCGTTACTCAGTATAAGGTCCAAACCGCATGCTACAGTTAAGTACTCTGTAACCTTCCCCCAACATTGCAGTTCCTCTCTTAGTCATCATCAACCACAGGAACACGCATAGACTCAAAAGACTGAAGGGCTGGGGGAGGATCCCCTCCCCACCCCAACAGCTGTTTATTTCCTCTGGCAATCATCCTCAAGCTGCTTTCGCTTGGACCTTCCCCCCCACTGCATTGGATGGAAGAAAAGGCAGCTTGAGGGAGATAATTATGAGAAGACAAATAGCAGCAGTGAGAGGGTCATGTGGCTCTTCCTCATCACTTGGTCTTCCTCTACTTCTGACGATAGCCTCTAGTCTAGAGGTCATTTTCATTTTTTAATGAAACAAAAAACAACCACTGGGAGAAATTTATATGGAACCCTAGGTAACATTTATTTGGCCCTTAGCCAGATACTTATTACAATAAGCACAATGGAAGTCTTCTCCAAAGAAAATATTATTGAGGACACATAGACAATGAATGCTATTTAATTTTTTTAAAAAATTATATTCCATAGCAAGACTTATAATTTTTCCCAAGTAAGGAAAAGTTTAACAATGAGTGAGACAAAGGGTGGCAATACACCGCTTCATAATAGAAGCTAACAAGAAGAAAATCTTCTATACCAACTTCAGTCACATAAATACTAAGTGGACCTTTGCAGTGGTAGAACATATTGGAGTTCCTGTGAGGTAGTCAAAATATTATACTGACATGGAATCCATGCAATTAGGATACAGATTTAGCAATTATAATACATGTTTATCAAGGGATTTAATGAACATCTTATTGCAACAAGCAATGTAATTTAAAATATGAAACTACTTACAGACTAACTTTTGTTGTGACAGTTCTGGAAACATCAAAGCATGGATTTCTCTCTTTTGCACCATCCAAACCAGAGGTACTTTGCTTTCCATTTGTAGTTCCCAACTCGCCATTTCTTTGCTTGTCAGTGCGCAGCAAAGCACTGCCATCAGAATTGTTGACAATATCTGGTACCTTAGACTCTGTTCTTCTTTCAGAATGTGACACGGTGCTATTGTCTGTGATGCCTACAGAAGAAATTTTAGGAGTCTCTACAGTGCTTTCGCCAGAAGAAAGCTTCTCTGCTGAAGTACATTTTGATATTGGATTACTATCTGTTGCACCTTCAATCTGTCGTTTGGTGGATGAATCTTTCCCATGACTCTTCAAGCCTGTGGGTGAAAGAGGACTTGTGTCAGGTTGATTCTTTTTTAAGGATTTCCTCCTGTATGGGGATGAAGTAGGGGTCTGCTGCTTGTTTTTCTCTAACTCTGTCTTAGTAAGTCCCTTGTGATTACTTCCAGTCCTTGTGTCATGGTTAGTTGTGGGAGAATTCATCTGTTGAGAAGTCTTAGCTTTTCTTTCAGGGGTGGTTATTTTTTCTGAAACCAAATCTGAAGCAATACCATCAAAAACAGGTTCTTCTTTTGCAGTATTCTCAGTTACATTTCTGTCCCCATTTGGCATGTCACCGGAGGACTGAGATTTTCTCCTCTTTCCAGATCTCCTTACTGCAGATTTTTTATCCATTGTGTTACTACAGTCGTCTAATACAACAGTCACTGGTTCATTGGAATATGGTTGTTCAGCTCTACGAAGAAAAATATCCAATGTCAACACTCTAGAAGTGTGGGCACGTTCACTGGACTCCAAAATAGATGGCTCCTCTGATGGTGCATATTCTGATTCTGAACATGAATGAACATCCACTAATTCCTTGTGGTTTAATATGTTATGTTCTAGGTCCTCACTGGATATATTAGTTAAACTTCTAAAGAAATCTGGAGTTGTAGTATTTTTTGTGTCAGTGACTAGATCATTCTCTGCTTCCAGTGTCTGAAGTGTAAGATTGCTATCAAATAATGTATTTTTTATTGTCTCACTACTGCTGCGCCAATCAGATGACAATTCACTGTCAGAATTAATTCCTTTAGTGTTCCATTCTGAAACAATATCATTATACAATCGTGTCAGATCCCTTTTGGAGAGATATTCTTCTGTGTCTTTAACAGTATTCCGTATCCCTTCCTGGTCCTGATCGCAAACCTGGTCAATAAGAGATTCCTCACTTTTAGACAGATCTTTAAAGTCTTCAATATCTATTGATGCCAGTGGAGCGATACCCTTGTGAGGCGAACCCGAGCTTGCACTTTTAACACTTGGTCTTAAAGAAGCTTCTAATGTGTTTTTGGGATTTTTTCTTCTCCCTGTAGTAAAAAAATTTCCAAACTTTCCCAAAACTGGCTTCTTTTTGTTTTCTTCCTTATAAGACTCTGCAGAGGATGTTTTGGACTGAAAAAGAAGAACAAGAAAAGGAAAAAAAGTTAGACTAAATGTTTCTTTCAAGACACATAATTCATTACTAAACATTTATATGTTGAAAAACACACACCCTGAAATTGAATTGTTCACTGAACCATAGAATTTTCTATGAAAAGATTATCTTTACATGTAACATAATCATCATTTTTAGTTAAATATGATTCACATTAACATAATTATTATGTTAAGACTTATAATGCAAACATTCATAAACTTCCTCGTATCTTTAGTCAAATGAATGAAGCATATAAACACTTACAGGAATTGCTTACATTTTATGTATGCACCTGCCTTAAGCAGGAATGTGTCTTTGATACTGAAGTAAAGGTAAATCAGAGGGCACCTTTAGCAGTAAACTTCTGCAGTAGTTTTGCTAAAATTTGTATGAAGGTTAAAAGTTGTATAAATGTTCCTTTTATCAGCCACAGTTTGTGTCACCTTAAAATCTGTGGCATGGATAAAAACAAGCATTTTTTTAGTATTCAAGACAAAAATAAAACAAATTCTAGATTGCAATGCATTTAGCCTGAACTATAATCGTTGTTAGGAGATACGTTTACAGTAGTTTTCTTTTAAACAAAGCTATTTCCCCCATTCTTTCAGCGTACATCGATAATCCTGTGATATTTGGCAACAATCCAATAATTGTGTTGCGAAAGGAGGGAAGCGTTTAAACTCTACAGCCCAGCAAGACGCCATGCGACCAACTGCCTAGAGAGGACGAGGATCCATCTCCAGTTCTTTCCGCGCGCTCACCTAAAAAAAGCATCTGGATGCCACGAGGGCGGCGGGGCCCTGGGCTCGCAATTGAGGCCCCTTCCGGCTTCAAGGGCTGCCGTGATTGAGCGAAAGCGGACTTCGGCCCCAGGTGCGCGGTTTCCAACCAGCTAGCTCTTGCTCCCTTCAGGTCTACGGCTAGGGCATCCTTGCCGCCCAATGAGAGGCAGGAAGCGTTTGTAGTCCCCCCCACCCCACCCTTCGGCAAGACTGGGAAGACGGCCCGCAGGGATTTCGCGGCAACTTCTCCCGCGCGCCAACGACGTCCATTTCCCGCCCTTCTCCGGCCCATTGAGAAACCGCGCTGGGTTTGCTTTGTACTCACTAGCTAATGACCGCTCGCTCGCGCTCCTCCTTCGGCAGCCTCAGTCCGGAACTTGCCGGACACCTCAGAGGAGCTTCCCGTTTAGTCGGCGCGGGGAGCTCTCGAGAGGAGAGCGCCAAAAGCCGGCTCCTGCGGAGGCGCCAACTGTCTGAATGCCAGAGCCTGCCTGCCTGCCACGCCCGAGCGAGCGGTGCCCGCCTCCGCCTGCAGCGCCAACAGCAGCTGCTCTCTCCCTGGCACGGGCGCCTCAGGTAGGACGGCGGAGCTCCGGTCACCGCCCATGGGGTCCGAGCCGAGGAGAGCGCGACGCCGAAGACGGCGCACGGAAGAAGGAGCCACGTGGGACCTCGGCGCCCGGGGAAGGAAGGGCGTCAAAGAGAGAGGTTTCCCTCGTGCCTCCTCCATCCAGGTCAGGCCTACAGCGGGTAGAGGAATCTGGGACGTGTATCAGGGCGCAAGTCTCATAGGACGCGGCTTCCAGGCACGTCTGAGCCCCAGCATCTTTTGGGAGTTAAAGAGAACCCCACACGCCCTCAGAAATCAACCTGAAGTGTAGTGGAAGACATTTGATCCCCTGGTCACTCAGCCCCGAAAAACCTGTTTCCAGCGCATCTCGTGTAATAAGAGAGTGCATGTCTCCTTTTAAAAATTAACCACTGGCAGCAGGAGGAAGGGCGCGCCATCATTTCATGAGGGCCTCTCCAGCCTAAGTAAAGGCAGAGGAAAGCGTAAAGGCGGAGAAGGCTGATTGCTCAGAGGTGCCAAGGAGACAGGCAGAATTTTCTAGAGGTGAAAAGGGAAGGGTGCCAACAAACACAGCAAATGCCCATGAAATGCAAAGATATTTCCACGCTGCTGATTGCCCTGCACAAGTCTGAGCAATATGAAGTGCTTTTCTGCCCAGCCTATTTCCATCTATTCAGAACAAAAAGCTGCCTCAAGCAAAACCGACAAACTTTGATGTGAAAAGCCAAGAGCTCTTGTTGGATTTAAAACAAACAAACAAAAAATCACTGCCAACATGCCATGTCTGAAGTTGCCTTATTTATAAAGCACCAATTTCAAAAAAGTCTGGTATGAATGTAGTGTTCTGATTGAACAAACTTTTCCACTTCCATTACCCTCACTCCGTCCCCAAAATTACTTACTTTATTGTTTCACTTATACACAGGGGGAGACAGAAGAGGTACTAGCAAATAAATTCTTTGTACATATTCATGAAATGTATATACCAGAAAGCTTTTAGCTTCATTTGTCTAAAATGCAAAATGAGCACTGCAAAACAAACTCAACAGCACAGGAAGGCAGTGTTCTTATACCTGCTGGATTGCTTTTGCAACAAAATACAATTTCTGCTGGCTTAATTGATCACAATGACAGTCAATGGTCATTGCTATTCAGTAGACTAAGATGTATAAATTCAGAAAGGTGGAGCCACTCCCACTAAATCAAAATAAGTGGGAAGCTCTACCAAGGGCACTTTTTTTCAAAAGTCTAGATTAAACAGCCTGCCTCTGCCTGGTTAAAATAATTAGACAACCTCCACACAATCAGCTCAGAGAAAAGGAAGCCAAAACCCAACCTTGCCTTTGCAAGTAGTTGTAGGGCGGATTGTACCGTTACAGATGCTGGTTAACGGTGCCCTTTAAGTCTGTTTTCATATTACACTGCATGGGTTTAGACTCTAGATCAGAGCTTTCCAAACCTTTAACGTTGGTGACACACTTTTTAGACATACATCATTTCATGGCCCAGTAATTCAGTTTTACTAGCATACTGGAAGTTAAACTAACCCCTTTCCAGCCCCAAGAGGAGCATTCGCATGACACACCTACAAACTGCAGCTGACACACTTAACATGTCATGACAGAGTTTGGAAAGCTCTGCTCTAGATTATGTTCCCCTTGGACTGTCCCTTCAGTAAATGAAAGCTGTGGCCATCCAGATAATGTTGGACTCAGTCTCCCATCAACACCAGCCAGCATGGCTAGCAGCCAGGAATGATGGAAGTTCTAGTATCAAGGGCCACAGGTTCACTACTCTTATTACCCAGTGGGATTTCCTAAGCACATCTTTACTGACCAACAGTGCAAGACAAACTTCCAGTCATAGTTCACTTGACTCTGCTTCTTCTCTTCTCTTTCCTGTAACTTGCTATCTGCTATGGACTTTAAGCTTAAACAGAAATCTAAGTCTTTTGCAAGGAGGAGCTAAATTCTGTGACCTGTGTAGAGGCAGAGTAATTAGTTTGTTTATAATTCTACTGTTATAAGGAGAGGCAAGGAACTCCTTCCATTTCTCAGATTTCATTAGGCAAGTTCCATGTCCTTATTTCTGCAGCTTTAAAGACTATAAATTTGTTTTGAAAATTAAGGAGGAGATCCTTTTGAAGCTTTTACTCAGTACCAATTGGGGAACAAACATGGTTTATTAACTATGGATACCCATCAATGAATTCTGCCCCCAGCTCATCTCTTGACAGTGCTAATCGCCTTCACTTATGAATGACAAGTGAACTTGTGTCAACCAGAGCCAGTTACAAGCCTTAAGGCCACAGCAAAATATGTCACTGAATATTTGCCATTGTTCCTGATATGTGATGAAATATAGCTTGGAGAGTCTGTCAGCTGCAGGGCAGGGCAGATTAATGTCATGAAAACAAACTCTTTAAAAACGACACAACCCAATCAAATTTAAACACTGATTTAAGTTGGTGACTGAAGTTAAAAATGCTTAGCTTTTTAGATAGATTGTGTTATGTCACTTTCACATTCCTCAGCTTTGTTTCTAACATAATAATGTATAAAAAGCAGCTGTTAAAACATTAAGCAACAAAACTTTATGTGTTTCTGTTTTAGTCTGCACAGTGAAAGCAACAGAGTCCTAAAAGACTATGGGTGGTATTCTACTAAGTTTTAATCAGAATAGATCCGCTGAAAAGTACATGACTAAGTTAGGTCCATTCATTTCAATAGATCTACTCTGAGTAGATCTATTAAGGGCAGGGGAAGAGCAGATGCCTCTGGCTAATATTAATCCTGACCTTTGTGTATTAATGTTTTATACATACGCTACGTGCATCACACACTTCTAGTATGGGTATGAGAAATAAAGCTTTCTGTAAGTCCAGAGTCCTCTTCTGCAGAAAAGATTACCTGTTGTACATCTGCAAGATGTGTTGATCTGATCTTTATTTTTCTCTTTCCAGTCAGGCTCTGATGAGAGTGGGGGTGGATTTCGTGATGCTTTTGCATTGCATGTAATCAAATCATTTTATCATTCCTGATATAGACAAAGGAGTTACTCAAATGACTTTGGCCATGCAGTTTGTCCTTGCATAGCCTTTAAAAAAAATAAGGAAGTGGGGAGTCAGACCAGAACCTTGGGGTGGGATGAGGAGGCCTCTACCACAGTCACAGTAGTAATTGCCCATGCCTGCTATTCACTATGGGAGCTTTTCTCAGAAGATAAATGGTGAAGTAGGGATTCTGATCCAAATCATAGCAGGGGCTAAGGGTTATCTTTATGAATCATTGTTCCAAATTTGGAAAATTTCCAGATGAGTGATTCATTCAGAACCACAGGGCAACATGATTATTTGCCTTCTGATAAGCCTAACTTTTACACAGTATCAGAAAGTAAATATTTCTAAACTAGGGGCTCTACCTTGCTTACTGTGCTCATCAATCTCACTGTGATTCTGCCCACATTAACTTACTAGAGAGCAGCCTTTCTAAACCTTGTACCCCCAGATGTTGTTGGGCTACAACTCCCATCATCCCTAGCTAGTGGGACCAGTGCTCAGGGATGATGAGAGCTATAGTCCAACAACATCTGGGGACCAAAGGTTGAGAAGGGCTGCCCTAAAGCTTCCCCTTCCCAACCCATGCAACGACTAAAGCTCACTTTGCCCCTTCCAAACCCCATTTCTGAAGCAATTTCTCTCTTCTATCCTTCAGCCCCTCTTTACGTCCATTTTCACCTGCACCAAATGTCTATGGCTCCTCCTCCTCCTCTACTGCAACCCCATTTGCACAACCCCCATGGTAACCTGCATCTTTCTCCTCCCACACTCTGCAACTTCTAAGCACCCTTTTCACCTACTGTCCAATTATGCAGTCACCACCTAAGCCTATACTTTAAACCCTTTCATGCCCCTGCTTTAATCTTCAACCTCATTCCCATGCCTCCTATTATTTTTTGCAACTCCATTTGCACCCTAATTATGATTGTCACTCCTTTTTCCTACCTCCTCCTTCCTCTTTTTTCAACTCTCTTGCACTCAGACCACCCCACATTTCCATGCCACAGTGCCTTTCCTATTCTGCAATCCCCTTTGCACATGAGCCCTATGTTGATAGTGTATCATTCAAATGATACAGTAAGAGCTTGTACTCACAACAATAGCAGATGTTTGAGTAAAGTTGAGTGGCACTGAGGTTAAAAAAGAAGTGGTTATAAACAATGACAGAGATTTGAGTAAAGCAAGGATGGAGTGACAGAGTTGTTGTTTTTGTAAGACAAAGAAACCAGTTTTAATCAGGAGAAATGGTAGAAATGGGTACAACACAGAAGCTAACACAACAGAGCTATTCCCAAATCCCTTCTCACTCTATTCAAACCTTGTTTTAAACTGCCAGTTCCACCCCACTCAGTTTCTCAAACCTCTGCCATTGTTTAAAATCACCAATTTTTCCTTCAGTCTTCCTTCATTCCTGCTTTATTCAAATCTCTGCTGTTGCTTAAAGCCACCATTTTTCTTTCAGTATTTTACCCAAATACGCATTGTTTCCTTGTGCACGTTTGTGCCCCTTCAACCACACATGAGCACTTTCTATTTTATGCCTCCCAAATCTGTTTTGATATTTACAGTATAGTAGACAGAGCTTGATTGACTGATTATTTAATTTCTATACTACTTAATATATTTAAAATATCTCTAACAGTGTGCAAAAAAAGAAGCAACACACAACATCAACAATATATTACAAAGATGCACAGTTATATATAAAAACATTACGTTAATGCAACGTTGCTAATACATATATAATAATATCAATTTGTTTTCCTTCTGACACTGCTCCCTCTCAACTCCCAGGTTCTCATCTGGGGTCCAAACAAATTCTCAGCTCACACGTAAAATTCTCAGAATGAGAAGAGTTCCTGGAAACAGTGGGCATCACCCTAGTCTCTTACTCTAGACTTGCTTTTTATGGGCAGGTCCAGGGTGGATGGTACTTCCTCAGGCTGCCCACAGCGGAGTACCATTCAGCTGCACTCTCTATACCCAGTTCCAGATGCAGCAGGTTTATCAAGTTTCCTAGGGGGTCCAAAGGATAGGGAAAGAGGCCCCCCTCCACTCACAGTTCTTTCTCTGTTCTTGTCTCTTATAATTTTCTTGGGCTCCACTTCAGTTGGGTTTTTCTACAATCTCCCTCATTGTTTGTGCAATACAATGTGTTTTTCTCCCCACAGTTAGTGCCTCACCCACCATAAGTCCTGGAAACCAGGGGTCCCTTGTGGGCACGAGTATGGGTATACGTTGGGTTGTTTTTTTTTAAAGGTGCCAGTACAGAGCCAAACAGAATGTTTCCAATATTTCAGATTTGCTCAAAAAGCAGTTAAAAATTTGTGTGTATTGCTGCAAGCAGGGCAATTTTTAAATACAGCTATTTTATGCAATAGCCTTTCTCCACAAAAAGAATGGTTTAAAAATAAAATCCAAAATTATCACAAACATGCCTTCAACAACAACTGGTGGGCAGGCAACATTCTTTGCTTTGGGCTGATGGAAACAAAATTAAAGTAGGTGGTGTGGCAATAGATGGCACCCAGTTAAACCTCATCATGCGTGAAAAAAAGAAAGAAAAGGTCCATATCGTTCAGTAACGTGCAACTTTATGTTGGATTTTCTTCCCTTATCATATTACTGTATCTGCTGATTGACAAAATCAAATCTAGTTGAGGAAAAGCCACATCACCAAAAAGCAAGAGAGATAAATCTCCATTAAACTTTGGTGTGCACAAGTCCTTTACAACTGCTCCAATAGAGAGGTGAAAGGCTTTGTGACTGACACAAGTGCTGGACAATCAGTGCTGCACACACAGTTGAGTTGCTTCATTGATGACACAAGGACCAGCCAATCAGTACTGTGAACACTCAGCTTCTCCTCTAAACCAGAAAAGCAGGATCTTCCTTAGCTAAATACAGGTGAAATGACAGCATGTGTTTCTGAAATGCATTGAGTTCACTTCCAAAGCAGGTTCAGTGCTCAAGCTGCCTTCTGTATACCTTGACTGGCAGATATTAGGGTTATAATGAAAAATGAAATAGCTCTAACAAGTCTAAGGTCCACTCATCCCAGTTATACAGAGATTAATAATAATGAGGAACTGCATTAATAATGCAGAATAGGCATTAACTTGGTTTCCAGAGCACAACTGTTGCCCACAGTTCTAGAAACTGCTTTATGGAATCATCTGTTGCAAAGAAGCTTACCAGTCATTATCACTTTTTTTGACGAAAGGAGTGTCACAGTCTTCTTCATCGTGTGCAATAATTCATTTCAGCTATATGTTCAGGCTTGAAAATTGCCACTTACCTAGTTACTTGTGATGAATAATAATAGCCTCCTAAGAGCAAGGCAGCAAATAATTATATAAGTGGGTTATTGTGTTTTCTTTTAGGATATAAATGGGAGGCAAGCTAATTTTTGTGTGTGAACTAGTACATTTTTCTACTTGTTTTCAAGGATACACTGAATACAGAACATAAACAAGGCAACCGGAGTACCTGAAGAACCTGAGTGCTCAGCAAATTCTTTGAGTATGCTTCTATATGTTTCTTGGTCAGAAAGGGAGGATAGAGGGGATCAATATTTGAGTTCAACAGAATGCTCTCTTCCCCTGGTGTGTGTATGTGTTGGTGAGGCAAAAGAGATAAAATAGGATGCCCAACAGGCTCTGTTTTGCTTTTGGGGGATCCTTTTGTCTGCACTACAGCAAATATGTTGGATTGGGTCAAAGTCATATTTTTGCTTGTATTTGCATTGTAAACATGTTAACACAAGTATATTCTAATGAAGAGAAACATAAATAAGTTTGATTTTTCTTCCATAACATAGCCAACAAAGAGAGACAGAGAGATGAAGTGAAATAACTTAATAGAGCACAATGAATGGCAGAATGATAAGACAGAGCTTAATTGGGGAAGAAGAGAGAAATCACAGAAACAAAAATGATTGGTCTTTATTTCTAAAAAACCCCCCGACTATGTTGCATAATGCACCAGGGTATTCAAACTTTTTAAACAGCTACACTGATCTAGTTTGTGTTTGCAGACTCACCTAGACATCTCTCAGGTTTTTCTTATAGAACACCTTCCCACAAAATCTCAGCTAAGAAAGTAAAATCTTGCATATGACCATTTCTTAGGCTTCTTTTAACAATATGGTTTTGTTTTGATTTTGCTTTAAACATATACCTTGTTGTTAAGACTGGCTTTACCAAGGAATCAGGAGGGACAACACTGAGCTCCAGAATGAAATTAGATGAGAATCCCAGTACTATTTGTTATTTTCTTCAGAAATCATAGCTTAACCACCATAAAACTATCATATTCCTACATTTAGCCACCGTTCAAAGCTACAGTTCTCAGAGAATTTATCAGAAAATTTAGACACATTGTTTCATCAATAAAAAATATATTCTAAATGACTAACCCTTCCTCTATCAGAAGAAAGACAAATTTTGCTCTATGTGACTTACTTCCAAGATGAAGCCAAAGTTTATTTGTGGAGCCATCCAGACAATGTAAAGAGGAAGTTATGAATGAAAGTGAAATGAAATTCTTCATGTTTATTCAAGTGATTAGAAATCGCTACAGAACACAGTACAGTAAGCAAGGTTGGGAAGACATGCCTGATCTCAGCTTCTACACACACAACAGCAAAACATGTTCCCAAAGCAAATTCTTCATTCTACTTCTGTTGTAATTTTATAAAACAGAACCAATTACAATTCCCCCCCGCCCCAAATGTCACACAGGATAGGCTTTATGGCTAAACTCAGAAAAAGATAATATCAAGTCAAGAAACAATATAGACATTAAAAGTATTAGCTGTCTTACCATTGTGATGTTAGTTTAGTTTTGCTTTTTTCAGAACAGCAAGCAGAGAAGGATTTGAAAGCTGCAGTCATGTGTGCATTAATGCAATACATCTATTAACCCTGATCCTCCCACCGCTTAACTGCCTTTTTGATTTCCTTCCAAGAGAATCTCATAAACAAAACACTGCCCAAGCTGACTGATATGTTCCATTCAGTACACAGACGCAGTTAGCATCCACTTAAGAACATGAGTCACAGATTGAGACACCTGAAAAATAATGGTTAAGGAAACAGGTATTTTTCTAAAAGCACCTCCCCAAAAGATAGAAACTTATTACAAAGAATTAGAGAGGGAGACTTCAATAGATACCTTAAGTCCTTAATTATCACAGCAGCTATTGCAAGCACTTTTAAAATATGTAAACAAATATTTCACACAAATTAGTTCTCATTAGCATTCCAGGTGTACAATTAAAAGTAGGGTTGATGGACAGGGAGGCGCAAGTAGCCACATTTCCTACTGCCTTGTTTCAGGAGAATGTTTGTATACTGATACAAGTTATTTAGCTGCTTCACAATATATACATAAAATACATTTGAAACCACAGCAAGTCCGTTCACCTCTCTTGTTGCAGCAGAATTGCTGGACGGAAGAAGCTTCACTGGGGCCCCGATGGTGGAATTCAAATGGCAGTGCCCTCCTGATAGGTGGAGGGGGCATAAACCCCTGCCGCCTATCAGGAGCTGGATCTTAGCCTGCACCCTGCTTTGGCGAATGGGGATGCAGGCTGGGAGGTGGGCTGTGCCAGGGGGCGGAGCCAATGGAGCTGACGGTGAGCTTCCCTTGAATCCGCCCCTTGCCCATTTAAGCAGCCCACACCTGGGGCACAGCCTGTTTGTTCCTGCGCTGCATGTTTATATATGATACAAGTTATTTGGCTGCTTTACAATATATACCATATTTTTCGCTCTATAACATGCACCCGACCATAACACGCACATAGTTTTTAGAGGAGGAAAACAAGAAAAAAAATATTCTAAACGAAACAGTGGATGTATGATTTTTGTGGTTCATGCTGTGGCCACAGACATGTGATCTGATGGTGAATTTGGGGTGACCCAGTGCAAAAATCCTGAGGATCCATGTGGATCTGTGCTTTGTAACCACGTTTTAAGTGGGGAGGGAAGGAAAAGCACTCAAGGGACAAGGAGCACACGTGGGGTGTGTGGAGAAGGATGCTGCTAATAATGCAGAAGAGGGGTTTAAGGGGAGAAGGAACACGCGTGGGGTGTGTGGAGAAGGATGCTGCTAATAATGCAGGCGAGGGGTATAAGAGGAGAAGGCTCCTCTCCCGTTTTGCTCCTTTAAAGCAAGCAGGCTCTCTGTCCCTCTCTCCTCCCCACTCAGCGGCTCTTCTCCCGCTGTGCTGTTTCAAAGCGAGCCACGGAGGAGGGAAGGGGAACCATGGATCCTCTGCTCACGACTGCAGCAGATCCCCCCACCATCCATAGGCATTCGCTCCATAACACGCACAGACATTTCCCCTTACTTTCTAGGAGTAAAAAAGTGAGTGTTATGGAACAAAAAATACGGTACATAAAATACATTTGAAACCACAGCAAGATATAGTTAATTGAAATGAGAGTGCAGAAGACAATTTTCTCCCAATCACACTACACTCTCATAGGTACAAACAATATTTTAAAACTATACTGTGAGAATATTGATATTAACACAATGCTGTGTTGAAGTATTGCACACATTTTATCTGCATAGTCCACTAAAGAGAATGGCTGCATCGACCATACAGATGATTTGTGTATAAAGAAGGCATGAAATCACAGCAGTTGTAACATCAGAAAAACTGAAAGAAAACCCTTTTTGCTGAACAATCTTGACTAAAATCCCCTCTTTTCAAGAAAGATTTTTTTTCCCTGCGGAAAAAAAAGCTTTTAGTAAAATGCCTCGCCTTATTCTGTATTCATATCAAGATACACGTTCTTGGAAATGCAGTCAATGTTGCCGACTGCTCTTTCTGCATTCCTATAGGTTTTGCAATTTTGCATTATCTTGGTACAATCTCTTCTCATAATTAAAAAAGGCGGCTGTGGTTGTAATTCAGAATTGGGATTGAACAATGTAATAGTTCTGTTACTGAGTTTTAAAAACCACTTTGCAGCCTATTAAAAATTATAAAACATATGAAGTTGTCAACCTAGCTCATGCAAGCCAAACTGCATTCCCCCATTAAAAACCCTGAATGGTCTAAATGTTAATAAGATGAAGACAATTGGCACAATGTTTCCAAAAATTATTATAGTATATATATGACAAGTATTGTAATATGGCCAAATTTAACACAGACATGGTTGTCAGGGAACTGCCATCGGCTCAGAGGCGAGAGATAGAGGGGCAGTTGTGTTACAGGGAGCCTCCAAAAATCTTGCGAAGTAGTTCCTTTACCGGTGAGGAGGAAAGCCCCACCTCCAGTGGAGAAGAGGTGCAAGGACCAGAGGATGCTAGTAAGAGCCTTAACACCATGCCTGAGCAAGCCGGAGAGGAGGGAAGCACGCCCTTGCCATCGCCCATCATGCGCAGTAGTCTGAGGCGCAGAGAGGGGCGGAAATGGCTGGAGGTGACGAAACTTTTATGTTGGGGGAGGTACAAAAACAGACCACTCCCGGATTCTGTTAGCAATTGAGCCAGACAGGAACTTATGACGCTCTTCACTGTAAATAGTTTGCACCAAAATAAAGCCTGTAAAAGACAGGTCGGAGTCCTGCCTGGTTACTCTCGAGCAACCGCAACAGCACCTGACAATGGTGAAAAATAATCAAGTCTAATGATTATCTACTGTTCCATACCATAAATACATACTGTCTGCTTGTTTTCTTTCCCCTTCAAATGCATCCAAAATTTGTGTAGTTTGTCTTTCCCTATTTTTGTGAAAATCCATTGGATTTGCATTAAATAGTTAGGTTTTCAAAGTCCTCATTGTTTTAAATAGAAAGGTCACATCTTGCTGGCCATGCTCAGTACTTGGTTTGTATTGCCCCCGAGCAAATGCATGCTTCTCCAAGATGAGTAAGTGCAAGTATATTAGCTCTTCTCTTAACTGAAGGGTTTTTGACCCCTGAATTGTCCACTGTCATTGACAGAAGTTCTCCAAGGTATTAGGGAAGTTCTCCAAGGTATTTCCAGACTTCAACCATTAGTATTTTATACCAAGTTGAGCTAAACATTGTAAATCAATTCTCTCCAAAATGAAACCTAAGATCTCTTAGAGGACAACACTAGGGCTTTATAAAGAAATATGTTGGCAATCTGAATTAACTCGGCACACTGCTTATTAAGAGAGCTTTTTCTGGAGTCTAATTTAACAAGACTGCAATGATATATTGATTGATGATGGAATTAAAATTTCACTTATCTAAATATTCTCTATTTTAGAAGTCACAGCTCCAAAGTAATGAAAAATACTTTCAGAAATTTTAATGTAAAACTAAATGCTTTTCACAGAATAATTGACACAAAAAGCTGACTAATCTTAAAAGTATGTTTTTGAGGTACATTATCTTCTGATTTTATTTTGTAATGCCTATACTGAAATGGCAAACATTCCTGGAGTTTAGAATAAGTGAACAATAAAATTATTAATGCTCAAGCATTGTTAGTATTGAAAATCTTATCTCAGTTTCTGGGGGGGAAAATACTCCACTGGTCACATGGTTAAAATTGGTTTTGCTTGTCTCCTTTCACAGTGAAGCAAAACAAAAAACAAAAAACTCCACACACAGAATCCAGACTTCCAGGTCTTGATGCAAAGCCATTGTTTTCTTCATTTTAGAAGAAGAAGAAGAAGAGTTTGGATTTGATATCCCGCTTTATCACTACCCGAAGGAGTCTCAAAGCGGCTAACATTCTCCTTTCCCTTCCTCCCCCACAACAAACACTCTGTGAGGTGAGTGGGGCTGAGAGACTTCAAAGAAGTGTGACTAGCCCAAGGTCACCCAGCAGCTGCGTGTGGAGGAGCGTGGAAGCGAACCCAGTTCACCAGATTACGAGTCTACCGCTCTTAACCACTACACCACTCTGGCTCTGTAAAGCATCCTGTGTTTTTCAAAGCACGCATCTGTAATGCTGGATGGTGTGAGTAGTTAAGATTGTAGAAGAGTGAGGAAAGAAGTGCCAGTTTAAAATAAAAATTAGTCAGTTGTAGGCTGCCCCCTTAACAGTGAGGATTGTAACACTGAGGATTGTATTAAGGATAAGAATGAGCCACCTACTTTTTCTTAGTTACATATATTGTGAAAAGTTATTTTCCCTAAGAATTCTATTTATAACTTACTATAAGCATAACATTTCCAAAGAGGCCCCAACATCAGCTGGTTGCCTCCCTCTCCCATAACATGTTTTCAGTGCAATCATCAAAATGCACCAACAGGTCTTACAACATTCAGAACACTTGCAATATCACAATAAAAAGTAGCTTATTGCTAAAGAAGTCATGGAGCAATTTTTCACAAAGTCAAAGGGTTTCAAATATCTTGTACTTGAGTGCTAAATATAGAAGCCATTAACAAAATTCATTAAAATTAAGCTCATCAGCAAAATGAGATCCAATGATAGCATGTACATAAAGCAGCCCTGGAAACCATTTCCAGAGAAGTAGTTGTGTTAGTCCATAGTAGCAAAAACAACAAAGAGTACTGGGGAACCTTAAAGACTAAGTGCTCATCCACACTTTTGCTTAACCCATATTTTAACTGTATTGTATCTGAGAGTTTTTCTTATCAAGGCCGTCTTTAGCATATGCACCGCCAGGGTGCAAAGATCCACACAGCGCCTCCAAATTTTAACACAACTGATCTTGTGACTAACCACTTCCCATGTTCCTGCCCTGGGAAAGCCAAGCACCAGGAGACCTCTGTGCGTGCCCTGGGCGAAAACTGTGTTGCATGCGGGATGGAGCTGTGGAAAAGCCACGTAGAGTGCAGCTCTGTGCACCAAGGTCCGCAGCCTGGACCAGACCAGCCCAGGGCCGCATGGCGGGGCTCCTTACATTTCTCCTTCCTCTCTGGCTGCCCATTCGGAGCAGCAGGTTGAGGCTGGTCATACTGGGGGCGGTGCGGGGTTTTCTCCTCCGGTGTGCACACGGATAGTGGCGGCAGCGCCCCAGTACCTGATTGGCTGTGCCAGGTGGGCGGGGCATGGAAAGGTGGAGTGAGGCGAATCACCGCCAGACCCCGTGGCTGAGCAGCCCATGGAAGGGGCCGGGGGAGGGAGTGGCCCTGTACTGCCTTCTCCGCCAGATCCGGCCATCGCAAATTCGGAGTGATGCCGGAGTCCAGCCACACAGCCACCAGGGCACAGTCGGTGGCAGCCTGGTACCCCCCAGAATTTGGTGCCCATGTGCCCCGCACTCCTTGCACCCCCCAGGTAAAGACACCCTGTTTCTTATAGTTTCCCAGCTGTTCCTTGCAAAAATCTGATCTTGCCTGCTGAATCAGATCTTATCAGATATTTTTCTTAACTGAGCTTCAATTCAGAAGGGAAGATCACATTTTCACAAAGCACAGAAAGGTACAGATACCTGAGCAGGTCAGGTGGCATAAAAATAGTGTAAGCAGTCCTCCCCAAGCAACATTTTTCAAATAAAATTAAACATACCCAGTAGCTAAAATGTAGATATTTTCAAATTATTCTTTCTCCTGCTCTCTACCACTTCCATATCCACAAGAGGCCCCTTTCAGACTGAAAAGCTGACAGTGATATTTGTGAAAACACCATAAAATTAACTTTGGATTTTTATCACTTCATTCCCAAGCATGGATTGAAAAAATATTATCTCCCCATACCTCCTATAGAAGGTCCTAAAGTGCAAATAAAGTTTCAAGAAAAAGTTTCACCGCCACAGTGACTAGTGAGGGAGTGGACACACACTTGTTTTTAGCTCTAATTAAAGAGGCAGTCCAGTTTTGCAAAACAGTAATTTTGTTACCAAGTAAATAAAACAAAAGGCATGACAGTGTTGTAACTACAACAATTCTTCACTGTATATATTTGGCATCCCCCCTCCCAACCAGGCCAAAAATACTTTGGTTTTTTAATGCTACTGGGAGGAATTAATAGAGATGTTCAACAACACTGACAGAATGTTGGCAAACTGGTTAACATTTTGATGAATTGAAGCAAGATAATAGGGGATTTTTGTAGATTGCACAATGCTCTAATGTGCTTTCCTCAAATCAGCCCCCTTTGGTAGCGGTGAAAAAAATAGCTGTCGTAAAGGAGAGCATTAAAGTAAGCCTGAGACCATTATTATAGGCATGGCCAGTGTATATTTCCTACAGTAAATGACAATTGAGGCTGTTTTGGGATATGTATAAGCCATCCTTCAGTATATGATCCCAAGATAAGTTATAGTAACCCCCCCCCCAAAAAACCCTATATAGTATAGAGTAAAAAATAATAATACATAAAGCAAAGGAACAGTACCAAATAACAATAAAGCTAGGCTGAATCATAAAAATTTGAATTTTTTCCTACACTCAAGTGGTATATAAATTTTATGAAATAAAAACAAAAAAGTAAAATTGAAACAGAAATTAAACAACTATTCAATGTGCTGAAATGGCTGGGCAAATTAAAAGAAAAGTCTTTCCCAGATCCATCAAGACATCAGACTAGACGCCAGGTAAGCACACCTAGAGAGGCAAACCCCAATCAAGAAAGAGACACTCTGCAGTTACCACACTCCTAACCTCAGATGTGTTGGTCAGCCAACCAATGACAAAGCAGGCGGATGACATGGTGGGCAATGCTAGCACAAGGGCATCATGTAGGCATTCCAGATATTGGACAGAAGGTGTGGTGTTGGGAAGGGAAGTAGGAAGAATCCTGGTTGGTTTGATCATTTGTTTGGCATCTTAACCAAACCATGGCTAACACAAACAATGAATTAGAGCAGGCATGGCCAAACTTGGCCCGCCAGCTGTTTTGGGACTACAACTCCCATCACCTCTAGCTAACAGGACCAGTGCCTGGCTTAGAGTAAACTGCTCGGAGGTTCTATTTACAATCAAGCAGTAAATACATTTAAATAAATAAATAAATAAATAAATAAATAAATGGTATAGCATTACAGGTGAGCCCATCCTATGTCTGCATGCTTAGTGGACAAATATGAAAGCTCCCATTGCAACTAAATGTCCTTCATGTATATTTTGTATTATACAGTGGAACCTTTACTTAGGTTCACTTCTAGTTACGTATCCTTCGGGATATGTGCGCGGCAAACCTGGAAGTATTTTTCCGGGTTTCACCGCATGTGCAGAAGTGCTAAACTGTGCCATGCGTAGAAGCGGCACCTCCGGATACGCACACCTTGGGATCCAACCGGAGCTCCAGAACGGATCCCGTGCACAACTGGAGGTACCACTGTATTTCTGTAATGCTTTGGGCATATTCAGGGTTTTTTTCAGCCAGAACTCACTGGAACTCAGTTCCAGCACTTCTCAGGAGCCATTGTCATTATAAGAGAACAAGGGAGGCGTTTGTGGTGAGTTCTGGCACCTTTTTCTAGAAAAATAGCACTGGGCATACTGAGTCTCTGGTACACTATGCTCAGTTACAAAGATTTCTTCCAATTTCAGCTATATAACAGTGGAAAGTTTCTACTGCTTACAGGTGTTTTAATGGTACAGAAAGGTAAAGTGCAGAGACAGTCTATGTTCATCTAATTAGAAAATAATTAAATTGTCATATAAAATGTTGGATTTTTTGTATTATATCATCCTGCTTTGTAGCTTCTGCAATACACACATTTTAAAAATACATTTTAAGTAATATTAATGTCAAATTAATCAATGCCACTTTTTGGGTAGATTATCAGCTTAAACTTAGTAGCTCTCAATGAATTCAGAGGGACATATTCCTAGGTGTGTACAGGATTGCAGCCTAAATGGGTAGTTTGATTAATCAATTAACACTGCAGTGGTAAATAAAGTGTATTTTAAAGCAAGCTTTCACTTTAATTGTTATTCATCACAAAGCTATAAAGAAAACAGACCATTATGGAAACTGATTCCACATATAAATTACTGTGACTAAGTAAACAGAAAATAAAGGATGTCTGCATCAAGAACATCTGCAGTCCTAGGTTGAATTCTCAACAAAAAGGGGAGCATCTTACTAAATAAGGTGCAGCAATCATTTTAAAAAAAGAGAAATCAAGTCTACCACCATACATTTAACTGATCTCAGAAGCAATGGCAAATGGAGACCAGTGGATTTACTTTATAGAATAGTATCAAAGTGATGAGGAAGCTAGAGACTGTTTCATTTGAAAAATGTTTATGATAATACAAAATTTCCCAAACTCCCTCTGTCCCCCACAGACTTTATGAAAACTGCTGCGGGGATCCTGGTAATAATTATAATAATTGGTAATAATAATATTTTAAGCAACTGTAATGAACTGTGCTAGATGTTGCATGATTATAAATGATTTTTAGTGGTTCTTTTATTTCTTATATATTGTATTATGATTGGAAATCCATAGAAGTCAAACTGTAAGTGTTCTTCACTGACGTGCTGTGGAGCACTTGAATGAAGCCCAATCACAGTTTGGGAACCCCTGAGACAATGCATTACAGGGGAATTAGCCTGATATCAAAGGCTGGGAAACTACTGTTGAATCACTCTGAATCACAAATAGAGCCTTTGTGGTGAATTAGGCAGACTTTCACAAGAAGAGAAAAAAAAATTAATTGATTCACTGGGTAATGAGAATGCCAGATGATGCTCGAGATAAGCAGCGGCCTGTTATGGCAACCCTTGGATTGATTTTGCAAAAGCATTTACTAAGCAGACTGGATTTTGCTGTCCTTGCCTGATAAGATGCCAAATGAAATTAAAACTGTATGTCATCAGCAAATCCAGGTGTGGGAGGAATGTTTATCAGTTCTTTCGAAGTTGAGGCAAGTGTCTTACCAGGAAGCTCACTGGCTTAGCTTATGTTTATTACTGCAGTGGACAGATGATAAAGGACAAAGGGACAAAGGGGAACTCCTATTATCATGATCTTGTAATATAGTCAGTATGGCCAGATGTGTAGCACTGGGAAAGAGAAACACGACCTCTGGGCACAGAAGTCACAATTCTTAGCAATCAAGCAAGAATAGGAACATACTGACTATGGATGTTATGGGCATCTTAAATAGAGGAGAAACTGAAGCTAAAGTGTAAGCAAGAATCGGGCAAAATTAAATATAGTATCAGCTATATTTAAATGAAGTACAATATTGAATTAAAAGGCAAAAGTTTGATTGATATAAAATTCTATGCTTCCTTACCTAGCTACGATATTTGCAAATTTTCGAACACAATTTTTAAAAGCGCTGCATAACTTTTTATTTTATTTTAAAGGGTGATCTCCATTGTTAGACATGCTCAATGTACTCATTTCAGTGTTTTCAGTGGGTCTTCTCCAAGTATGACCTTGCTGCCTATCATCTAAAGTTTCTAATATAGTGTAATGCCATTGTAATTTTATTTATAAAGTTATGTTTATGTTGTTGCTTGCTGCCTTGAGAAAAGCAACCTATGAATATTTAAAATAAACAAACAAAATTCATGAAGTTATCCTTTTATTTTATTTTTTTACATTCTTGTCTTTCAGCAGAAAAGCAAACTGGCCAGTTTTCTTCAGCTTATAGCCTATGATTTACTATTGTTTATGAGAAAATTAGGCTATTCACCAAGCCAGACGCCTTTAAAGTAAGTTATTACAAGTAAGTCATTGCACAACCTTGTCTACAAGGTAATCACTTAAGCGTAGTTCTCACACTACAACAGAAGTAATAAGCACCCTCCCTCTATGCTAAGTTGCTGGCGTTATATAATACTAATATAAATAAGATGAATAACCTAAGTGGAGGAATTAAATGAATTTGTACAGTACATTCAAACCTCCTGCTAAGCCAAAGGACACCAGTTTAAGCCAATTCAGTTCACTGGCTTCAGTGGGTCTAAACTGGAATAAGCATTGATACAGAATATTGATAATATTCCAGTTCCCTCATGTCAGCCTATCAAAAGCATTTACTTGTGGAGAAAATTGGGAACACAAGGAATTTATTTGTTTTTATAATTCCTATTGATCCCATCTATGGATAAATGCACGTGTAGCTCGATGTCATTATACTCTTATATAATTTATCTTTGTACTTTGTACATATTTCATGGACCCAAATGGAAAAAAAGACATCTGGCTTCATTGTTTGTCATCAAATTTCCCCCAGTAATTTTATACTTATTTTTTACCTTCCCTAAGAAATTTCTATGTATGGTATTTTTCAAAATTAACTTTTTAAAAAAAGTGAAAACAATGTCACACTTCATATTTTTAGTTCCTCCTTACCTTTTTAAATGATGCTGGCAACGTAGATGTAGTTACTGAATCCATTGGAATACCATAAGCAAACTGTGTCTCTTTTGAGGGTAGTGGAGGCAGCTGATTGGCCTGAGCAGCAAATTGTGTATCTGGCATGTCAAAATCTCTGAAAAACACATAATATTTTTGCCATTTAATTAAACTGACCAGAAACATTGTAGTAGGATGTTAAATGGAAGCTGCATTAAAGATAATTGTGATTAAAGTCTTAACATGTGACAAATATTGCATGGCTGCATCCAAAAACGACATAAAAACAGCTTTGTACCTAACTTTTAAATTAATAATGATTAGATCTGGTTTATGAGTCTATCATCCTGACTTCCGGCCAAGAAGGCATCAAGAAAGGTCTCACATTTCTCTTTATTCTTAAATTACGGCTGTTTTATTGAAGGTGAAATATGGCCAGTTTTGAAAGGCATTTTTCATTTTTGCCTAGATTTAGTTTAGGCCTTGAATATTTATAGCTTTTGCTATTTGGGACATAGCAAAAACTATAAAGTGCTACAGCAGTTCAGGGGTGGTGCCAATTGCTCTTTCTTCCTTTGAATAACCATGCAATTATTCCCTCAGGAGCACCTGCATCTCTGATTTTGTACATAAAAAGTCATAAAAACGTTATAAAAATGTCATAAAAACACAGTAGAAAGTTTTCAAAGATTATGAAACATAATACAGAAGAACAGCTCCCATCTATCAACACATGCTGGCCTGGCAATAGGAGATCAACATTATTATTATTAACATTTGTATACCACCCTTCATCTGTAGATCTCAGGGTGGTTCACAGCACACAATACAAGGCAAAAAACACAAAAGACATAAGAAAAAGAAGAACAAGAACAAAGCAATAACCCCCTCCCCAATCCCTCCCATTAGAACACGCAGAGCACATGCTGTCCAAAAACCATTTATTAGCAGTAAAAATTGAGACAATTGAAAAAGGCTATTCTTCACATATAATTTAGTTAATGGAATTAACTGCCACAAGATGCCATGGTCATTTGTTTAGGTGTTATAAAATGGGTTTCGTGGAAGATAGGTCTGTCGATGGATATTAGCTATGACTACTAAAGGTGACTTCCCTATTCAGAAGAAATATAAAACTGAATATCTGTTGTTAGGTGGCAACATAGAGAGAGTGCTATTGCCCTAAATTTCAACACCCAGCTCTATCTCTGAATGCCACTTGGAGCTGCCTGGAAGTATGTTTAGAACTCTTAACAGATCCAAAATGCAGCAGGCAAAATGCCCTAGCAAACAAATTTCCTAGAAGTGTTAAAAGATTTGTACTTACCAGTTGGGTTCTACACACAATTAATAGTGCCACTTTTGAACTGGGTAACCTTAAAGTCTGGGAAGGAATACCTTTTTTCTGTATGAGGCACTTTCTCAGTTTGCTCAAATTTCAAGTGAAGTTCTGCTCTGAGTTCCATCATTTATAATGGCCAGATTGGTAGCTACTGGCACAATATCCCTGCTTTATGTATGATCCAGTTCACCAGGGTCTGGATCAGTCCATTCCAGGTCTTACACGAAAGCTCTAAAGACCAAGCCCTGAATCAGCTGAGGACATAAGCTTTCTGGTGGGCATTTTCTAATGCCTAATGTAATGTTTGTTTGTTATAAATAAAATATTCGTCCTTTGTGCCAAGACTACATCCTTCAATGAATGCAAATTTTCTTACTGGTGGCATCTATGTTATGGAATTCCTCTTGTGGGGAGTTCCACCAGACCTTCTTACATTTAGAATACTAGGCTCAAAATTAATCCTACAATTGAATAAATCTTAGCTGTGCTTTTTTCCCTACAAAAATGTTTAGGGGTACTCTCGTTTTCCTACTCATATTGAAATACTGCTCAATGAGGCCAAAGTTAGATTCACAAAATGTTTAAGGGGTATGCATACCCCTGCTTACCCCCAGAAAAAAGCACTGAATCTTAGTCAATTAACAAAACTAGTTTTAGGAGTACCTAAATTTGCAAGTGAGAAAAAATAATGTTTCTAAAGAATAATAATAAAAAAAAAGATTATGTACTGTAAAGCACACACACACCATGCTAAAATAAGCATCTCTCATTCCTTCTTACACAGGTCTCTTACATGCTCAGTTTTTATACGTACTTGCATTACAAAAGGCATTTTTAATCAGACATTATCTTTATATAAATGAAAACAGACTAACAGTTCAATCCTATTACAAGTTCAACCCTACACATCTTTTCAGAGGTAAGTCTCATTCAGTTCAATAGCATGTACTTCCACGAAGGTATGTAATTGCAGCCTAAATGTTGTAGCCCCAGATAAAGGCTTTTGTCGTGTTTCCCAGGGACAGCAGGCATGGCAAGGAAGAGCCATGGGCACCAGTTTTATTTGGAGTTGGCTTAGGCTGCCTTGATTCGAGGCAGCAAAGGGAGTCATCTCATTCTTGGTTGGCCTATGGGTTTAATATTCCTGGAGATGCTCACACTTGAGTGCCCTCTGGTGGAATGCCTGGTTTCCTACTTGTCTTCAGAAGTGAAGCAGCTGTTCCTCCAACCAGTTTAGAAGCTCCTGGCAGGTTTGTGTACAGTGGTACCCCTGGTTACGTACTTCATTTGTTCTGGAGGTCCATTCTTAACCTGAAACTGTTCTTAACCTGAAGCACCACTTTAGCTAATGGCGCCTCCTGCTGCCACCACGCCACCGGAGCACGATTTCTGTTCTCATCTGAAGCAAAGTTCTTAACCCAAGATACTGTTTCTGGGTTAGCAGAGTCTGTAACCAGAAGTGTATGTAACCTGAAGCGTATGTAACCCGAGGTACCACTGTACATGGATTCTTGGGAACTGACTCTGGCTCATGCAGAACTCTGTCTGGGTGCCTTTCCTTAATCAACTCCAAGTTGTGCAGAATTGGCTGACACCTCCCTCCATTTTATCTGCGATTTATATCTGTTGTTTTAATTATACTGTTCTGATGTTACTGCTTTTATGCTTTAAGCCATCTTACTTTTGTTGATTATCTGTAAGCTGTTTTGAGGATTTTTGTAATTAAATACTAAGAAAAACTTTTAGGCAGATTTAACTGATTGAGAAGCTAATTGATTAATTGCCCATCAACCCAGGTTAATATCAGATACTGGGTAACAAAAGTGTTTGGCTTCACACTTGGTACATGGGTTTCTTGACTGAGAACATAGAAAAATGTAGAACAACTTCTGACAGCAGAGGAGCACACTAGAAAGACTAACAAAAGATGTAAGGCAAAACTGATACATATTGTTTTGAATTTAACAACACAGTATAGTAAGGAGATATGAAGATAGATTTAGAGCTACAGCAAAGTCAAGGTGTGGGCATCCCTCTCGTCTAAAAACTGTACCTCTCTAGGAAACTGTACCTGGGGTCTGGGAGATGAATAGTATTTGTAAACTGCCTTCCTACCCAACATATTGTCTGGATGAAGGCAAAGGTTCTAGACCTCACTAAGAATTGGATTTCTAATGCCAGCAGGTAGTCAGTTGGATTGGCTGCATGGAGTAGTGGTGTCAGGATGCTGACTGTACGGCTCCCACTTAACTGACACCATGTTGCTAGCAAGAAAAAACACAATATCAGAGGCACTGAAGCAGCAGCCAATCAGGGCTGTGAACAGCCTCTGAAACAAGGATGAAAAAGGCATGTATGAGGAAGAGTATTTGGCTGCACATCTATGAAGCCTGAAAACACCCTTTTCATTGTGATATGAAATTTCAGGATAGTAGTATGTATAGAAACAAATAAGAGCAAGTTGGAAATATTACAACTTTGTATGAAACCCTGCCACCTAGTGGACTGATTATATCAAGCAAGTTATTACGGTATATGAATCAGTACTGTACTTCAATATAAAAAGCTTTTGAAAAATGCTAAACTCGGTGCTATTTTTCTAGAAAAAGAAGTGCTGGAACTCACCATGAATGCCTCACTTCTCTTATAATAGCAATGGTGCCCACCTGAGAGGTGCCAGAACTGAGCTCTGGTGAGTTCCAGCTGAAAAAAAGTCCCAGCTAAACCAATACTCAAAATGCAGTACTGTATGTATATTTTTGAATCAAACAAAACTCTTCCTAAATTTGCATGTGCACATTTTGTAAAGGTAAAAGTGAGCTGGAGTATCTTATGTTGACCTGAGATTAGAGCAATAGAATTCAATCTCATTAGAGAAGCACATTTCATATTATTGGAGGTATATTAAAGAGCTACTTGCAACTACACTCACTCAATCTAAATTTGTCATCGAATAGTAGAGTTGGATTCCTGCAATGCAGGAATCTTTCATCCAATGTGGGGCTCATTACCCTGAGATTAAGAGTCCCATTCTCTACCGACTGAACTCTTCCTCGTGTCTAGTATTGTTTTGGTCATATTACTATGCTTTTTCACAAATAAGATTCGGAACAGCAATTCTTTATTGGGTTATACCTTACCTATTTTATTATATTCCAGCGCTTCAAATATAATTTTCAGGGTGCTTAAATAATTAATTAATAATAATAATAATAATATAATACAGTGGAAAAATAAAACAAAACCGGAACATAAAGCCACATCAATTGCAGGGTTGAACATATTAATGACAAGGTCTTCCCCAAATAACAGGAAGATAGTAATAGAGTATTGGGATTCATATAACTGGAGTAATCAAAGATATCCTGGAGTTACCTACTTGAGCAGGAGTAGCCACAGGGTGGTGCCATAGAACTACACTACCAATAGCAGCAATTACCTGGGAAATGAAGGGACAGGGCCACATGGCAGTGAGCTCAGGGCTGTGTGGCTGCACCAGCAGAGTCAATCTGGTGCTCCTGCTAGTGCCATGATGCAGACTCTACACCAGCTGTTTCTTCACTCACCTTACCCCAGATAGGAATATTAGCAACTAGTCAATTTTTTTCATTCAGGTAGGGTTTTTCAGGGGCAGTCTTACAACTGCCTACTTAAAGGCTGCCAGGACACAGCACTCCCAGCTGGTTCACTATTTTTTAAAAAGTGAAATGGGTTCTCGTTGAGGACTATATCATGTGAACACTACCCAGTAAAATTGAACTCAAAAAGCCTCAAACGCATGGTGAAGTTGGGTGGAGGAGCCCACTGCTTGCAGTATTTTTTAATGCCTTAATGTCTTGAGCACATTGTCTGCTCCTGCTTCAGCTCACAAAAGCCCTGAATTTATCCAAGATGGTCTCACTTTACATCTTGATTTAGGATTCAGCTGAATATTTTGAATGTCACTAATAAAAATGACTATTCTGCATCATTTGTTTCTATTCAATGAAAGTACATTTGTTTTGTATTTGTTGTGCACGATCCTCATAGTTTAGTTCTTCTTTTAAAATTATAGTAACACAGAACTCAAAGTGCAACATTTTTGTAGCTGGGAAAATGATAATGGGATTACACACATATTATAAACATCTATTCATTAAAGCAGTACTCAGCACTGTAGCCGCTTCTGCACTCTCCAGTGCAATATTCTACCAATTTTAAAGAGATGGCCAGACTGCAGCAGGCTCTTTAAAACTGAAGGGGCTATCATTGTTTGATATGAAAACTTTATGAATGAATTTCAGGTGAAGGTGGCTGCCCAGAAAATAATAATCTAGATTTAGATATACCCTGCATTGCAGGGGTTGGACTAGATGACCCTTGAAGGTACCTTACCAACTCTATGATTCTAAGATTCTAGAGCCCTCTTGCCAGAGCCAGACCAAGCCATTTTAGCAACTGAGAAGAACCACAAAATGTCCCTGTCCCGCACAACAAGGAGTGAGTAAAGATGAACATCAGGAACAAGAGGGGTAGGAGACCAGCAGCGGCTGCTATTTGCCAAGAAGCCACACCCCTGAGGTGGTATCATGGGGGGGGGGGCACTGCTTAGAAAGAGGCAAATTCGGCCTCCAAGGAATGTGCTACAATGCCACTGCGGTGGCAACAGTAGGCGAGGCATTTCTTGGAGGCTGGATCTGTAGGTGTGCATTTTGTATTGCTTTTAATCTCATTTTCCATTATTTTTGTAATTGTTTTTTTAACTTTGTTTTAGCCACTTTTATTATATTTTATACATTGCCTTGGAACTTTTATGGAAGGCAATTTCAGCAACAGCATTTTTAATTACTTGTTTGTATCATCTAACGGCCTCAAATTTCCTACGTTTCTTTATTTCTGAAGATCCTTCAAGATACTAGATTATCCAGCTGTTTGAGACAAAGGTATCAAAATCTGCCAAAGCCAAAAGCACATTTGGGGGCAGATAACATTGAAAAATATTGTATTTTCCTTCAATCATGTGTAGACAAAGTTTGACCACTGGGTGGCACAGCCATCTGTTTCCAAAGCAAAGTTGATGCTTATAATCACCAAAAAGGTGATAAAGGGCCTTTTCTGGCAATGAAAACAAACATAAACAGCATGTTTTGTTCAATTGGTTAGAGATTCTGCTGCAGGGTTATCACAATTTCTTACACGCTCGTATTTTTGTCTCTGGGGGGACAAAAGCAATTAATCTGAGAGTACTGAGTGCTGCAAAAAACGTGGTTGCGCAATTGTAATGAGGGCTTCTTGTAGGGTTGCCGTATTTCAATTGTTGAGCTTTTTTAGGAAGACCCCCCAAATTGTTGAGCTGCTTTTTTAATGTATGGCAGCCCTCATTCTTATGTCTTCAGTGACACAATTTATTTGCCATTCCTGAATCATTTAATGAATATTTTGATATTTTAAATATTAAGTAAATATTTAAAAATTTCCTCAGAGGATTAGTGCTTCTCTCACTGTACTAGTCTAGTGAAGGTGCACACATCTAATTCTTATCAGGAAGATAAGGATTCCATTTAAAAAGGGGGGGATATACTATCACCTCCCCTTGTAATAAGACTAATTCCTTACATAATATTTCAATATTGTCATTGGATTTTCAGTATAACTAATCAGAGATTTTTTGTTGTCTGGTCCTGGAATAATTTGTATGTATTTAGCCAGATATTATTCTGTTGACTGATTTATCTAAAGATCTTTTCACTTCAAGACTATTCTTGCAAAGGTACCTTCTAGTAGAATGTGAGTAGAGCTTTTCACCATTTGATCTACTTCAACCATGTACAATATTAAGTTCATTAGCATTATTTAACATCTTGCCACAGTCTATAATTTATAGGGCCTTCCAATTATTTTCACAAATTGCATTTGGCCAGACAACTTTCAATGTTGATATAATATTAAAGAGGTAAGTGGAGGTGCGGGGGAATGTTCTGAAAACAATGTAAGTATTCATGAGAGAAAATAGATAGATGCTGTTAAAAAGTCACAGTTGCTGAGCAAGCTTCTGATGTAAACTGACGGCAGACAAATCAGGATTTCGGGAATACAGCTTGCTCTCCCCATGAATTTGTTTACTGGAACAAAGATTATCTGACAAGACAAATTACCATATTTTTTTGTGTATAAGACACCCTCATGTATAAGACACCCCCTATTTTTTTAACCCGAAATTAATAAATTAGGTTGTTTAGCTTTTGTTTGGGGTGGGGGAGGTCACGTCTGCCAATAGTTCACCTGCCTGCCTGCCACTGCTGATCGCCTGCCACAGCCACTGCTGATCGCACACCTTGCCACAGCAGCCAATTGTCTGCCCGCTCACAGCCACCAACAGCCCACCCACCCATTTGTCACAGCCGCCAATCACCTGCCCGCCTTGCCACAGCCACCAATCAGCCGTGCCAATCTCCTGCTTGCTGCTGCCATTAATTGTCCCCTCTGCATTCACTATCCATGTATAAGACGACACCCAATTTTTGCCTGTATTTTTAAAGCAAAAAACATCGTCTTATACATGGAAAAATATAGTATACAGTGGTTTTGTAAGAAAGTCAAATGAGTGGTTTGATACCAACCAACACATTCTCAACTCTAATGCTATAACCATAGTGAAAGTCAGCTTTGGCATGAAACCAGCCTTACCCAAAAGAAAACAGTAATGCAAAAGGATCAGAAACTTGTGAATTAATGAGTATCTGTGAATGGAAGCAATATGCAACAATAACAATTGTACATCTTCCGAAAAGTTATAGCATATTACAAAATAAATGTTTAGTATAGTTAAAAAACCCCACCCCATTCATCCCAGAGAGTCAGAAGGAAGCATTTGAAATGATCTTTCGAGTAGTCATGTAAATTATATTGCCAGGACAAGTTATGTTAGTACACACATAGCGCTTTTAACAAATACCTGCTGAAGGTATATATTAAGGTTAGTAAAGGTAAAGGTACCCCTGCCCATACGGGCCAGTCTTGACAGACTCTAGGGTTGTGCGCTCATCTCACTCTAGAGGCCAGGAGCCAGCGCTGTCCGCAGACACTTCCGGGTCATGTGGCCAGCGTGACGAAGCTGCTCCGGTGACCGGCACCAGAGCAGCACACGGAACGCCGTTTACCTTCCCGCTATAAAGCGGTACCTATTTATCTACTTGCACTTAAGGGTGCTTTTGAACTGCTAGGTGGGCAGGAGCTGGGACCGAACGACAGGAGCTCACCCTGCCGCGGGGATTCAAACCGCCGACCATGCGATCAGCAAGTCCTAGGCACTGAGGTTTTACCCACAGCGCCACCAGCGTCCATATATTAAGGTTAAAATGACACAAATAACTTTTTTTTACAATAGTTGCTCTTCAAACCTTTCTTTGATCTCAAGAAAGGAAGTTACCATCAAATTATTTATTAATTTTATAGAAGTATAACCAAAGGAAAAAAGGCACAGTCATAAGGATACAATTATATTAATATGTGACCATTATAACCCACTTTACACATCCCATAGGTTTTGAATCATTAAAAATGGCTTAAGTCAGCATCCAATCCGCAGTTTGAGCAATTAGATAACATTTTATAGTATTTTCCTTTTATTTTATTTATTAAAATGTTTGGTTATTGCAGTTTCATAAATAATATAAAAGTGGTTTACAACAATTATACTACAATAAAAACCATATAAAAAATGAAAATATTTGTTGCAGTTTATATATGTCATATTTCGTACACTGTCTCAAGATATTCAAATATGAAAGTTTTATAAATATTCTGATGTATTTTTCACAAAGTAAGTCTCATGAACTAATTTTTCTTAGCATTCATCCAATGCCACATTTGTTTGGCAACACTTTTTGTTATGCTCAATGACAAACTGCCACATCTTTCCCTACAAAAGTCAGACTGCAAAACTCCCAATGCAGAGAGAGCATGTGCATTTGACTAGGTAGAAAGATTCATAAATTACATCTCAAGACTACACAAAGGATGAGCAGCCAAATGTGGAAATGACTAGTGGATTCAATTGATTTTGCTATTAAATATCACCCAAATGCACTCTTATAAATGTTTGCAATAGTTGGTTATAGCAAGTCTAGCTGATTGCAGTTTGATGGAAGCAAGATGGCACTGTTTCATCCATTCTAATCTGCACAATTTAAGCATTTTCTCATTTCTCACCCTAGTTATTTTTGCTTTTGTTGGTGTACATATGATGGTGCCTTGTGCCCAGAAGATGCACTGGGCCAGGTAGCATCCAACATCTTGTGGCTGACATTCTCCCATATGCGGGGTGTACAACTTATTGTAGCCCAAAACATATCTTGGGGGTAGGCACCTTTATGTTTTTCTACATCTTTTGGCTATGTTTGGTGTGCATAGATGCACTTGATGGTGACTTGCACCTGGAGGAGGCTGTCGGCTGGGTAGGGAATCTCATACGAAAAGGGAATCTCCTACAAAACACTCTTCCAGATGTGTGGCTGTATGTGGTGGCCCAAAGCATATTTTGTGATGGTCAGGTCTTTATTTATTATTTATTGTCTTTAGATGTCATCACATGTTTATGAGTGTTGCACAACCATGATACTTTTGAATGAATAAAATTGTTGGCCTCGAAGGGGAGAGTCCTCCGGTCATGCTAATATGGAGGTTCAGGCAAAAAGAAACCCTTTACTGTAGAGTTCAGGAACATATTGACTTTCCTTTGTGTAGTGAATCTTCAAGCAAATAAGGAACTGAGAATGAGTAACCAACTTCAGCAACATAACAATAAGGGAGAGAGAACACAGGAAGTGCTTTGTTTGATCCGTCTGGATCTACCCAACTTTCTAGCTTTCAACTTGCAACAGCAGTGCCAGACAGATTCTCCCAGGCATGTACAAGCAAGACATGAAATTAATGTTTTTCCTTAATTTCTGTCAGCATCTGGTAAACTGATACATTTAGGGAACAATACTTACAAGGATTACAGCTGGAAAGCAAAAGAAGATTGATGTTCCAAGAAATGTCAGTGGATAATCAGGTTTGTTCTCAATAAAGGCATGGAAAAGGCCAGCAGTGGACTACTGCCAAAGTTTTTCAGCATAACGTCCTGCCAAGTAATGTAATGCACAAGTTTTACTTGTGTAAAACCTGAATTGTAAACATAATTCTACTTAGTGAAAAAAATTCTCTATGGAGCAAGGAGCTTTCTAAATCTTTGGGTTTTTGTTTTTTTACAACTTTTAAGCCTTACTCTACAGTGATGTTAAAAAAAAAAGGTTTAGAAAGCTTTCAGAAAAAAACATGAAAGAAAAACAATTAAAACATAGACAGCTTAAGTAGTAATAAAGATGTAACATAAAAGGAAATAATGTGTGAGATTATTGGTAGCTATGGTTTGATTTGCTTTTCTTCACTGCCTCAGGGTTACAAGCTTGGGTCCATTAGACATTATGCTGGGTTATGTACAAAAGTAACTATGATCTCAAGTAATAAAGGTTTATAAAGAGAGTCAGGGTGTAAAAGACAATGAAATAGCATTGTAAGAAATATCAGAAACCCATCTGGTTCTTTACCCAGTGGAATCTGATGAGTCTTGAGATGCAGCAAGCACACACACACGTTGAACAATATCATGACGACATGGCCACACAGCGAACATGTTTTTTAAAAAGGTAAACTTTTACGCAACATGGTATATGAAGGGAACCCCTTGAGGCATGCTGATGCTTGTAATGCAAAACTGAAACAAAAAACAAAGTGCCTGAGAAGTGACTCAGGAAGATTCACCTATGGCAAGCCCAGTGGGCCAATACATTACACAACCCAAGAATTAAGTGTGACAACATATTTCTAGAATAAGACATCTAAAATCTGATGAGAAGCCATGCGGTTTATTAGTTACATTACTGAGTGACAAAAATGAAGACTTTGGGGAATGCAAAATAGATAGAACGAACAACATTTTTGTAGCATCTTTTTGGGATATCAAAATGAAATCTGGTACACCTGCTCAATTCAACATTACAAGTTAAAATATAGGTTTCACACCCCACACCAATTTTCAAGGGGGAAAGAAAAATGCAAAATATATTGTAAAGTGATAACCTGCCTTAAAGTTTTAGATAGTGGGATCAGACATGTAAATGGAATATAAATGAATCAAATGATTAAGAATATACCTTTGTTTTCCTTATTATGTTTTAGAATCACATGTTTAATGACAGGGAAATTTGAAATGTTATGAATGTATGTTTAAAAGAAGCCAATAAATATGACCGGGGAGAGAGGGAGAGAGAGATAGTGTGATCAGATTTCCTATGTTTCTTCTTAAAGATGAAAAGTAGCAACAGGTGGCTAAACTGGATCTGGGTTGTGGCACTGGGGAAGGGAGGCTTTCCCCTTTTCCTAATTTAAATTCTTCTCCCTGGTAAATATCCTATTTGCCCTAGAAGCACAAACATACTATCAATCACTTGAAGTCAGAGCAGAGCCGGGGAGGGGGGGCTAACCAGTTTTTTTGCCCCAAGTGATACCTCCAGAGGGGTGACATTGAGGCTCCCAGCCTCCCTCCCTCCCTCTCTCTCTCTATACACACAAGTGCGCATGGGGGGTTGCCAAACTGGAACTTTGACCCAAGTGAAATAAAGCCTAGTTTTGCCCCTGTGTCACAGTAATGTCAGGTGACGCAGAGCTCCGAATGCCTGACTCAAGCATCACACACGACTCTGGCACTGTGTGTTGATGTCCCGCTGATCACCAGCACTTCAGAAGTAAAGTGTTAAGCACCTATGAAGTCCTATCACCTATCACCTTATCAGGAATTCAGATTGAGTTTGTAAAATCTGAATAGTTATAAATAAACTAGGTTCAACTCAGCTTGATTTGAAAGACAAACAGTTGTTTTTGCAAGTTCAATGTCAGAAGAGATAAATGTGAGACAAGAAAGAAGGGTTTAACATTAAGAAATCCTACAGGCACACAAGCACTTATGAATCAGATGCCATTTTTTTATTTAAAAAATCAGATTGTTATGCATCAGCCTGGGGACCTCAACAAACATTTTAAAGAATCCAACACTTTTTTTTCTTTTTGCTTCAACAGACAAAAATAATTATGAAAATTAATAATGGAGTGATACTGTACATTGAATGCTCTGAGGTAGACAACTTAATTTTTCAAATCTTAGATCATTTACAACAAATGTTGTAATTCATCCTTGTGTAAACATGAGCTGCTATATATGATGCATGGTCACTTCAGGCAGAAATTTGCCCCAGGCTGATCAAACAGTGCAGTGCATGTTTTTTAACTTAATGATTCACATAGGTCTTTCCATACTCCAGCTCCTGACTTCAGATTTCTAGTTCTGATCATGCTAATGGTCCAGGGGTAGGCAACCTAAGGCCCAGGGGCCGGATGCGGCCCAATCGCCTTCTCAATCCGGCCCACAGACGGTCCAGGAATCAGCATGTTTTTACATGAGTAGAATGTGTCCTTTTATTTAAAATACATCTCTGGATTATTTGTGGGGCCTGTCTGGTGTTTTTACATGAGTAGAATGTGTGCTTTTATTTAAAATGCATCTAAAATGCATCCAGTGTAGTAACTGAAATGACTGAAAACATGCTTAGGTTAAACACGCCTTTCAAAGTAGTTCCCCCACCCATCAGATTACAGTTAATGCACGTGAAGCAGTCCTGAGAGCTCTCTTCTTCTTGCTCTCATGCAATGTGCGTACATTTGGGGAAAATGTGACAGAAGGCCACACACAAAGTACTGGAAAGACCTGCTGCTTTCCATCACTGCAGTTTCTAGCAGTCAGATTCCCCAGCTGACTCCTCTACCTGCACACAAACATATTAATTCTCATTCAAGCAGCACCTATAACACTCACCATTGTCTGAAATTAAATAATTTGTTTACTCAGTTACAAATAATTATTTTGCTTGGCATCAGAACTCATTGCACTGGTATTCAAACTTCTGCTGCATCTTACAGTCTTACTTGACATCTAGAGACAGCAGGTAACTGTGTCCCTGAAGGACCAGGTGCACAGCCTGGGAGCCATTTTGGACTCACAGCTGTCCATGGAGGCGCAGGTCAATTCCGTGTCCAGGGCAGCTGTTTATAGGCTCCATCTGGTATGCCAACTGAGATCCTACCTGCCTGCGCACTTTCTCGCCAGAGTGGTACATGCTCTGATTATCTCCTGCTTGTACTACTGCAATGCACTCTACGTGGGGCTACCTTTGAGGGTAACTCAGAAACTACAACTAATCCAGAATGCAGCAGCTAGACTGGTGACTGGGAGAAGCCACAGGAACCATATAACATCGATCCTAAAGGAACTACACTGGCCCCCAGTACATTTTCAAGCACAATTCAAAGTGTTGGTGCTGACCTTTAAAGCCCTAAACAGCCTCAGCCCAGTATACCTGAAGGAGTGTCTTCGCCCCATTGTTCAGCCCAGACACAGAGATCCAGTTTTGAAGGCCTTCTGGTGGCTCCCTCACTGTGAGAAGTGAAGTTACAGGGAACCAGACAGAGGGCCTTCTCAGCAGTGGCGCCCTCCCTATGGAACACCCTCCCATCAGATGTCAAGGACATAAACTACACAACTTTTAGAAGACACCTGAAGGCAGCCCTGTATCAGGAAGTTTTTAAAGTTTGATGTTTTATTATGTTTTTATGTGTATTGGAAGCTCCCCAGAGTGGCTGGGAAAACCCAGCCAGATGGGTGGAGGAGGAGGAGGAGGAGGAGGAGGAGGAGAAGAAGAAGAAGAAGAGGAGGAGGAAGAAGAAGAAGAAGGAGTCCTGATCTTCTGATACCAATGCTTTACCAAGGAAAGCAAACTTTCTATAGCTAAATTATGTGCTTTGACGAAGTACTTAATTTTGCCTGGGTCGATTCTTCGACCCTTCAGCTTCAATGGAGGATCCCAGGTTCTAGTATTATGAGAAAGGGAGAAAAGTTTGCTCAGAAGCCTTTGGTAAGGGACTTTGTCACCTCCGCACTGAACCGTGTCTCACCACGACCTTAGATTCTTTTAGTTGTCAGGTGAAAACCCACCTTTTTTCAGTTGGACTTTAAAAGTCTGCTGCATTAACTTGTTTTTATGATATTAAACCGGAACAGCATGTGAAGGGAGAAGAGCAGGATCATTCCATCTGACAAGCAGAACTCCTTACACTGACAGAATGATGCTTAACCATGTTCTACAATTTATCCAGAACTAACTGTCCTGTAATTTTTCTCATGTCCCCTATATCCTTTTTTAAAAATTGGAATTACATTGCGCACTCTCCAGCCGTCAGATATAGAAACCATTCTTAGGGACATGTTCTTTATTTTTGTTAGCAGTTTCGCACTTGAGTTCTATTTTGATAGATACTATCTGATAATTTGTTACTTTCTGTTCATGTTTAACTTGTCAGTAAGGCCTAGAATGGATCTCCACAATCCATTTTTTTTTGGTTTGAACTGTTTCCACATGGTATGGCTTCATGGCTCTTAAGTAGGCAGTTGAACCTTTCCAAGGTAGTACAGGCAGATGCATGAAAACAAAAAACAAAAACAAAAGTAGAAATAGATAGATGCAAAAGGAAATAGACCAAATAGACCAAATACTTTATAAAGCAAAACAATTTGGTTCATTTGCATCTTTCAGGAAAAGAAAAACTTTCCACCCTAATTTAGTGGAACACACGTACTGTATACCCACTTCTCTTTTCTTCTCTCTCATTGAGATACTGCATTTTCCAAGCATTAAATTACCAATGTTTTTTATCTGAAATTAGCATATGCCCCCCCCGATAGTGCAATGAATGCTGTTATGAATAATGACTTTTTAAACTCTAGAAAGGCTATGTTGTGTATGATAGGTCCAAGGTATGTTCATATATTCAAACCATGGGATGGTGACCACTTAATACACAGGCAGTGGTCTGGTGAAAAACCATTGGCATGACATGGTTTGCATAGGCTTGCCAGGTGAAGACACGTGTACTGTTGAAGTTGTCATAATATGTTGGCATGTGTGAACTGGCGCCAGACAAAGATAGTCACAGTTTTAAAGGAGAGAGCTAGTGGCCACATACCAGGGGTGTTGTAGCAGGAATCTTCTGTAGCAGCAGGGAGTTGGACTAGATGACTTCAGGTACCCTTCCAACTCTATAGGTTGTATTCAGTGCTGCTGTTTGGATTACACAGCCAGCTTCTGCTTGTGCAACATGCCTACAACCTCCTCTCTTGTCTCCTGCAGCCGCTCATGCACCCTCAGAATCTGCACCAGCAGATTAGGGAACCTTTCAAAACAATTTTTAGGGAGGTGGGGTACAGGTCAGGAAGAGGGAAGTTAAGGAATTCCCATTATATGCCTCAAACTCTGTTCATGCTGCTTTGGATACAACCCTTTAAAACAGACATATGCAAAATTTGCCCTCCAGATGTTTTGGGTCTTCAACTCCCATCATCCCTAGCTAACATGACCAGTGGTCAGGGATGATGGAAGCTGTAGTCCCAAAACATCTGGAGGGCCGAGTTTGCCTATGCCTACTATAAAACCCTCTTCCTTTTCCCATATTTCAAGCAGTGAGGATGCTGCAGTGCCAATATATATTTATTTTCAGTGAGGTATATAAACTTCATACTTCGAATACAAAATAATTATTTACATACATGGTTTTCTCTTAATTTATAAATAATTATTTAAACTCCTTCTGCTAAATATCTTCAGCTATACTGTATTTTCCTTAAATGAAAACAAGGAAATGATTTGGAGGTTTAAATTGTGCTTTTCTAAAACTGAGCACACGTGGGCTTGCCTGGGAGAGATGTTGAATGATTTATGCAAAGTGTATGTGTGCTCCTGTAGTTTCAGTCGGGCCTTTTGAGGAGGAACTAAACAGCTGACTTCACAGGAACAGACTTGTCAGGTGGCAAGTGGCTTGGCAATGCCATTGTTTTTTCTACATTGGCAAGGTTTCTAAATCTGAATCTTTTCCCTTCAGTGACATACATTCACTGTGAAAAACACACCCCATATGCACCATCATCCTAGTGCACTATATAGTCTGAGTTTATGAGAAGGATGAGATGAACCAGAATACTCATCATTTAGGTACTGAGTAGAACTCAACATCTGGGCACCATGGCGACTTTATAGACAGATGTTTTAGAAGGCTTAGCAGTGTTATCCCACGATTATTTTAGTGGAGCACTCATACATCACAAGAAAGATTTGGGCATGGCTTCTTCTGGTGGGTGGGGGTGAGAAACTGTCTCCCCAGGATGAGTTAAAATCACCAAACTCCTTCCTTTTTTAAAAAAACCTCTAAGCCACAAGAACAGAAAAACATGGCAGTGAACTACAGCAAGCTGAAAGTTGCTGGATCTGGCAGTTTGATTGTGCCTCTGAAATTTCACCAACTTGAGAAATCCCTTCTGAAGTCCATTCTAATAGGATCATGAGAAAAAGGAGCGGTAAGTAGCATCCTCACCTCGGTACTGTGATCTCTAAGAAAGCTCCTGTGCAGCAATCTAAGAGAATGATCACATTTATTGGTACTCACATAGAAATCAGATTATCATCATCATCTTCTCTCACAAATGCAGAATTTAATTGCTCTGAAATACAACAATGGAAATGATCTCCGCACAAAAGTGGCTAACCCAGTGTTTCCCAAATTTTGGTCTCCAACTGTCACTGGACTACAACTCCCATTGGACTACAACTCACCACTGGTCCTGCTAGCTAGGGTTGATGGGAGTTGTAGTCCAACAACAGCTGGATATCTAAGTTTGAGAAACACTGCACTAACCTATGGCCCTCTGGATGCTGTTAGAGTCCAACTCTAAGCAGCCCCAGGCAGCATGACCAATGGGCCAGGGATGATGGGAGCTGTAGTCTAGCAACTTCTGAAGGTCCACAGATGAGCCTCCCCTATACTGTCAAGTAACTCTTTTAGGGAAATCAGTGAAATTCAAAAGGGATTGCTTTTTTTGTACTTTTAGGTGTTTGTGTGTCACTTGAAACATGTATGTTTGGAGGAAGGTAAGGGTGCGTCATTCCATCATGAATCCTCCTGACTGGTGCCTCTGATCTCAATGAAAGAATTTAGCAAAGAGCTGTAATAAAGGAATGTCATGGCTTACCAAATGAATATAACTTAACAACAACAACAACAGTTTATTACTTATACCCTGCCCATCTGGCTGGCTTTCCTCAGCCACTCTGGGCGGCTTCCAACAAGAGATTAAAAATACATTAAAAACTTCCCTAAACAGGGCTGCCTTCAGATGCCTTCTAAACGTCAGGTAGTTGTTTATTTCTTTGACATCTGATGTGCCAATATCAACAGGTTTTCCACAATGAATAGTCAATATATCTTTCTATCAGATAATCACTTGATTTCTTGTGCCTTATTACAATTTGCGCGCGCGCGCGCACACACACACACTACATAAGATTTTACACTATGTGATTGCATTTGCTTGTCAACCAGTTGAAACATGCAGCATGACAATGATACTATTGCAAGGTGTGAGATGAAGTATTGCTAAATGTGCAAAGTAAACAATATATTAGGAACCATAGCGTGCAGGCAACAACTTTGCCACACAGAGAGTATAAGCAATATACATATGACATATTTTAAACTTTCACTTGCAATACTGTTCTCATTGTTTTAGTATACAATGTGATAAATCCCTAGTTGCATGAGAGAGAAGGTCATAAGCTAATCAATTCCAATAATTGATTTCACCTGAAAACCAAGAAACTCCAATATGAAATCAGATGTGCCCCAAAATACATACATTAAGTGCCATTTTAAAAACAAATAATAATATACCATGCACCCCAAAATCTGCACAACACCTAATTGTACAGCTTGTATAAACTATTAAGCAAATTATTCTGAAAGTCCTGGGGAATAGCAAAGAATCGCAAACACTTAAGCTTATTATCTGGCCTTATTATCTGCAAATCCTGCTTGACTCCCCTTTGGCTTGTGAGGCAGTGTACAGTTTAAAGCAGATTTCATGCATCCCATTTGTGCATGTTTTGAGTTCACATAATGTTGTCTTTATCAAAGTGGTTGCCTACACATACCTGATACACAGATTTTAAAAATCCAACATAAAATTGCATGTTACTCAATGGTGGATGTACATTGTGCAGCTGCTTGTTTTCTAACATGTTGGTGGTATTTTGCTGGGTGCCATCTATTACCACACACACCCTACTCCTGTTGGTGAGGCTCCACTGGGTACACTCATAATACACACATACCTACTATATATTATATTACACACACACACACACACACACACACACACACATACATATCAAAGCACTGTTTTGTTCAAGTGTTTTATCAAAAAACATTTCAAAAATAATTTAAAATGGCCACATGCATAGGTAAACAAATACCTGCACACATGTCCACAATGAATCTCAAGTTTCTGGAACTCAGAGTGGGTAGGGATGTACTGATTGAGGGGAGAAGACAACAATACATAATACAAATATATCCCACCACTCAGCCCACTAGCGTGAATGGGAAAGACTGAGGTGGCGTTCAAGTGAAAAGCACTTAAGATGTGGACAAACATGCTCAAAAGCACACATAGAAAAATCGGATCTGTGGGCCCACATATATATTAACACTCTTATGTGTATTCGGTCTGATATTTTAACAAGCCTTATGCCTTCAAGACTATCTTTACAGATTTAAGAGGAAGCCTGCTGAATCAAATCATGGCCCAACTAGTCCAAGATTTTGTTTTTTGACAGCAGCCAGCCAACTGTGGAAAGTTCAGAAGCAGGAAGCTTATCCATTTGATTTACTGCAGGCATCAAGCACTCAAAGGCTTGCTATCTCTGTACCCTGAAATTCCATTGTTTTCAAAACCATCTACGACAATGACCATCACAACATTTTGTAGTGAATTCCATACATTTATTACATGTCCAGTGCCCATACAATGCCCAGATCTTCTCAGCATAGCAATCCATGGGATATAAACCACACAACTCCAGTGACCCATTCCAAGAAAAAGCACCTTGCTTAATCCATTTGAGCCCAGTATCCCATACATCTCTCACACAGGCTGCCAGCTCCCACCTAACACCTCTGTTACATGCAACCAATATGTGTTAATGAAAAAAACTAAAATCATCCACTATACCAAAATAGTGAATGAAATGTTAATGTATCCATACACCTTAAGGACTATTTCTTCTAAGAGTAATTTATTATGTAAACAATTATCCCAAAAGTGGGATCATGTAGCTATTTGTAGCACTACTTATTTAACAAGCAAGAATTATAACAGGAATAGAATTTTGTCATGAAATATCAAGGGCAATTACTTCCTAGTCATAAGTGTTGCAGAACCATTAATTGCAACAAATATTTGCTGCATTTTATCTATATAATCCTTATGCTCTGAAAGATTACTTTTTATTTTTTATGGGTAGAGTAGTACTCCAATATTTCATGAAAGGGTACATTCCACATTTCATTAATTCATAGTAATTACTATTTCACGGCAATAGTAAGGACTTGTCCTAGCTTGCCATTGACATTCTTTTAAAATGTGTTTTGTGTAAGATGCTGTTGAATGATACCTTAGAAGACCTAACTTCAGCTTAGTCCTATATTGTGTTACATGACAATTTTGAAATAATAAATAAATTCAAGGACAATTATGTTTGATCAAAAATATTGCTGTTACCTAAAAATATACCCAAGAACAATACCCCCGCCCCCGTTTCCCCCATACACTGTTTCCAGGGTTCTCCCAACCACACCCAAGACAATTGGAGAAGTGCAAGGGGAGGGGTGGGGAGAGAAGCCCCATTGTGCAAGTGGAAGTCCTTGAGCAAGACTTCTGCTGACAGGACTCATTAGATGAATCCTACCCTGCATATACAAACAAATAATCTAGATTTCCTGAATCAGAGGCAGCCGTTATAAATTCATAAAAACACCATGTTTATTAACGATACCCTACTCTCTTGTACCTTGTAAAAATGCAGTATTCAAATTAACTCCAGGACTGAGCTCTGGTACCTCATATTTCAGCATAAAAAAAGTTAAAGGACCCCTGACAGTTAAGTCCAGTTGCAGACAACTCTGGGGTTGTGGTGCTCATCTCGCTTTACAGGCCGAGGGAGCCAGCGTTTGTCCGCAGACAGTTTTTCTGGGTCATGCAGTCAGCATGACTAAACCACTTCTGGCAAAACCAAAGCAGCGCACAGAAACACCATTTACCTTCCTGCCGGAGTGGTACCTATTTATCTACTTGCACTTTTTGGCATGCTTTCGAACTGCTAGGTTGGCAGGAGCAGGGACCAAGCAACGGGAGCTTACCCTGTCATGGGGATTCGAACCGCCAACCTTCTGATCGACAAGCCCAAGAGGCTCAGTGGTTTAGACCACAGCACCACATCTCTATCCTCAAAAACACAATAAAATTATAGTAAAGTTGCAAACCAATCTCGAAAAATATGTATCAGAGGGGTATGTATGTGTGTGTGTGTGTGTGTGTGTGTATGTGTGTGTGTGTATTGCACAGATGCTTAAGGAGTTTTTATTAGTCCCTGAGAGGACTGAAAAGAGAGAACTCACTTTATAGAAAATGTTGCTGCTGCTGCGATTGAATTTCAAACAACCGTGGTACCTTGGGTTAAGTACTTAATTCGTTCTGGAGGTCCGTTCTTAACCTGAAACTGTTCTTAACCTGAAGCTAATGGGGCCTCCTGCTGCCGCCATGCCGCCGGAGCACGATTTCTGTTCTCATCCTAAAGCAAAGTTCTTAACCTGAAGCACTATTTCTGGGTTAGTGGAGTCTGTAACTTGAAGCGCATGTAACCTGAAGCGTATGTAACCTGAGGTACCACTGTATTGGATTATGCTTAGGAGCATTTCCCTGCCCCCTTAGGTCCTCTTTTGGAGATGGAAGGGGGAAAATCTTTGATTCTGGTAAAACAATTCTGCATGTGTTTGGTAGAAATCAGCACAAAGGTGCCAGAATGATTTCATGCACATTGGGAAGCTGTGCTTTATCTGAAATGCCACACTGATAGCACTGTTACATGTACTGTACTGTAAATTCAAAAAAATAAATAAATCCAGAACATAATGATTAGCATAGCAACCCTAATCCCTTTTACACCAGGGAGTTTGGATTTAATGGCCATGTCCCAGTTGAGCAATCAGCTCCCAAACATTGAGGCAGGAGGCCCGCAGGAGGTATTTCCACCAATAGAACCCAGTGGAAAGAAACAAAGCAGGGAAGAGATGGGGCTGAGCTGGCCTGAGATCTGTTGGATCTTGAGCTGGTCTCTCTGTTTTGGGGCGATGGCATTGGCCCAATATGGATTCAACTGCTGGTAGCCTGAGCCCGGGTAAGGATCAACCTAGATCACTACCTATCTTCTACCATTGTCACTATGGGCTGCAGATGTGGCAATGGCCCCATTGCTCTGCAAAGCCCCATGGGCGGGGTAGGAATGTTATGTTACAAATGTTCTGTTTTCATAAAACTTGCCAAAGAAAATAAGAGGACACGCCAACCCTCAGTAAGCTTCAATTATTCAATCATCAAAATATTACATCTTGCATATGCCCTGAGACACTGTTCCCACACTTCTAGTACTGAAAGTATAGCACAGCACCATGAAAATGAGCAAAAGAAATATTAGTACAGATAAATCATGAGTTAATTTGGTGTCTCTCACTGATCATGTAGCATTTCTTCATGTCTAGGTCAATTATGTTTCTTTATTCATTTACATCCTTTTACTACACCTTTTGTCTCAATGCCAAACCAGCGTGTTTGCCTTTTCTTTCTATGGTCAAATGCTTGTCTTGTTACAAGAGTTTTTCAGTGCCCAGATGAAGCCTTGGTGGCACAAGCTTAAAGGGGGGGGGCAGGGAGATACTAGGGACGCAACTCTGTTCCATTAAACGTAATGAGATTTATGTTAACTGATGTTAAAAAACCCCAAACAGGATTGCACCCTAAAAATACCAAATGAAATCATTGAAGAATCAGCCAGGTGGTCATCATGCATTGACATTAGAATTGGAAATGTTTTATGTTAATTTTTTACTGTAATATTCATGCATTGTTAGGTTTTTATTCCCTTACAGCAGGCTTCCTCAAACTCAGCCCTCCAGATGTTTTGAGACTACAATTCCCATCATCCCTGACCACTGGTTCTGCTAGCTAGGGATCATGGGTGTTGTAGGCCAAAAACATCTGGAGGACCGAGTTTGAGGAAGCCTGTCTTACTGCTTTGCAGCTTCTGTAAAAGGCTACATAAAGTCAAAAGATGTATTATGCATTTTAGAAGCCCTACAGACTTAAACAGAGGCAGACATAATAGTTGCAACTCTGCTCCTTTAAAATTGTACAGATAAAATGTCGGACCATCCTCAGATTTAGCACCATAATTAGAAGCTGGGAACAAATAGCTTCAATAAGCATCTTAAATCTAATTTACCAGATCATTACAGTGATTTGAAAAATAAAAAGTAGCATGAGTTATAACCTTTGCTGTTTAGTAAGTGGCACACTACACACACACACACACACACACACACACACACACACTCCCCAGCCCCTCTCATTCAACACAGACTGTTGCATAATAGCAAAGCCTGCAGTTCTATATGGACTTACCTGGGGAAAAGCCCTATTGGAATCAATGAGGCTTGCATCTGAATAGGTAAGTAAAGGATTGTGCTGCAGCTTGAGCCACAAACAAGAAAGCTTCCAATTCAGAACTCTCCTCATCCATAAGTTCAATTGGTGGACTTAGGTAAGCTACTATCTTTTAGCCAAAATCCCCACTCAGTTTGCAATTATGGGTACAATATTGGTTTACTCAGTACTGAGCTGCCTAATACACTTTGAAGACTTGGAACTAGCCATATAAATGCTCAGGTGATCTTATTTCATTTTCAATGTTATTTGACGGTCTATTCCAAAGAGTAAAGCTCTTACTAACCTGTGTGTGAGCTGTCATAACAAATGCTTACTTCATGGTTTATGGAATGAGCTTCTTTGAGTACAAAGTTTCTTTTTAAAAACAAGGAGGGAAGACTAACCATACAACACACACACACACACACACACACACACACACACACACACACACTTTCTTCAAATATTTGCTGATATTTCTATTTACATTCCAAAGTTCCTGTTCATTTGAATAAACTTATTATTCATATTATAAATTATAAATGAGAATGCAACAAACTCAGTTGACATTACATTCAAGAATCAATATTTACACTTTAGGTTGACTTTTCTCATTGAAATCTACATACAGTATACTGATTAGGCCAGAGCTAAAATTGGGGAGTGGCTTTTTAAAGAAACCTTTTGCAAGTCTTTTGGAATCTCAGGGAATGCATGAATAGTGCCAAAAGGGTTTGCCCATTCAAAATGAGAGCAAGTAAGAGCAAAGAACATTGTTCTTACACTGAAACCGACTTTACATTATACTGGCTACCTGATCACCTAGCCCAGCAATGGCGAACCAATGGCACGCGTGCCAGAGGGGGCACTCAGAGCCCTCTCTGTGAGCACATGAGCCGTTCGCCCCTTCCAACTCCTCACAATCCTATGATTCGATGGCTAGCCTGCTGGGCTGCACTTCTAAAGCCCGCTTGTGCGGGAGAGAGCAAAATGCCGCCAGGCTTACTGGCAATTCTGCACCGAGGCGCATTAAGACAACGGAATGGAACATTCATGTTTGAGCTGCAGCCCGCGGGCAGCAAACCAGCTACTTGCGCATGTGCGGCTCTACTCGATGCGCGCACCGCCCTTCCAACTTTGTGATGGGCCACTTCCCTTCCAGGCTGTGACGCGCTGAACTGCTGCACGTCTCTGGGCTTCACTTCAGCATTTTCCTTTTCACCTGCTTGGTCAGGCCAGGAAGCAAACTTTCAAGCTGAACTCTCTCCCATCGCCATGGGTGCAAGATCCTCCCTGCTGGGGACGCACAGCAGAGGGCAAAGGAGACTGTTTTTTTCATGGGGTTGTAGTGAGTTGGAAGGGAACCCGAGGGTCATCTAAGTAAAACCCCATGCAATAAAGGGAACTCAACTACAGCATCCATGGCATATGGCCATTCTGCTTCTGCTTTGAAGAGCTTCTTGAAGGGAAATTATCAAAACAGCCATGTCTGGGAGTAATTCCCTTTTTCATGATTTCCTAAACAAGGATAATGCAAACTTTTACCTTTCAATAAAAAGTCGTTTGTATCATTGAAAGCTCTGTTATTCTGTTTTTCTTTTAAGACAAAAGATGTTAATGTATGAGTTGTTTTTTCTAAACTAAAACCTCAGTATTCAGGTTAAATTTCTGTGTTGTCACTTTGCGATAAATAAGTGGGTTTTGAGTTGCAGTTTGGGAACTCGGTCTCTAAAAGGTTCGCCATCACTGACCTAGGCAATAAGAAGAAACCTGCTTATGCAGTAACAGAAACTTTTGTGCAGAATACATGAGGCATTATACAAAAATCTAATTGTCACCAAGTCACAAAATATTCAGTCATAAAAATACTAAATATAAAAATCAGGGCCAGCCCACCCTTGAGGGCAAGGTGAGGTGACAGGAGCAGCAGAACCATCCTCCAAGGAAAGCATCACATGTAGATCTTTATTCTCCCCTTGTTTCTGATGTAGAGCTTCACTCACTTCCTTCCTCCCTAATGGGGTGTGTGGTGCCATTTTGTGGTTTGCCTCAGGTGCCAAAATGTCTTGGCCAGCCCTGATATAAATGCACTGGATAAACATTGTACCATTACAGTTTACATGAAGCTTTCATCTCAGCCTCAGACAGACAGAAGCTTGCGGAGTCTGAGAACGTCCTGCTTTCACTGACCCCTTCTCAAGCCAACCCAAGAACCCTGACAATGTATGGCTTTAAAGGTTAAAAGTTAAAACCAACCCACAGAATTCGTGGAATCTAAACTGACAGACCAGCAAAAAAAAAATGCTCTGTGAGATCCACTCCACTAAAAGGCAGTTTACAGAATTCTAGAACAGCTGCAATACAGGTAACCTCTGATTTGCGCAGGGGTTGCATTCCAGATCATTGCATATACAGTAATGGCAGAGCATGCATAAGCCCATTCTGCCCCAGCCCACTCCACTCCATTACAACCTCCATTCTGCTCCCTTTTCTGGCCACTTTTGGGACACTGCAATGATCATGGTTGTGTGCAGTTGACTGGGTCGTCTTATTTTCCAGAGGGATAGCCATGTTAATGTGTTGCCACAAAAAAGGAGAATTTTGTGGCACTACAAAAGCCTGACATATTTATTTACAGCATAAAATTTCATGGACTAGTCTCTCTCCACTTGGACTCTATAGTGTATGAAAGTTAAATGTGTTACTCTTCACAGTGCCACAAGATGCTCCTATGTCCTGTGCATAGTTACTTCAAACTTTCAGTGGAGTGAGTGGGATTTAAATCAGAATGAACACAAAGTGATGGTTCAGTGATGGAGACAGCAAGAATTCTTTTTAATCTGGAAGGTAAATAAAAACTTAACAGAATTTTGATTGTATTTTGAATTTTTACTCAGGAATTTTACCTCGGGCATAACATGTTTTATGTTTGTTAAAAATATATATGATGTACACATAAAATATGTTAATAAAAACTTAACTGTTTCTATGAAAATGATTACTAAGCAATACATATTAATAAGAACATAAATTTACAAGTTTGCACGGATTTTGATAATAGGTCAGGTATAAGGAACACAGTTGTAATGGACTATTATCCTTCAGTTCTTTTTCACAGACAAATATAACCCTTTCAGACTGAAACTTTGTTTTGTGTGTGAAATTCCTTGATTCTTAGCTCTTCATGCTTGTTTGCACAATTTATCTAAATTCTTTACATTTAGTACATGCTTAACACAAGATAAGATGACACACAAAAGGAGCTTTACTATGTCAAAAAAACACACACCCAAAATAAAGCAGGGTAGACAATAAGGATTGCTTTTTTATGAGAGTGTTGTCTGTATCACCAGATTATTTGTTATAAAGGGTCATGCATTGAACGCCCTCAGAGAAAATCTTCCACACACAGATATTCAATTTTCATCTTGCTGGTAAAACCAATGGAACTATATAAATAAACTAAAATAACAATGTAGTCAAATCTGAACTCAATGTTAAGTTTTCCTGAGTTCACAGATACTTAGGCTGCAACCAACCCCCCTGTGAACTGGATTGCAGCCTTAATAACCAAATGTACATAGGGGACTGCAGCCTTAGCTACCAATATCTTTTTTATTCAGTGTTTCCTGAACATTTAAAATGTTTACTTGTTTTAAAATTTATTTTCTTTGTCACATTGAAAAAGTGATAAACATTAATCATAAACAAAAGTTCTATTCAGCCAGGATGCTAGCATAGCACATGAGATCATGTATGTACCTGTTACTGTATAAATTAAAAAGTAACAAGGATGCTACAATCTCAGCTGGCAAGCAATGGCACTATTGTTCAGTACCAACAATAAAGAAGTACTTCATGCAATGCATAATTAACCTATTTGGGTTAATCTCTGCAAACTGCAGAGTTGGCCACGGTTTTACACAGCTCCAAAAAAGTCATGGGAGGACAGTAAATTATTTTCTATTTGCCATTGCTGCTAAACAAAAACTTCATATTCATATTCCTATTTAGAAGGAATATATCCCTAAGTGCCAGATTCTGGATACGATCAGCAAGAGGGAGCCACCTCCACCATGCCATGCTTTTAAGATTCTCAGGGACATCTGGATGACCCTGTTGGAAACACAATGCGAGGCTAGGTAGAACTTTGTCTAACATAAGGGTGGAGAACCTGTGGCTTTCCAGATGCTGCTGAATTCCTATAATCTCCAACCATTGGCAATGCTGGCTGGGGCTGTAGAGAATTGAAGTCCATCAATATCTGGGGGTCAGAAGTTCCCCCCTCCAGTTCTAATCCACCAATGCAATTTCTTACATTGAACAAGCAAAGGACAACCAAGAAATAGATACGTTTAAATGGTTTTAAGCTCATTCCATCTTAGGTTAAAGGCACCAAGATAAAAATACAAACCCTTGCAACTAGTAAAAGCAAATTCAGATGTCACACTTTCCCTTCCCACTAATAACCAGCTAAAATTCAAGTAATGTAGCATTCCTACAATGAAGAAGTGGAAAGGAAATCAAGGGGAAACCTCCATAAATGCGAACAGGTTTGATCTTAAAAAACCAAAAACACCTTTCTCCAGGTGACTAATACGAACTGTCCAGGTCTGTTTTAGTGCCCGCTGCAGCAGCTTTACATTTAAGCATCCGAACAGATTTTACTATATGTATTACAGTATTTTAATATTTTTTTTGGAAGCCGCCCAGAGTGGCTGGGGAAGCCCAGCCGGATGGGCGGGGTATAAATAATAAATTATTATTATAATTACTATATTTCTAATACTGAAAAATGGGGGTGGGGTGGGGTGGAGCGCGCGGGAGAGATAAAGTTTGGCAGCCTACAAAACAGCTTCCTTTTCATCAAAAGCACTGAGAGATAACAATCTTTAAAGCAGAGACCATGGCAGCCTGGGTTAAAAGCCAGGGCGGAGTGGAGGAGACAGCGCGCGAAGAAAGGGCTGCAGGAGGAAGGGAGACGTTGTGCAGGGCGAATCAAGGCGAAGCCAAGGTTCCAACTCCCAACTGTTGCGAACCCCAGAGGCAACGACAGCTGGGTCCGCATTATCAACAACCCCAGAAAAGAGCGCTGTGCCTTTAAGGCGATTGGCGGGGGGGGGGGCGGCCCTCACGCTGCTCGTCGGTTTCGCTTCTCTTTGGCCGGGGGGGGGGGCGGCGACAGGGGGAGACGGGGCATATAGCCCTTACCACACACCTGTCCAATGGGAGCGCTCTGCCACTCTGAGGGCACCTGCCTGGCGGAGGGGAGAGGTTTTGGGGTTGGACTAGACGACCCTTGGGGTCCCTTCCTACTCTACAATTATACGTGACGTCTATTATTGTTGTTGTTATTCCGCCCCGTATAGAGTTGCCCCAGCCACTCTATACGACTTCCACAAAACACACACACGCAACCCCCTCAAACATAAAGAGGGGCGCAGTCAGAGGAGCCCCTGAGCCACGCGGGACCCGATAAACACTGATGCCCCTATAGCGCAGCTCGTTCCCCCGAGTCCCCTCAGAAGGTTCCGGAGGGGCGGGGCGGGGAGAGAGAAACCAACGGCCGCGAGGTGACCGTTGGGGGGAGGCAGGTGGCTGTGGGCGCGCCCTGACAGGGAGAGGGGCGGCGTTACCTTTTGGTGGGGGTCGTGGGCTCCCAGGTGGTGAAGTAGGACAAGTGGGAGAGCGAGGGAGACGGGGGCTCGCTCGCCCCTCCTTGGCTCCCCTCCTCTGGCAGCGCCGCCGGGCGGTCCTTGCGCTTCTTCTTGAGGCGCCAGTTCCCGAAAGCCGAGCGCTTCTTGCGCTCTCCGGAGGCGGCGGCGGCGGCGTCGTGGTTGTGGAGATGCTCCCGCCGCCCCTGACTCAGGGACGGGGAAGGGCAGGGCGACGGGAACGACGCGTCTCTGCCGCTGTCCGGCTCCGAGTCCTCGGACTCGCTCTTGTGGAAGAGCCTGCCGAGCTTCTTGAAGCCCCCTTTCTCCATGCTGGGCGCCGCTCGCGTCCTCGACGGGATCCGGTCCCGGGCAGGCGGAGGCACTTGTGAGGCGGCGGCGGCGGCGGCAGCAGCAACAACCGCCTTTGGCTCCAGAGGCTGGCCAGGTAAATGAGAAGGTGCTCCGCCTGTGCGCGCGCCCTGGGAGCGCCGAGCCATGCAGTTGAGGTTGGCGAGAAAGGCGAAGCGCCTCCTAAAGGCAGCACCAGCCATGGCAGCGGCAGCTCAGCCAAGCCAAGACTAGACAAGCCACGCCCACGCCCGCCCACGCCCGGCCCCGCCTCCTCGGCGCGGCTGAGCGTTCGAAAACGGCCGGGCTCCCCGGAGATTCCATGCGCTGCGCTGCACTCTACTTACTTATTTTGCCCCGTGCTGCTGCTGCTCCTACTGCTGCCGCCTCCTCCTCCTCTTCATGGAGGAGTTTCCTCGCATTCCTTCGTCGCAAAGGAAAGGAAGAAGCGCATTAGCCGGGGCTCTATTGCGCAGGAAGGGAGAGGCTGACTTTATCCGCGCCGAGGGTGCAAATTATAAGCCATTATCATTTGTTTTTCCTGATGAGGCCGAGATTACCCACAGACCCGGATTCCTTGTGCAAGGGTTGCAAGCAGAGCTCGGAACGCACCTGGAGAACACCAGTTATTGCCAGCTGACGGTGGACATATCAGATGACAACAGAGTTTTGCAGGATGTGCCTTACAGATACTTAGGCAATTAATAAGTCCACTGTCATGCTAGAATTATCATCAACCAAGACATTAAATAAAGATTATCTTTCTCTCTTTAAATAATACACATATCACTCTTTATCTGACCAGGTCACTTTTTATCTGAGGGTGATCTGTTATCATAGTGTAGAATTAATAACTACCATCAGAATTTTACTACAGAAGTTAATAATGGAGTGTTATGCCTGCTTAACCATCAGTCCAGAGTTGTTCTCTCTAATACAGGAATGCTTTATTCAGAATGGTTTCACATGACTCAAGTGGAGCAACTTCTACCACTTTCCTTCAGTCTGCATTGCTGTAAACATCAGAACAAAAGATGCAAACTAGCATCTTGTTACTAGAAAAGGCTTTATGCTTGTATTGCAGATGAGTAAGAGTTTCTTTTAACAGCACAACCCTCAGACCAGTTATGCCAGAATCTGTCTAATCATAACTGATAAAAAGCCAATTTTCTTAATCAGTTTTCCATAATATTTTCTTAATTTTCTTAGAGACTTCAACAGGATTAAGATGGTTGCTGCTGTCCTAAAAAGCATAAGGTGTTTTTTTTGGGGGGGGGAGATAAACTTATTTCTCTCCTTTGCTCTCTCTTGCCATGCAAAAGAGAGGAAAGGAAGCCTGCTTTATGTTCACAATGGCAGCGGCAGCTGTGGGGAGGTGTAAATGGGGTGGGGGTGGCAAAGTGTAAAGGGAGAGAGGAGGGGGTTATGGGGTTTGGTGAGTAGGCAGTGTTGGAGAGCAATGCAAGTAGGAACACAACCCTTAGTTGTGCATGAAACAAAAATGCACCTTAGAATTTTCTTTTCATTGTTTATGACATATGTGAATCTTGCTAATGTAGGGCAGAATGTAGAACAGAAATCCTATGTGGGCTTTACAATGGCATTAAAAGATGTCAAAAAAACAAGTTTAAGCAACACCTGTGAAAACACCCTGTTTGGTCTTAACCCAAGTAATCTGGTTTAATTCCTCTGTGAACTGTAGACATGGTGTATTAATAGACCTGCTGTGCACTCTGTCAGTTGTAGGAACTGAAATATATAAGCAGAAAAAAATAGTTCCAGTAGACAGTTATGGAAACAAAGTTTACAAGTGCTCAAAAGAGGAGCTGATGAAGACTGGGGCCAACCATGAGAAGAGAATGGTAAATCTATTATAATCAAGAGGAAGTTCTTATAATTTTAATTGAGTAAACTCAATTACACTATGTACACTATGGCTTGATCCTGAGTTGCTCTTCTGTAAACTGTTCCAGTGGAGGCTCCATTGGGTGGGGCAGGAAAGAATGGTAATTTTCACTTATTCCATTTTCACTTATTCCACGCAAAGGAGTAATTTGTGTGGGTAGAGGGACAAAGGGGTAATTGGAGAATTCACAATATTTCAGTAATTATTGGTTTAATAGTATACCTCTACTTGACATATCAGTCTTCAGGAACTTCCTAACAGGGCACAGTCCGCAAATCATTTAAGGAAGTTTGGCTGAAGTGAAATGAAGCTTGTTGTGAGTCACCTTGAGGAAGCTCTGGCTGGAAAAGCCCCAAAATAAATATTAATCTGAGAAGTAGCGAACTTGGTGCCCTCCAGATGTTGTAGACTAAAATCCCATCAGCTCCAGCCAACATGGCTGATGATCAGGGATGATTGACACCATGTTGACTATCCCTGGTCAGACTGAAGACACATAGCCCCCAAGTATTTGGGGGAGTTGAAACATGACACTACACTTCTCAATATGCACTGACATAAACTTGGGGCATTAGTGATTGTCATTTCTGATGTTGCACTTGGAACCACCGTCAGTAATCACCACCCTTGGCATCAATTTCCTAGCACAGCAAGTCTTGGGATTAACCATGATGGTAAGGCTCTACCCACTTTTTGTTCTGAAACTGTCAGAACAATAAAGAAACTAGATGAATAATCCAAAATAAGCCATATGAAATTGTATTCTTTCTGGGATGGATGTCTTTTTACATGGATGTCTTTGTAAAGCAATGGTCCCCAAAACAGTTTGAGCTCAGAGCCCCCCTTCTGAGCTTAACACTGCCTTCTCATGCCTCTCAGATATTATCATTACAGGAAGAATCAAACAGAAGAGTTCTCCTGAAGACTATCTCCTAAAGTGGTCTTAACTTTAGGAAAACATAAAGAACAAAGCAGCAGCTTGTTCTAAATTCTTTTCTTCCCAAATTATATTAGGATGATTGGGCAAAAAAGATGAGCAAGGATCCATTGTCAGAGGGCATTCAAGGTATCCTGGTCTTAAATTATGGGAGATGAAGACTATGCCAGTCCCAGGATCCTATTCCACTCTAGAACTTCATGCCTCAGAAGAAGGGTGTCCTAACTGTTTGAGAAACGTTGTAAACCCCATGTTAAACTTGTTTCCATTGCTTTATCCAATGCATGCTACACAGTATTCTCCTCAGTCCACAATCCTCTTTCCATTAAATTGATTGTAATAATATATTCTGGATTATAGGGTTGCCATATTTCAAAAAGTAAAAACCAGGACACCCCCAAAGTGAGCTTTTTTTTAAGTAAACCCCCAAAAGTTATTGAGCTTTCCGCACATATGGCAACCCTAGGATTGCAGCTTTGCTATCTTTATCATATTTATTGCTCAGCAGGAAAGTCTGCACAGCCTTCTAGGTGTGGCTGGAAACACTAGCTACTGTAGCTTCCTTTCAAAATAAAAATCCAGTTATGCTACTAAAAGTTAGCATACTAGATTGTTCTGGCTAATTGTCAAGCAAGCTGCTCAATCTAGACATACTGCATAAGTTAAAGTATCATTTTTACAAGGTGAAAAACCTAGCATATTGAGATTCTTACACAAGATGAAGAAGTACAGATAGATCCAAATTAATACATAGATTTGACTTGAGAAACTGGTCACACCTTTTCAATGAATTTTATGAGCCTATATAATCTGTGTGACTGCATTTGTGGGTATGCAGTGGTAATGTCTGTGAGTAACATTATTTGAATCTGTTGGGTTAGTAATTCATTTCAGGGTTGCACTAGCACTATATACCTTTACTGCTGTGTGATATCCATGATAATCATTGGAAGTATTCCGTGTTTCAGTTGCTTGTTAATACTAGTTCTACCAAAAAAAAAAAAATAATAATAATAGTAAGCATTATCTGGAGAACCAGGGAATGATTCAGTGTCTTAGCCAAATAGAAAACTGTTTCAGTCAGATAGCACTTTATTCTGTTTTTCTGATGTTTCCTTACCTGGTAATTTCCATGTTTTAAATGATCTAACGCAACATAAAAGCCACTTCTGGAAATCTAGTGGAAGCTTAGCACTCATTTCTGTGTGAATTGTTCCCAGAAAAAAGATCCATTTTCAACCCCATTTACCCAAAAATCCACAGGAGGTTTGTGCTGTAACTTCCCCACCTGGAACTTCATGCCTCAGAAGTTCCAGGTGGGGAAATTACATGGATCATGCCATGTGAATAAGTTTGGGGTGGCATTCCAGCATAGTTCTTTTCCACTAGTTTCATGGTGAATAGTGGGGAAACAGAAGCATGCATGCTCATTAAGGGTGGTGATGTCCATTGATGCCTTTAGCTACTGGTGTGAATGAAATTTAGTGTAACATAATGGTATATCAATCAAGCAGCCACAGATTTGTAATGCAAAAGGTAAAGGTACCCCTGACTGTAAGGTCCAGTCGCAGACGACTCTGGGGTTGCATGCTCATCTCACTCTATAGGCCGAGGGAGCTGGTGTTTGTCCACAGACAGCTTCCAGGTCATGTGGCCAGCATGACTAAGCTGCTTCTGGCAAACCAGAGCAGTGCACGGAAACGCTGTTGACCTTCCTGCCGGAGCAGTACCTATTTATCTACTTGCACTTTGACATGCTTTCAAACTGCTAGGTGGGCAGGAGCTAGGACCAAACAACGGGAGCTCACCCTGTTGCAGGGAGCTCACCCCGTCGCAGGGATTCGAACCACCAACTTTCCGATCAGCAAGCCCTAGGCTCTGTGGTTTAGACCACAGCGCCACCACGTCCCATTAATGCAAAAGGTAATGCAGTGTAAAAGGAAACTGAGACAGACGTGCTTTCATTATAACCTGGAAAACTAATTCAATAATCCCCACATCTGAATGCACCCAGAATCAGGCAAAGTGTCATTTTGACATGCAGCATTTCCAATGTTGCTTTACTCATGGAAACATGGTGAAGGTTATATCACTTTTATGAGTACAGTGGAAATCAGGTGGAACAGAATTAGTAAAATAACAGCAGAACTTGTATTTGGATGTTGCAAAAGTAAGGCACTCAACCCAGAGAAACTATGAAGAGAATCAGCATGCAATGTCTGTCAAAGAACTAGCAATACCTTCAGAAAAATGTATGCATGGTCAAGAGAGACATATCTTCACTCAAGCTATGTGCAATCATATACTGACTTCTGAACATTCTTCAAATAGTTAACAGGGCCTAAGATCCACCAGAAAATACCGCTGAGCTCACAATACTGAGTTAGTGATATAGTAACAGAGGACGTATTCTCCTTTATATAGTTTTGTTGCCAACAGAAGTTATGGTTCAGGATATTCCATTCCATTTTCCCCACCCACAACAGATAAATAACACCTTGTGGCCACTGAGCATGCTCGACCCTTATTGGGCTATTTTGGAGAGGATTTTTCTTAAAGAGTTGTGTGGACAACCCCCCCCCCCTTGTTTTTCAGTACCCCTGTTTTAATTATATAGCCATCACAACTCAGCACCGTTGTTTGCCATTAGCATGTACCAGTGGTACTTGCAACTAAATGTTGCAGAGTGGAATTCTCCCTGTTCAGGATTCCAGCCACTCCATTCCTTTCCCCCTCTCACCTAGTTTTTTGTCCTTCCCCAACAGTCAGTCAGTAGTATACTGTGGCACTTTTTGAGATTCCTCCTAAAATTTTTGCTGCTCTCTTAAATATTCTTACACTTCCCCCTTGCACATACATTTGGCTACATGGGCACCAGCACTTTCCTCATAAAGATTGGAATTAGTATGGTGTTAGGAGTTTGTGGAGGGCTAGATCCTCCTAAATTATTAGATTTAGTAAATTTAGTATTAAGGGAAGCTGCCAGACACTGAATCTAGCACAGGGGTAGGCTGTTGGGATACTGCCAGGGAGACAAAGTCCATCATGACCCCACGTCGCCTCCGGACGTCCATCGATCTCCCGTAGATACAGTATCAGCAATTAGCAACACGAGCACCAGAAATAGCTTGCCACATTCCAGAGCTCATGCACGCTCTATCAGCAGAATTCACACAGTGAAAGATGCACGCAGGAGAGCATTATTTACAATTTTATTCAGCGTTGGTCAGAACAAAGAAAACATGACTGCCTGCTTCGGTGTCTCAGGCACACAGAGAGAAACGAAAGCAATAGACAAAACATAAACTTCCTGTGAACAGGAAATACGCAGACTCTGTGACTCACAAAGCCTGCTCCCTTTTAAGGTGGAACGGAAATATCCTAACATAGGCAACCTAAGGCCGAGGGGCCAGATCTGGCCCAATTGCCTTCTCAATCTGGCCTGTGGACGGTCCAGGAATCAGCGTGTTTTTACCTGAGTAGAATGTGTCCTTTTATTTAAAATGCATCTCTGGGTTATTTGTGGGGCACAGGAATTTGTTCATCCCCCCCCCAAAAAAAAACATAGTCCGGCCCACCACATGGTCTGAGGGACAGTACCGGCCCATGGCTGAAAAAGGTTGCTGACCCCTGATCTAGCACACCAAACCAGTTTTCCATGCTCAGGAAGTCACTTGAGACAAGATGGGCCATTCACAAGAAGCAAAGAGAGCAGAGTTCTGGGCCATTAAGAATTATTGGTAATGCAAATATTGCCAGCCAGCAGAGGGGAGGAGCTCCCCCCCAGTAGCAGAGACAAAAGCCAATGGCAGCAGACAAGGGCCAGGTTTACAGTTTTGACTTTGAATGACATAGGCTGGGGGAAGTCCTTGGAGCCTAGTAAGAAGGATAAGGAGGGGCAGAACTGGGAATGTGAGCTGGCAATGATAGGCTGGAACTAAGGGGCACAGAGTACAGTTGTACCTCGGCTCCCGAACGCCTTGGGAGTAAAACGTTTCAGCTCTCAGACAATTGAAAACCGGAAGTGAGTGTTCTGGTTTTCAAACGTTCTTTTGGAAGCCGAACGTCCAACGTGGCTGATGCGGCTTCTGATTGGCTGCAGGAGCTTCCTGCAGCCAATCAGAAGCCACATTTTGGAAGTTGGACGTTTCAGAAGTCAAACGGACTTCTGGAACCAATTCTGTTCAACTTCCAGGATACGACTGTATGGCTTTTTGTTGTCTTTTGAAACCAGTGCTGCCCTTAAGGGGGAAGCCAGACACTCATAAGATGTGAATGCTTTGCAATCTCACCATCTAGGTGCAGGTTGTATATATGTGTAAATTAAACCGTATATCATAAAGACACCACAGTCTCCACTGTGCCTGATTTCTGAAGGAAACCCGAATCCTGGGTAAGCACCTAGAACCCCTGGAATCTTACATCGCTTGGAGCTAGGGGTGGCGTGTAACAACATATATTGTAGAGGCCATGTATTCCTAAACAGCACCTTCTGATGTGGAGCTCTTTCCTTTATTCCATTCTTTTATCACAGGTGGGGAAATGTACTCTGAACCCATTCAGGGGTACATTAATCTGTTCATATATAGCAAGGGTGGGGGAAACTCCAGCCAGTGGGTAAATCATGGACTGCCAGGCTTTCCTATTTGGCCCATGAGGTCATTTTGGGCAAACCATGTCCATCCGCCCTACACCTAACAACAAACAGGTAATGTTGGGGCTAGGCCCAAAGGGCGAGACTTTGTCAAGTGTGCTTGAGCAGCTTCCAAAGTGTCCAACAGCCAACTCACTGTCAGGAGCCTTTGAACTGCTGCACAAATCAAGGACCTGGCAGGGTCCCTTCCCCTCACATCAGGTGATGTGAGACAAGAGTGATCCTACTTGGTCCGGGTGCATGAGAGAATTCCCTGCAGGGAGCTTGCTTGTGCACCCAAACCCAGCACTAAGGAGGATCACCCTGCATTGGCTGATGCAAGGAGAGAATGACCCTGCTTGGTCCAGAGCTCCTTAAAGGAAGGCCTCTCACATGCTTGAACCCAATGGTAAGGAGAATCACTAACCCATCGCCTCCAGCATTGGCTGATGTGAATGGAGAGTGATGCACCTTGGTTCAGGTATGTTTTTTCCACTTCTTTTCAGGGATTTGAAGTGAAGCAGCTCCTGAAACAAGGGGGGAAAACCTTGCTTTTAACATCACCTTGCTGCCTGTTTTTGTTGACACATTTCTTGACTTGCACACATGAATGAAGCAATAATTACCTGAGTATTAAGAAGGCATCATCATTAGACAAATAATGCGGAGCGCCAGAACTGTTGCAGGAACTAAGCCACTTAAATATACAGTAGCATGTATCACTCATTATTTTTTACAGCATTCCTAGTATTGTTTCCTATTATGACTACCATTACATCTCCTATAATGCCTTTAAAAGTAATTGTAATGGAATTCACCTGGAAAAACTAGACTGTAAGAAGGTTGATCACAAAATGTAAGTGGTAGACTTTTGGAACTAACAGATACAGAAGGAAAGAGAAAAAAAGAAGAGGCAAAGAAGGTTGGGAGGCATCTTGAAGTGCTGTGGCTCATCAAGTGCTAATTGTAGTGAGGGAATGGGATGGCAAGGAAGGGATGCCGTGGGCCAGATGGGGAGGTCTGCAATCAGCTCATGGGCCAGCAGTTGCCCACCTCTGATTTGCTATCTAGAGTTGGAAGGGACCACAATGGTCATCTAGTCCAAATGCCTGCAATTCAGGATTATTTTGCCCAGCGTGGGGCTCAAACCCATGACCCTGAGATTAAGAGCCTCATGCTCTACTGCCTGAGCTATCCCAGTGTCAATTAATGGCAAATGAAGTAAAGCAGGTAATAGTGGCATGTAAACTGGGGAAATCGCCTTTTGTACCTTGCTGGGCTTAAATTAATGGGCATCTTCCAATAAAACCAGATAAATGTTTTAAAGGAGACCATAAGGTTCGAAGACTTTTAATGCATAATTCTAAATTTTGGTTTTTTTAATTTATTTTTGTGTTTGTATTTTGTATTTTTATGCCGTGAACCACCCTGAGATCTTCAGATAAAGGGCGGTATACAAATTTAATTAAATAATAACAATACTGTTGATGTAAGACTTTGTTCTGTTGTGGAACATGATATGAGGCAGGATAAATTACAAATAAGAAATCACATGTCTTTATTATTTGTAGTGGGTGGGTTACAAAAATATAACAAAATAAGTACATACATTTTATTCCAATCATAAAACAAACCACAAAGACACCCCTTTAAAAGACTCATACATGCTGTCGTCCTTACAGGCAAAACTTTCAATTCCACCCTCATGTCATTTACATTGCTACATTCAGAACAATAGCCATACAGGTGCACTGTGTTTTTCTAAGCTAATGCCAGGGTAGAGTAGTGAGAACTGAAGCATTGTGCAGGCATAAAAATTATGTTGGATCAAGAAAATTAAAATGATAATGAAACAGATGCCTTCCCGTAAGCATCTGCCTCTTCACCCACAGATCCCTTGTTTCACTCCTTAGAATTAGTGTAATCCACCCCTCCCACACTTCATTCATAATTATTCTTTTTCTGACACCTCAAAACCACCATAATCCTACTATGGTTTTTCTTAGACCTGAAATATTTCTTCTCCTCTATTATACAGTACTTGCATTCCTCCCCCCGCCCCCTGAATTCTTCACCCACAGAATTATGCCCTGCACATTTATTTATTGGGTGCAGTTGTCTGACAGGGATGCCATTTGGCAAAGGAGGAAATTATTTGTGCCCCTTGTGTTTTAAGACCATTGCAATGCTCCGAAAAAGCATCTATAATCCTGACCAACTCAGTGGCTCTTCATGGTGGATTACTATTTTGTCATATAATTAAAAGGACTTACGTACAAAGTATACCTTCTCCACTGAATGAGCTATCCCTCGTGGACATGATTATCAAAGGCACAAACCTCCCTGCTTTTTTAAAAGAGTGGAGTGACTCTGACCTATTTTGCTGACACTGTTGTATTTATTGTGAGGCAGTGGAAGACAGGAGTGCCTGGCATTCTCTGGTCCATGGGGTCACAAAGAGTCGGACACGACTAAACGACTAAACAACAACAACATAAACAAATAGCAGATTTAAAGTTCCCTTAAAAACTTTACACAACTTATTTTCAGTTTCTCTTAAATATATATGACTAGAGCTTTAAACCAAGCTGCGAATTTTGCTAACCACCATTTTTTATCAACAGCGTGTAGGAATGGGGAAATCTGTTCATTTTGATTTCTTTCAATTTCCCTGCAAATCTCAAGTTCTCCACATTTTAGCAACAGTTTGCAACATTTTTAAAGTGGCATGAAAATTCCTCAGCCTTTTACTGTGCCCTTCTTCAAATACAGCCATGTTTAATGCACTTTTGCCTAATATACATATTTTGCAAGCAACAATACAGTCTTGTATGTTATTGTCACAAACATATGCCTTGTAATGCACACTTTCCTTTAATATATGCATTTTTGTACATATTTGGTTGGAGAACTGCATCACAAAATTTGGAGAAGTGGATCATTGCATTTCTGCCCATGTATTGTTTCCCTTAGTCAGCATAGCAGGAATGACCATCATATGAAGCTTTTTTCAATTACTCATAGAATGGCATCTTCTGTCTGATACCAGAAGGAATGGGGCCGTCTCTGATCCAAATTCTCCAGGGGAAAAACCGCCATACTAATACAAATTTATTCCTTGTACAAATCCAGTGAAATTTCCATTAATTAATTAATTAATTAATAAACATATGGAGTGTGAATTTAACCTATGAAGTAGAAGCAAAGTAGCCAAGTTTTCAATTCATCCCATTTTTTCTAGAGAAAGAAAGTGTACAAATCCAAAACACGCTTACTATTTTTGTGTTAACGCATTGTTTAACGCACTGAAAGACTGGAAGGATCTTTGTAGAAATAAGTGGCACTTTAAGAGGGCTAGATATAATGAACATTTAATTGTTCCTAATGTTTCATAATGTCATTATTTAAGCTAATAAGCTTGAAGCCTAATAATAAAGAAAATTGCTTTGAATCAGGATATTATTAGCTGGGATAGATGAGAAAAGAGCTTTGCAAATTGATCCTGGAATGACTAACCAACAGTTCATGGATGTGAACTGGAAATGGCATTTCCTGTAATAAAAAGGAACTTAATAATTACCTTTGACGAGGCCCTTCTATGGAATACTGGTTCCAAGTTTAGTGAGGAACATTGTATCCAATGGGGAACAGATCACAGAATCATAGAATGGTAGAGTTGGAAGGAACCTTTAGGGTCATCTAGTCCAACCCCCTGCAATGCAGGAATAATTAGAAAGAAGAATAAAATTACTGTATTGGATAAACTGATTTTTCTTTTCAGCAAAGAGCTTTACTTTTGGATGGCTTTGAAACTGAAAAGGAGGGTTAAAGTTTAAGTTTAGGGCTTATCCACACTTACCTTTTGCTGTGTACTTTCCAGGCACACGCTGGAAAACTTGCTCTTTAAATATCAAGTGCAACGAACAGCAATTTGGGTGTTCTGCTCAAATTCAGTGGTAAAGAGTGGGTTTTCACAGGGAAAGCTCAGGAGCAAAAGAAGGAGCTTTAAAGCATGGACCATGCATGGAGGAAATTAAGTGTGGATAAGCCCTTAATAACAATTCAGAACTGATTAAATAGTTTAAAATATAAGTTTATGGGTGTGTAGCCTCCATAAACAAATGGTGAACTTAGGTTGGCTCTCAAGAGTTGTAAATGCCCTTGTTCTATTGTTGCCTGCTGGCCATTTCCTCAAGTCCCTGACAGCAGGTAGCAGCTCTACACGGGTATGGCTTTATTTGGATGAGAAAACACTAAACTTACAATATCTTTTGAGAAAAACAAAGTAAAACATATGTAGAGACAAATAGCAGACACTCCTACAAGGCACCAGAAACGCTGTCCCATGTCACATGCCCAGAGGGAAACCCTGTACCACCAAGGTGCCAGTCTCCTCCAAGACTGTTTGCAAGGGTACCATATTGCTCTGTCACACACTCCTACCTTACACTAGCCTCTTCCTTGGCTCTCTATACAGTGGTACCTCAGGTTAAGTACTTAATTCGTTCCAGAAGTCCGTTCTTAACCTGAAACCTGAAGCACCACTTTAGCTAATGGGGCCTCCTGCTGCCGCCGCGCCGCCAGAGCTCAATTTCTGTTCTTATCCTGAAGCAAAGTTCTTAACCTGAAGCACTGTTTCTGGGTTAGTGGAGTCTGTAACCTGAAGCATATGTAACCCAAGGTACCACTGTATGTCTATGTCATTCTTCTAACCTTTGATTATCTCTCATACACTCAGTAAAGTTTTCCTGGTACCAAGTGGGGGGTTAGGGTGAGAAGATATTGCACACAGGATGGGGAGTATCCATGGGTCGCATCCAGTCAACAGGCTACCAGTATCACAGCCCTGCACTACAATATCTGATTCTGTTACTTTTCCACTTATATCCTATTACTGTTCCAACCTGTATTATCCAAATATATCTAGCAATTTTGACATTGGAACACAGTATAATTTGTTAAGGTTTATCTTATTACTTTTATATGGAAAGATAGTTGTGGTTCATATGAATCCAGGAATTTTATTCCCGGATCTAAGATCTCACAGCTGGGATGAGCTTATTACTCATTTCTTATAAGTAATTCAACTCTGCCTGTTCAGAATTTGGAAGACTCCCTGCTAACACGCAAGCTCCCATCCCACCACAAACCTGGAATGGACTGAGGCCAGACACACAAGGAAGAGTTACTTTACTTATTTATCTTATTTTCCACTTGCCCTTCCTCAAAGGATTTCATCGTAGCATATATGGTCTAATCCCATTTCATCCTCACAAAATCTCTGAATCTCTCTTGACAAGAAGAAGGGGAGGGGACAAATTAGTCATGATAGAAATATAATCAGATAAAAATAATAGAAGGAAAAAGCCAACCAACAAGTTCCTCCTTCCCCAGGTGTGTGACTTCAGTTGACTTTAGTTTTGTTTTTTAGCTGTTGACATGGAGCCTTCAGAATTCTAAACCGGTAGAGCTGGTAAAAATAATAATATACAGCCCGGATTTTAGAGTTCTTCCTTCTTTCTACAACAATGAAAATGGCAAATAGGGCAATTTCCCAATGGCACTTGCTCTTGATGAGATTTTAGGTTTCTGTCCTATACCCAGTTACTTACTAAGTTTCATTGAACTCTGTGGGACTTCCTTCTGAGTCAGCACTTAAAGGATAGTGCTGCTACTGGCTGGAAAGGACTCATTTATTCAGGTTGGATCCAAACAATTGTAATCATACATCTACTGGCAGAATGAGGCTTTATTGCCTCTTGCTGCAATTTTATTCACCTTCAAAAAGCCATTTTTGACAAGTGGAAAACCCTCCAGCCAGAACAACATGTGATTTGCAGCTGAGAAGAAATCCACAGAAATCAGGGGGACACCCTCCACACCTTACAAAGTTTAAGTACTTTCCTCTTGCATAAGTAGGCCTCTTGGACCCAACCCTGTATTTGAGGATCAGAAATTAATCATTTTGATAGGCTTGGTTGGCTTAATTTTGTACTCCATTGCAGGATGTAGTTTGGATCATGTAGTTTTGGTCAATTTGAACTGTAGACAGTTTGGTGCAATGCACCTTGCCTATTCTCTATCAGTGGCACTCTGATAGAGGAGTAGTAGTAGTAGTAGTAGTAGTAATGATAATAATAATAGGTTAACGCAGGAAAATATCTACATTGGGTCAAAAGACTCTTTGGGTTTCCCCTGGCCCTTTGACACTAAGAAGATGAACTTACACAAATAATGAATGGGCTGTTATTCTAGTATAAACTAGAATGTATCACTTAATTTAATCATACAGATGACAGAATAACCCAAAATAGCTGTGGTAGGCCATCACTAGAGTACTGGCCATGATAATTACTATTGGTAATGCAAATCTTTTACAAGTCAATTACATATGTTAGAATGCCAAGTTCCTTTACATATGCATATGTTTTTGCCTGTGGCATTATCACACTGGTAATATACCATAATTCAATTTTAGTGTTATTCAATAAAATAGAAATAACTAGAACTTTTTTTCTTTTTTGGTAAATGCTTCAGAGAAATACATAATGAGTAACTTGCTAATAGAACTGTAATTAAGATCCTTTGCAAACAATGGTTAATACATAATTTCAGCCTGACTTAATGGCATATAAGATCTCCATATCTTCTTTATGTGCCACTGTACTACTTTGAATATCACTGCAATTATATCAGTAAGATGCTGCCATACAGATCTTCTGGATTTGTGTAAACAATCCTGGGGAAAAGGGAATCCGGTTGCAGTTGAATCGTCCCACGCTCCCAATATTAATGGCACACACCAGTCACTGAGCTGCATGATGACAAAGCTGTCCACATTAGGCATGCATAGATGGAGCCAAAACACACACAGCTATGTCAGAAGCAAGACAGCAGTAAATCACACGGTGCAGGTTGGAATTAACTATTAGCAAAAACACAATCTGCACAGGAATGTCAGACTGGCACAGGAGGGGGGCCAGTGGTTTATGGGTTTTGGTGCCACCCGTGTGGCAGCAGCCAAGTTAGGGGGAAGTGGAAGGGTCAGAGCAGTCAAAGACAGAGGTGAGGGCACAAAACCTATCAGAAGTGGAGGAAGAGGCTGCTCAGGTGAGAGACAGGGCAGCTGAATCCCCACCACTCCCTGCCCCACTGTCCTCTTGAACCAGAAGGGGCTTGAAGAGGGAAGAGCAGTGACAAATTCCATGCAAAAGTTTCAGGGATTAATGGTTAAACCACTCTGAGAATTGTAGGTCTGTGAGGGGTGTGGGCGGGGGTCTCCTATTTAATTGATTAATTGATATCCTGCACTTCTTCCCAAAGAAGCCCAGGGTGGCAGGCACCCTAACAACTCTCAGCACCCTTAACAAACTACAGTTCCACAATTTGTTGGGGGAAGCCATGTTAAAATGGTATCATAGTGCTTTAAATGTATGGTCTGGATGTGACTGCAGACCGTCAGTAACCACTCTTTTGAATGACAAATCCACAAAGAGGGAGGGGCAACACCTAGGCAACTTATTTGGGCTGTATGCCAGCACTCCTCCTGAAGTTGGAAGAACTGAACAATATCCATCTTGCAGGAGGGACCTTTTGCTAGGGCAACGTGAAGAAGGGGGAACTACGACAAGCAACAAGGGAAGCCACAACCTCATTTCGACAACAGCAAAAGTTGGCAGATGACTTGATAAAGCATTGGGATGGGAAACAGGCAAATCAGGTTTTGGTCCTGTCAAGGGAATACTGTAGCAGAATTAAGGGCAATCCCACTTTATATCTGATGCAGGGGACGGGGACAGGGGACAGGCATGGCTAGAACACATATAGTCAAAGGAAGCTCCCTATATCTGTCCATGTAGCCACAGTAGCCTTTGACATCCTTCAAGTTGGAGCTAGGGAGCGCACAAATGGACCATCAGAGTCCTGGCATCCTCAACATGAGCTTTTTACTTCAACAAATCCAATTAATCCGTTTTGTAGGATTCCTCACCATCAGGGAGAAGACCAACCTGCTCTGTTTTAAAGTGTAACCTTATTAAGAATAAAGAACAATGCAAGCATTATATAGACAAAACTGGAAAAATGTCACAGTCACTATTTCACAGAATAAAGGCTCATGCCCCATAAAAAGGGGAAACACCTATACATTTACTAAAAACAAATAAAACAGACCAAAAAACAGAAGATATAGTCCCCACCCAAACCAACAGATTCCTAAGAAAACCCAACATTGTAGCATTTGATTTCAAGAAATTTTTTTGTTCAAATGCTGAGAACAAAAAGCAACACAAATTTAGTCAAAGACATGCAAGTAGACAATAAGGGACGCTAAAAAAGAATTTGAGAAGTAGATTGCTAAAAACAAAGACCAACAACCAAAAAATAATTTATCATTAAAATCAGAAGTTGGACCTCTGGAAACAAAGGTGCGCTAAAAGAGGATAAAGCAAATGCAGAAAAGGTGCATGATTTATTTGTACAATAGCAGTGTAAAATATTGTACATGGTGCAGAGAAATGGGTAGAGCAAAGCTTTTCTCCCTCTATCATAACACCAGAATACTGCAGAAACAATTGTGTCACTCACACTTCACTTCATTTCAAGCTGCTGACTCGGAAATAATTATTTTCACATTTCAGACGCATGCATACTTCCTTCCCAAACTGCAAACTTTAGTTTTACTTTATCTTGTTTTCTAATGAATACTGAGGTTGAGAAAGCACATCCATAGACACAAAAGCTTTTACTACTTAAATGTGGTACATTGTTCTGGGAGCAATTTTATTCCCCCTTCCAAATGTTAATGCCCCCCCCGTGTGTGTGTGTGTGTGTGTATGTTTGTGTGTGTGTGTGTTTGTGTGTGATGAAGCATCAGCTCCTGCATTATGCAGATTGGGGGCGGGGCTGCACTGCAGCAGGGGCTAACCTCCAGCCAAGCAGGTGGGAAGGTTTGACAGTAGCCCTCCTATGGGCAGTAGCTGGCCTAGCAGCCCAAATCAGAGCGCTGTGGGGGCAGGGCTGGGCCAACTCAGGATCTGCTGGATTTTTTTCTGGCTCATTTGTCAGGTAAAGAGCCCAAGCCAGGCTCCTCTGCTGCCCCAGCCTGCAGCTGACAATCACCCAGAGGGGAAAACATTCCAAGAAAACCACTCCACTTTCCAGCCTGACCAGGAGAAGCTAGCAGGGCTTCAGATGCAGTGGTGGCTCTGCCTCTCCAATCATCCTCTGGGCAGGGTTAGGATTGCTCTGCCCACACAAGAAAAACCAGAAAGTATAGCACAAATGCTGTAGCCAGCCAGTGTTCCTTAGCCTTGTCGGTATCATCTGTGGGTTGTGTTAAAAACCACCTGTGCTGACATAGCAAAGGACCTTCAGCACCCAATTCTGCATAAGACCTGCTGCAATGGAGCTCCCTGCCCCACATCACCAGCATAATACGCCTACAACAAATCACATGGGCTTCAGTGCCAGCCCAAAGACTGTCAGCTGAGAGGCACCACATGCCAACTGGAACCTACATTGCTCTATAAACCTGTAACGTTCAAGGCAGCTTCTGAGTCTGAGCAATTTGCTTTGCTTAGTAGCTGACCTGTCCAGTACCTGATCAGCACCCTGCTTTAAACTGTGCACAGACCTGGAACACTTGTTGCAACCTCTAGGCTTGGTTGTGTTTATTATGTATGCATTTGTTACGTGTTTCCTTACTCTTCTACATAAGATAAGGAAGTGGAAAGTGACAAAATATGATGAAATATCACCTTTATTTTTATTTCTTATATTGATATACCATCCCTCATTCGAAGATCTCAGATCTGAGAGCCAGTGTGGTGTAGTGGTTAAGAGCGGTAGTCTTGTAATCTGGGGAACCGGGTTCGCATCTCCGCTCCTCCACATGCAGCTGCTGGGTGACCTTGGGCCAGTCACACTACTCTGAAGTCTCTCAGCCCCACTCACCTCACAGAGTGTTTGTTGTGGGGGAGGAAGGGAAAGGAGAATGTTAGCCGCTTTGAGACTCCTGAAGGGGAGTGAAAGGCGGGATATCAAACCCAAACTCTTCTTCTTCTTCTTCTCAGGGCAGTTCACAAGATAAAAGCACAGAATAAAAGCATAAATAAATAGAACAAAAGCAAAACAAAACAATAACCCCTCTTCCCACAAACACATTCAAAAGGCCATAAAGTATTAATCAACCAAAGGCCTGGTTGAAGAGGAACGTTTTCAGCTGGTGCCTAAAGATGTATAATGTAGGCACCATACGAACCTCCCTGAGGAGAGAAAAGGCCCATTCTCGTGTTGCTACCCTCCGGACCTCTTGTGAAGGAGGCACACAAAGAAGGGCCTCAGATGATGATCACAGAGCCCGGGGTTGGTTTATATGGGAAGAGCCGGTCCTTGAGGTCTTTTAATGTTGCCAGTCAGGAGAGATTCAAAGGCATACAATCTCTGTACTTGCTTTAAGTTCAAACATTATCTAAGAAGCATTCACCGTCATAAAGTACGAACCAGGAGCCTCAGTGACAAAGAGCTGTTTTATCTTTTAATATTAAGTAAGAGACAGCTATTAAATGAACAAATTAATCTTTCCTTTCAATTAGTCATACTTTGATGTTTGGAATCCAGTATGTTCGTACAATTATACTGGATTTAGTTGCTTATAGCCGTAATAGTAAGAGTTTCATGTGGTTACCAGGCTCCCTTGTAACTTTCCACACCCAGTAAATTCACTGAAACGATATGCAGGAAGATTGTCTGCATTCAACATTTGAATTTCTTCTCAGAAAGGTAATGAAAGGAGAAATTCAAAATGTGCTGTGTGGCTTTATAAAAAAAAACATTAAATATAGGCTTCATTCCTATGGGTCAGTAACCTGTGATGGAATGACTTCTCACGCGCCTTGCTTATTTACAAAATGTTATCCAAGTATCTGTTGTAAAATTTGTTGATTTCGTAAAGACCTTGGGCAGAGTCTGAGATAACATTCTGAAAGCAAGCTTAGTGCCTCCTTTGTAGCACTTTTAAAATGACATTTAGAATGGAAATGAGAACCTGTCTTACTTCACAGTGCAGAAAACTCTCAAGATTCTCCACTCCTTTGCCCCTTTCCTACACACTTTATAACACTTTATGGAGGGTGCACGAGTACATGGGGGTGCTTGCACAAATACAGTAGATAGTATTGTTCTGAATCTGCAGTTTTGGAAAGAAAAAGCACCTGCGTATTGGGAATGCGAGATTATTTCTGGGCTGCCAACTGGGCCTGATAATATATGTTTTAAAATTGGAGACCATTAAGAAGACCCTGACAGCCATTACTAGCAAAGGATGTGAAAATAGGATGCAAGACGAGATGGGTCTTTAGCCTGGTCCAGCAGGGCTCTTCTTAGGTTGTTCTGATGACCATCATCTCCTGGCTTGCTTTCCTAGCCTCAAAGAAACAACTCATATTGTTGTAAACCACTTTGAGGGTTTTTTTAAACAAGTTGTATATAAATTTTATGAAAGAAATAAAATTGCCCACATACCTTCAAGCACATTTTTTACTATTCGGTTGTCACTGCTTGAAGTCTGTCCAGATAACACCAGACAAAAGACAAGACAAGCTGTGACAGTTGCTTTGAAGTCAACCAATCTGAGCAGTAATTCACACACACACACACACACACACACACACACAAGCTTGCCACAGATGAGTCAGTATCCAGGCTGCGGCATCTTCATCTAACTAAACTGACCATAATTTATAATGGCTTTATTAAGCCACATTCCTCAGAATGCAGTGGGAACAAGGAAGAAATGCTGCAGTTGCTGCGACTGCCATACCTCCCAACACTGGAGTGAGGGAAATCAGGACACAACTTTAACAGAAGCTACCCGCCCCCCCCCCCCCCCGGTCCTGTCCCATCTCACAGACACTGCCCCACCCACTCAGCTCCCTCCCTCTCACCTTTGCCCACCTCCTCCACCTTCACTGCCACCACTGCCTTTGCCACTGTGGCCTCCGCAGCCGCCACCACCACAAGTACCGCTGTTGCCGTAACCAA